TTTTTGAATTCCTCCTGCACGGGAAGTGTCAAGAACGTAAATAAAAGCGAAAGCATTTGGAAGGTATTTCATCAAAACCTTGTCCATTTCATCAGATTCACCGAGACCTGGACTATCAATTATAACAACTCCTTCCTGAAAATATTGGAAAATGAATACAACATTTTATAGTACGATGGCAAAAAAAATTTAATTGACTGCATGGGTTAAGCTTTCAATATAGCCGCCGAAAAAATTTTAATATCGGTTGAAGTTCTAGCTTCGAGAAACCTTTATATACAAGATCACCTCAAGCAATTCATGCGGCCAAAATAATTCTACTCTTCCATATTCTGATCCTTTTTCTCGCTCCTTTGACAACATCTGCACAAAAGGGGCGATTTGATTATAATAATCTTCATTTTTGTCTAATTCGTATATTGCAGGCAAGCGACGCGTCGTTTCTTTATCACTTTTATAGTGAACGATCAGTTTTGGTTCTCCAAACTTCAGCTCGCATATGGTCGAGGTGGAACTCAGAACATGGTGTGCAAGAAGCTCTTCACCAAGAATAAGATTCAATAAACTACTTTTCCCAGCACTACTTTCACCTAAAAATTGTAGATTTATTAAATCATTTGAGTACAAACTATATTTATTGCAGGACCTTATGTTGTTGTTAGCACACAATGTATGACGTTCACTACCTGCAATCAGCACTTTATATTCAGTCTTCGTTAGGCTCTTTTTTTGTTCCTCCAAAGCTTTCAAAAAACCTTGGTCGCCATAATAGACGTCTAGAACCTCAAATGCGTAATCATCCAATTTTTTCACACAATCTTGAACTTCAAAATATAATTTCTCCAGTTTTTCTCGTTTCAACATATCTTCAGCTTTAGCTTTTGCAATCACCCTATATCCCTTTGAACATGAAATGCAGTGAAAAGATGTTGAGGGAACGAAAATTTCGAGGGATGTATTCATATTTACTGCGTGTATAATAACAATTCATTTTAGGGGTAGTAATGTACAATTAACTAATTACCACCCGTTTTTTTTCATAAAACTAAAATTAGTTAATATCCGTGTAGTATAGACATGATATTGGCCTTCAAGATGCGACATATATAAAATATAAACACAGCCGGGTGTATATAAAAAGCAAAAGATCATAGCCCCCTTCGGATAATAACTATACAGAAATTTGGAAAAATAGTCACCGTAGTCCCATTTGAATATTTTCCGCTGCAGGAACTTTGTTCTTTTAATTCTTTTTTCACTGTCTTAAGCATTTCTTCAAGATCCAATTTTTTACGGTCGTGTTTGATATGAAGCAGTTTAAATAATTCAACCATTTCGAAAACGTCTTCTATATCCCCGACGTTCTTTTTGGGCTTCTTCTCTGACGTTATTTTCTGGCCGTAAAACGCCTTTTTCACTTGGGAACTTGGCTGTTCATATTTCTAAAAAAAAAGAAATTCACTTCGTATTATGCCATCTTGTGGAATCATTTTTATCTATTTGATATGACGTGCAATACTGGTTTCGTAACGTTTTCATTTCATAACCCAGGAATACCATTTGCCTTTCTTCATGCCTGGTATATATTTTGCCATAAGTATAGTAAAGAAAATGTCGTTACATCACCTGTGATGCACTGTGATAACCTGCCTGGGTGGCCTGCAATGTTTCATACACGTTGGTTGAGGGTCGTTGATCTTTTGGGATGACCTGTAAAGTTGATCTGATTTAAATAAGAACAAGCACTTTGACGATTCAATTTGACGTTATATAATTTATTAGATCTAACTAATGCTCAATGCCGTTTTTCTTTAAGTCAAATTACGTACCTCATAAGTGGAGTCTGTTGACAGTTCTTTTGTTTCAGCATTCGGGATTTCTCCTTTCGCTTCAATTTCTTTTGCCGTTTGGTATGAAGAACTATCAGGGTCTACGTTCTCCCATGATTCCTCCCTTTCTGGCGAGGACATACTGTCAATTTTACGGTTTGTTGAAATATAACCTTTCTACGGACTTTGCGGATTTGAAGAGATCGCCAACTTTATGCACTTACTCTCTTTAGCGCTCTTTCCTCACTAAAAGTTAGACAAGCAAAGTTATTTTCAACACACAAGGATATTGATCTCTCGTTATTAGGATGTTCGATGTTAATAGTCTTATTATTATCACCCGAAGTGATGTTATTCTTTTACTGAGGAAAATATCATCACTTCGAAAAGAAACGAGAAAGAAATATTATCACTGCAGAGAGAAATATTATCATTGCATGAAGAAATATTATCACTGCAGAAAGAAATATTATCACTGCAGAAAGAAATATTATCACTCCAGAAAGAAATATTATCATTGCAGAAAGAAATATTATCATTGCATGAAGAAATATTATCACTGCAGAAAGAAATATTATCACTGCAGAAAGAAATATTATCATTGCAGAAAGAAATATTATCACTGCAGAAAGAAATATTATCACTGCATAAAGAAATATTATCACTGCAGAAAAAAAAGTATTATCACTGCAGAAAGAAATATTATCACTGCAGAAAGAAATATTATCACTCTGCCGAATACCTCGAGTGGGGGGTCGTTGAGTCGCAACACATATAGTACACATATAGTATACAAACCTAGCTTACAGTGTTAAATGTATTTATAAATCTGTAAAGATGCTGAAACAAAGCGTAAAAAAATACTACTGTCAGAGTTATGTTTTAACATTACTTCAACATTATATTTCATTATTTTTTATTAGCTTGTCAGAATCGGTATTTTCTTGTTTTCAAGCAAACAACATTGTTCCCGGCTTGCGTGTGGTCTCGCGTGATGTTCGCGATTTGTAATCACAAGTGAATACTGATATTCCCAGAGGTAGTTCTAAAATTAGCTTGGTTGGATAGCACTCATAGGCATAACAATGTAAAATATCGACGCTGGAATTTTATGCATGCATGTTAATTAATTGAAGCGATTACTGTCTTATTAAACGCTAATTTTATGAATTCCCTTATAATGCAGTCTTAGTTTATCGTGTATCAACCTTAGACAAAGCCTGATTCTGTGAAAGATAACCAAGATTCAATATGAAAACAAGGCAGCGCACATATCCGCTGTAGTCTCCCGTCTCAACAGTGATATCGGTGTCTTTTAAAATTACAGTCTACAGAACTCATATAGATGTTATATTGCCGCATAGGGCCGGTTGTATCAAGCCCGTTTAGCTTAAACGGTGGATAAGTCAAAACTGAATAACACTCTTACATCTCTCTTGAATGAGTCAACTTGAATATTATGCACTGAATATGCAGTATGTAAACAGTATCTTTGTATTAAGTTTGTATAAAAAACATTTAGTTTGCTTCTAGAATAAAACGATAGATTTGCTTTCTATATTTTGAATTTAACCACTGTTTAAGCTAAACGGGCTTGATACAACCGGCCCCTGCTCTATAAATGAACTTCAATCATGACCGAAATGTTGTAGATTGTTGCAATGGGAAGCGAATGTTTAGTACTATATCAACACCAAATCGCCAATTCTGTATGTATATCAGTCGTACCTCTCCTTACACATAAAATGTAAAAAAAATATAGCCAGGGCATTACCTATAGGCTATATATAATATACATATATTTATATAGATGTTGTCGAACATACCTGACTGTAAGTTCTTTGGAACCTGAGACTGTCGAAGCTCATCGATTCACCTACGATATACCACGCATCAACATAATCTAATTATGTAATACTTGGAAGACAGTGGGAATTTGTCTCCCGCATTATTTAAACTTCCTGCATAGTTGAGATATATAGTTCTTTTTAGTTTATGTTACTTAATGTAACATGTTATTCAAAGTTCTCTGATAAAGGCCCAGGATCAACGACTTAGAATAACAATTTAGCTGGTAAAGATCACAATTTTTTGTCTACATTTGAAATATGTTGTTTTATACGATCACATGCCGGTGCATTGTTAGGAGATTTGTTTTATATCGGTTGGTATTAATTGTGTCTTATGCACCCATTGTTATTGCTTAATTGTCATGAAACAAAATTTGAATTTCTACAGTAGCAACTAGTATCATTTCACTATGACGGATATTGAGTCATGTTAATTTGGAAATCTGAAACATAACTCTGACATCGGGGTTTGCGGCCATCGAACAAATACGCTTGGCGAATCAAAACAATATTAGCAAGGCTTATAACAATAAATTTTATTAGATTCAACAAACGAATTCATTGACAAAACGTAAGTTTTTCAGAACGAAGCGATGATGCTGAATTCATGCGTACTCCAAATGGAATGAAATATACATCTTTTACCAGTCTAGAAATTTTTTGAAATTCGGCGAAACAAAATGCTGACTCTCATCGTTTTCGCGTAACTCGTATTTTTATTTCTTCTACAAAATATTTTTACATATTTTTATTAAAGTTGGAGAAGACTTAATAAGCCTTGTTTTAGCGGTTCAGACTTGAAGCTAATAGGTTTCCCTGTGCGAATCGTAGTTAGATAATAATTATGTGCAATATTTAACAGTTATTCTGCGAACTCGATCGTATATGAGCTGATTGTGAGCAGAATAACTGTTTATTATACACAACTTGTCGCCCTGTCGGTGTTTTTGGTGCGCTATTATCAACTAAATCTTGGATTTCTGTTTCACTCAACCCAATCTTTCAGCCAATTTGTTTACTTTCACTACCAGACAGATTGAGCTAATATCTGTCTAGTAGCCAACAAATGAATTGCAGCATACCTCATATCTGGCGCTTGTGTGTATAATAAAGTTATTATAGGTACTAGTTCCTAATTCTTACTTTTTGCATGCATCCGTTGATTTTGTAATTACGTCGTCAGTTTCAATACTAGGGATTTATTAAATGTTTAGTGTCGGTCGCATTTGTTTCGTCATTTAATCCCTGTACTTTTCGTAGCATTCTTTGGAGGAATGCCTTTCTTTTACCTCAGTGTCCCAGCACTTCATTAAAGCATGTATTAGTGGAATGTTGATCGTTGTGTGGTCCCGCTTTGGACGATGCCCACCAGCAATTTGTACTTGAAACGGTCTCTTTTGACAGGCATAAGTTCTGTGAACGCCTGGGCGCCATACCACATCTCCCACAACACAATACCATAACTGTACATATCTGCTTCCTTGGTACGATTCGTGAGGTCTTCGAGTACCTCAGGTGCAAGATAAGTTATGCTTTTCTCAGTTTCCAGAAATTGACCGACAATCCCAACATCTGATATCAACACCGTCCCATCCTCGCCTTCCTGTAAGAAAAAGGTTGATGCTTAAATATTTCTTCAGCTGCGCTTGTGATCCCTCTTACAGCGAATAACGGTTGCGCCAATATCAGGTGTTTAGTAAGTATAGAGTTCGTCATTCGGAGTAGTGCTATTTAGTTTTTAAACCCAAGTCACATATAGGTTAAAACGGGGGTAATTAAAGCGCGCTTCAAAGCTTTTATATTTCTTCGCTGCATGCATATCTATGGTCTCAGTCATATCACATCAATTATACAACAGTCAACAACAATCTAAAATAAACTACAAGGTACCAACCAAAATATTTTCCAGCTTGAGATGTCTGTGGATAAGTCCTCTCTCGTGAATGTAGTTTAGACCAGCTGCTATGTCCATCGCCCTCTTAATGAACTTGTCAATTGCTTGTTTGCAGTTTTCAGATTCTGCAGGTGTCTCATTTCTGTCTTTTAAAACGACATTTCGTAGATTGTTTGTGGCTGCTTCCATCACGAATATAAAGTTGTACTTGTTGGATGAACGAGAATCGCTTATTCTGGCTACTCCATAGTACTTGAGAACATTTTTATGTTGTAAGTCCCTAAAGCAAAAGGTAATATGTGAAAATTTAATTAGCTATCAAGTTTTGTTAGTAGGCCTTTTGAAACTAGGCCACTCTTCGCTATTGTTCTAATTTAAATGATGAATACTCTTGTGCGCAATTATATCACATGCACTCTCTATATTTAAACGTTTTCTTTCCAAAGTCGCTAAAAATATACTTGCCTAATTTGGACTTCTTCGTACAGAAAGAATCTTTTATTTGGATCATCAAATAAATCCTTGAATACTTTCACCGCCACGTTTATTTCAGAGCATTTTAGAGCATTGTTTAGCTTCCCACGGTACACTGTGGAGAACTCTCCCTCGCCGAGACATTCTTTCCATTCAAGATCACTCGCGTTTACTGTTGCCGGACAAAGCTCAATTCCCAAGGGTATTATATTGTCTATCACTTCGACACTTTTTTTCTGAATCGGACCATACACTTTTAATACTTCATCCTGGCTTCGTTCATCATTTCTTAATTGCGTAATCAGTTTTCGATCGGCCTCAATCAGGATAGGAATTTGATCTCCATATTTTGACAACACCTTTTTGGTGTTCTCCATCTGGCGTTGAGTATAATCTAACACAAAATCTTCGGGGAGTCGCTTGAGATATTTTTCTGATCGTTTTTTTAAGGTAGTCACGAGGATTTTCCTTGTAATTATCCAACCTGTTGTTATGATCAACTTTCTGTTTCACTGCCATTGCTCCCAAAACGGGCATACCAATCAACAAACCGACCACACCAAACGGAATCCAAAGAGGGCTCGTTGCTCCGAAGAGAACTTTGGCTTTTGTCGAAAATCTACTTCTATTCTTTGCATAATCAGCTTTTCTTTCCACATCATGCATCGCTTTGTCGATGCCTTGAAGCTCCTCTTCCAAAAGACTTAACCTTTTAAAAGAACAGGTTGTTAACTTCTCTACCTATACTGAGCTGTATACTTGGTGTGAAAATACTTAACCAAAGATCAATGGTTACATTAAAGTTCATACAACCGCCCATTTGTATATTCCCTGTTTTCAGTGTTCAGTTTTCCACTGGACGGGATGTTTCGATCAACGAAATTTTTCTTTTTACTTGTGATTTGGTCCACTTCGGTCGACTTCCCATGTGACATTTCATACGAAAAATTCATGAATCTCATGTGAAAAATTTCGTTCAGTCAAAAATTCCGCCTGTTGGAAATTCGCCTAACGTTTTGTTGTCCTAATGGTATAGGAACAGCTTTGTTGTTCTTCATGAAACGTAATTTTTTTGGCAATCGGGACGGTATAATAATATAAGGCCTCTACTATTTTTGAGGAAAATATTTTCACGAATGACTACTCTACATGCACCTACACGCAATATATAATGCCAAACCTTGTACGAAATTCGTGCAGAAGCTGTCAAAAAATTCCGCCTGTTGGAAATTCGCCTAACGTTTTGTTGTCCTAATGGTATAGGAGCAGCGTTGTTGTTCTTCATGAAACGTAATTTTTTTGGCAATGGGAAAGGTATCTCCTGATATTAAGCATATAGCAGAGGCAACAACGTCCTCGAGCCAACAAGTCGTTGACGTAATATAAGGCCTCTACTATTTTTGAGGAAAATATTTTCACGAATGACCACTGTACATGCACCTACACACAATATAATGCCAAACCTTGTACGAAATTCGTGCAAAAGCACACTTGATTGTCATTCTCCCACTGGATGAGTAATTCTTTAAATCGGTAATCAATTGCCTTGTCCACGTTGCTTTTTGTTGTTTCCCAATTTATTTCGTACGGTGGAAGTACGCAATCGTTCCACCTGCAGAGCTTTGCTTTGAATTCTGTCGAACAAATGTATTTCCTCAGTGTATCTTGGAGAACTGTGGTCTGGTATTTCAGTCTTTCTTCCATGTTCTTCTTTACATCTTGCTCTTGTTTTTCAATCGTTTCCATCCGTTTTTCGATTGATTCCATCCGTTCACGAGTTTGCTTGTGAAATGATTGAACCTCTTGATTGAAGAAATATGTTACTCTATAAATATGGTGCAGCAATGTATACAACCACCTGCAAGAAAATGAATCTCTTCAAAGGAATTGCCTAGATTCAAATTTATTATAAATTTCGAGGTGATTATTAATTTTCCTGCTTTTCCTGATTTTCCTTTAAGTTCATTTAGGTATCGAGAAAATGTCAATTGAGTTTATTCGGACCATTATAATAAATGAGGATAGAAATTTGGTGATGTACTTACAGCCAGTGGTTGTATAGTCTGACATTTATTGCCTTCAATATCATCGTCTTAATTTTTTGAAGTAAATCGTTGAACTCCTGTGTGACTCCACCATATCCCTGTACTTTGATGGCGTCTTTTATTGACATATACACAATTTGATGACTCAAATTTGAACACTCCCAACACTCGCACAGCTTTGTGACGATATGTTTCTTCACCGTTGATCTCTGATCTTCTTCTACTTGATCCCATTTTTTGCCGATGAAAAGCGAGCATTCGGCTAAATGTTGAAGGGTCGTCGTTTCAACACTGCATTCAGTCTGAGACTTCTGCACCTTTTGTATGATGCTCATCAGCTACAATAACAAATGAATGTATGGATCATCTACAAACTATGCATGCACGCCATCTTCTACGCCCCCTCAATTTAACAAATACATGGCTTTTATACATAGGCGTTGTGGCCTATAGGAACCTATCCAAATGCTTATTCTTAGCACAAGATTTGGAAAATCCTTTTACCTTTTCTTTCAAGTCTTTTTGTATTCCCCCAGCGTGGGAAGTGTCAAGAACATAGATAAATGCAAAAGCATTCGGAAGATAATTCATCAGAACTTCATCCATTTCATCAGATTCACCCAGGCCTGGACTATCAATGATAACAATTCCTTTCTAAAATATAGAAAGTAAAAATAGTAACTTAAAAAATTTCACCTGTTTGCTGACGCGAACAGACTAAATTTACGTTTTGGTGATGCCCTAAAGTAGCTACATTTCCAAAAATGTATATTTCGTCTGCTCGCGTCTAGAATTTTTATGTTTCTATATCATCCAATTATCAATTTTACGAACTAACCACCATAACCATTTACCTTAAGTAATTCATGCGGCCAAAAGATTTCTACTCTAGAATATTTGGAGCCTTTTTCTCGCTGATTTGACTCCATTTGCACGAAGGGAGCGATTTGATCATAAAAAATTTTACCGCATTCTTCCTGGGATTTCAAGGGAAATATTACAGGCAAAGGACGTGTCTTCGTTTCTTCGTTATACTTATAATGAACGACCAGTTTTCGTTCCTCCCCAAACCTCAGTTCGCATATTGTCGAGGTTGTACTCAAGACATGGTGTGCAAGAAGCTCTTCGCCAAGAATAAGATTCAATAAACTACTTTTCCCGGCACTACTTTCACCTAAAGAATGCAAGTAGAATTTATTGCATAGTTTCAATGTAAACTGTATAGTAGATTGACTTTACGCTTATACACACAACGCATAACGCTCGGTACCTGCAATAAGAACGTTGTACTCTGTGTTCGTTAAGCTTTTTTTCTGTTCTGCCAAAGCATTCAAAATCCCACGATCGCCATAGAAGACGTCCAGAATCTCAATCGCATACTGATCCAATTGTTTGACACACTCATCAACCTCCAAATACGATTCCCTCAGCTTTTCCCTTTTCAACGTATCTTCGGCTTTAGCCTTTGCAATGACCTCAAATCCCTTTAAAACGCAGTGAAAAAGTTTAGAATGATAGTAGAAATGATATAATCCCAAACAAGATTCATGCGATATAATTTATATATTGTGGACTGTTGCGTTCATATGCTAATTCGTGTAAACTCACCGTTATCCCATTTGAATATTTTCCGCTGCCGGAACTTTGTTCTTCTATCTCCTTTTTTGCCGTCTCTTTCATCTCTGAGAGGACCAATTTTTGAGGATCATATTCAATATGAAGCAGTTTAAATAACTCCATCATTTCGTAAATATCGTTTACATCGTCTACGTTTTTTTTCGGGCTGATACACCGAGCCTTTCTATGTTGGAAAGTACCAAGCTCTTCATATACCTAAATAAGGAAAATTCACCTCAGTACTTTTGCTTAGCCTTGTCCACTCATGCTTTTTATCCAATATAAGGTCTTCGTGTATAAAACGTTTGTGGTATAAGTGTTAGAAAATTGATTTATTTGGTACGTTTATAGCCACATGTCTGTCGCATCACCTTTGGTTCATGACTTGTATCTTTCTCCGGTATCACCACTTTGGTATAGAGATCGCTTGAGGTTTGTGGATTCTCAGGAATACCCTAAGCCAGTGAAATTATTAAAGAAGCACAAATAATTTTTTCACCAAACAAACAAACCTAAAGAATGCAATTAACACCCACGGCTTTACCTTATTTAATTTTCAATGGTATGACTATACCTATACGCCAATGATTAATTGGATCTAAGATAACGGCTAGAGGATTACTTCGTAAATATTTTATATATTTTTTTTCTTTTGCTATAAATCGGAAATGGCAAATGGGAAGTTGTTATAGCATTTTCTCTTAATCTACCTCGTAAACAGGAACAGTATTTGGTTTTTGAGTTGCTGAACAATCTGATTTTGTGCGGCGCACTCTCTCTAATACTGGTGATGATTTGGCGAAGTAACTTGAAGAGCTTAAGAACCTTTCACGCCAAGTTGTATCCTCCTTCTTTTCTGGCGAAGACATACGGTCAATTTTGCGCTTTGCAAAGATATTTAAGCTTCGTCAAACCTGTGATATGAAGAGATATTCAAATCCATGCACTTCCGATTATACGATTCCTTACAATAACGTACTATGATTATAGACAGTGAAAGTGTATACCAACTAATAGTTATGGCTATAGATGAAATTTGTACTTCTCAAGAGTCGATTGAAACAATAGATAAACTGAAATGTGTTCATTTTCCGTGCTAGGCAGATGTAAACAACGATATATACATACTTAAATGCAGAGTTTTTAAAGCATTCTAAAATACCAGTAAACTGCATGTTTGCATTGAAATTCAACAGGACCAGTTTGGCCGTTTTTACCATGGAAAGTGCCCTTATTATTATTTAAGGATCTTATTTCGAGTGGAAAACAGTTACTTCTGTAGCTCAGGGGCAAGAGCATTGCCCCAAGTTTGATCCGGAGGACCGATAGTTGACACATTTTTCTCATCTGTTCCTGGCTTGATAAATACTTCCCGAATTTGCTTGAGTGCCCTCAAAACAATAGCTTTAAAACGAGGCGGGTAATGTAAGCTATTGTTAGTGGGATGGTTTTCATTCCTGATAACAAATTCACGAAGTGTCTATAAAATTTGAGTTGTGTATGCTATACCCACTCGAGATTAAGACCCTTACACCCTTATTCTTCTTCATCGCGTAATAAAGTTTCACAAAATGCGGGGAGTTTTTCCACAAAAACTCAAGTTTCTTTATTTTGTTCAAGTCTACCATGCTTGTCGACATTACTATCGGTCATCATCTACAGACAGCCTTAATAAAGAACCCCCTGACCGCCAAACCAGGGTTTCAGTTTTATATAAAAGACAATTTTTGTGTTTGTTTTTAACAATACTTGAAAATTGAATCAAATTATGATCGCGTGATATGCAAGTAATTATACAATTGTTGTGGTTCATGTCTCTTGCTGTGAACGTCTGTGTATTCTGAGCGATAGCATTAAATTTTTAGTATCCGTTTGTATTCTAATAATAATCACCTTTATTTTCCTGTGAAAACTCTAGCTGTGTTTTACGGATTGTTTTGGTCCTTTAAATATTATCTTCCTCGTTCTCTTCACGATTAAATTCAAATGCAAAACGACGAACAATTAATGAGATACTTATCGCCTTACTTCCAAAGTCACTAATTTGCAAAGGTATTTGCACGTTCACATATATATGTATATATATATATAGCTAATAATATGGGATATTGAAACGTTGAATAACGTCGAAATTTCATACATGTCGATTACTACAAGAAAAGAAGCGATTTAGAATCGATATTACAAATCTCTCCGGATTGGTAAATCAAACCCTACCGGATAAACAAGTGTAGTGACATGTTTGACGGAAATAAAAGCACCCTTTCATCTTTTGTCACAAACTGATGTATATATTATGATATTTATTACTATATATTCATGTTCGCGAACTGTTATCAGTTTTAGTACGTAGAGTATGACTAAAAATGTATCTAGTTTCAAATCTGACCCTGTAGCAGTCGTATGCAGAGAACTATAAACGCAATATTTATAGAAAAGACCCGATTTTATGTCATCATTTCCTGTCTTATAGCATGTAGTATTTGTGCTTTTCATTACAAAACGCATACCACTTTGTTGCTCTATAAATTAAATCATATCGATTCTGGAACTCTGATCTACATGTGAGTTGTTGCATGTATAGTCGTCTTTCGAGTTGACTAAAATGTTTAATACAAAATCTAAATCTCTGACTAGCAGAACCACAACACGCTATATAATTATAGATTAATATTACAGCCAGCTTGAATATCCTACCCTTTCTTACATATACTGGATTTGGAACAAGGATACATAACTTTTGAGGTTGATGTTGACGAACATACCTGACCACAAGGCTCAATCAAAAATATACGGGAACTGTCGATGTTAGCTGTTCGAGTTCCTTCACATATTGACAATGTTTATACTATGAATAGCTATTAGGTCATGCAATACTTGGAAACAAGTGTAATTTCTAAGGATTTTATATATGCCACAATTTAAAGAGTGGTGATAATTTTGCCCCCCATTGTGCAGTTTCAAAACCTCAAATATTTGAAGTATGACGTTTGACACAGTGGCGATTTAAACACCGTGCAGGCGGAAGCGTAATTTAAAAATTAATTTCAAACAAGACATGACAAATTATATATAAAATTTATTGGCCACCGTTTAGTTGTATTGTTTCGTTTGCTAGGCTTTAATTTTCATTTTTGATGATGCCGCTTGATAAAGATCACGAGCGGGGTATATAATGACAATCGAGCGGCCGCAGTTTTTTTGGGCAAAATTGGATATTAATTGTTTATATTAATTCGAAATACGCTGTTTTATACGATCTCATGCAAGTGATCGGTCGTTTTTTGTTTTCATGATATTTGATATTATTTACGTATGTCCTACTGTAATTACTTGAAAATAACTATTGAATTTTATACAAGATCAACTACATTATCATCTCAGTAATCCAATATGGTGGATGTTTAGTAATCAAAGAAAAATTTAAAATCTTTAAAAAAGTTATGATTTAATGACTTGTGGAGTTTTAAATTCTTAAATTGATTAATTCTTGAGTGTCATAAAACTACGTCATCGATTGCATACTAAAACGTGCGGAAAAGTTAATTTTTTTCTCGATATTTTGGGGGAAGTTGAATAGTCTCGCTTTGATATACATTAAGTCGTTTATAGAAGCGAGGTTTTGCGAATTAGTAACGGGTACTGGAGACTAAAATACTTTCTTGCTTTGCCATAACTTTCGTTATTCCGGTCGCGGTTTTCATAAAATATGATTGCTGTAAGACGATCACAATTGGTGCGGAAAAAAAATGCTAATCGCGGTTTATACATATATGACGGATTTCGCATAACAACTTATTGCAACGCATAATCAGAGAAAGGCAGCTTGCTGGAGAGATGACATATGAAAAAGGGTTGAAAAAAAGATTAGATATATTTAAAAATGCACACACTACTACACTGTAAATATAATCGATACTTATTTGCTACATCGCGAGTGTTTTTGAAAAACTACTTTTAACTATACTAGTATACTATACTTTTAACTATGACAGTATACTATTCGTGCTTCATTAAGTTTGCGTTTTATATTTCAATTAAAGCGTGCACTTAATATCAATAAAAAATACCAAAACAGTGTCCTCTATGCTTATCTACTTGTATATATATATATATATATATATATATATATATATTATATATATTATATATATTTATTTATTATATTATATTATATATATATTATATTATATATATTATTATATATATATATATATATTTATATATATATATATATATATGTTGATGGCGGGCTGTGTGTTCTTCAGTAAAATGTGCTTAAATGCTTTCTGCCTTTCGACATTCATCATTCCAGGATCCATTCTGTCACATCCGATAGTGCATCATAGCACACTTTCATTGGCAATCTGTTTTCAACCTCAGTAGCCCAGCATGCTACCATGGCATCAAGTAGTCTTATAATGTTGATTTTGTTTCTATCTATTTTTGGACGATCCCCTGCAACCAGCTTTCCTCGGAATTGGACTCTTTAGATAGGCATAAGTTCTGTGAACGCCTGGGCGCCATACCACATCTTCCACAACACTATACCATAACTATATACATCTCCTGCTTTTGTACGATTCGTGAGGTCTTCGAGCACCTCTACGAATATTTAATACATGCATATGTTATTTGACATAAAAAATGCTTAATGCTTATTTATACCGACAAAAGTCTCATTATAAGAGTTATATCGATTTTAAAACGGCTTCAGGTGCCTGCAAGAAATGTTTTCTACTTCTAAATATTTCAGAATACTGTTGTGTCTTTTGACTACATGCTATTGTTTCTCTTCACTGTGCCCGAATGTGCAAACACCTACGTTATATTCATTCGTTATCTTACATGTTAAAGTTTCTTCATCGTTAAATAGCGGTATAATTGTTACCACGACATACATTAGTTTTGTATATATAAACATTTAATTAACTACTCGAGACAGTTTTCACTATGTGCGAGTTATTGAAATACACAAAAAAGGAAAGTTTCTTGTGAATGATCTACGTGATGAACGTGACCTTTTTTATTTCTACAATTTAGAATATTTGTCAACGATTTTTAAACCATGTTTCCACAAATGCTTTGGCAAGAAGTCGGGTATGTGCAACTTTGCTATGGTGGCATCCAAAATTCTCACCTTTCTTTCATTTTCTGGGGCCAACTTCTTCAATTCGGCCAATGCTTCCTTCTCTTCATTTGTCATTCTCGAAGAATAACGAGTTTCGAACTCCCAAGCCAGTTTTCCCAATGGTTTCTTGTTTTCACTCTTGATCAGGTCAACGATTGAAAAATACTGCGTGATTTTTTCAGGTTGGTTTACGTACTTAGCTAAGTACCCTTTCGCTTCTTGGTGCTCGATGTTCTGGAGACCATCAATTTGTTCAAATTCACGATCCCACGAGGTGATATCTTTCAGTACTTGCGGCTCCAATTCTTCACTACCTACCTTTCCAGACGGAAATAAGTTGTTTCTAGTGAAGAACTTTGTTAGCCTTCCAAATTTCATCAGACTGGCAGTCGTCTTTAGCATTGCCAACATGTCTCGCATGGGTTCATGAAAGTCTGGTGGCATGTTCAGTATTTCAGATTCTACGAGATCAAGTTCGAGAAAATCCGGATGTGCAATACAATTTCTCTCCGATCTCACATCATAGATTTTTTCCCAATGGTCATTAGTCCATTTACCATAATGGTCTTGTATCTTTTTCCAAAGGTTGTCTGTTGTTCCTACTCTTTTAAGGTACCGTTGCATTTGTTTAAACCTGGCAACTGAATAGATTCGTGTTCGGGGTTCGATCACAAATCTTGCTAAGTGTGCTTCCCACTCCCACGTTGTTTGGGCAACCGCTAATTTATTCATGAGCTGCTCGTTTTTATTATTTAACTCGTCATTTTTTGCTTTCAACATTTCAACTTGCTCTTTGAGACTATCGATTTCAGCGTTTAGGCGTCTGATATCGTTAGAGTGTACTTCCAAGACAACACTAACCTGCGCTCGCAAGTCTTTCACTCGTGTTGCGAGATTGACCTGATTTAACTTTTCAATCTCTTTCTCAATATCCGCAAGTGCTTTTAATAGAGTTTCCCTGTTGATTTCGGACTGTTCAAATTCCTGATGAGATGTATTTTCTGGTGGTGGAGATGTTAACTGTATTTCTTCAGATGGTTCTGTGCATAACATTTCGACACATCCTCGGCTAGAATTGAAATCAAAATATAGGTTTTACTTCTTGATGACATCTGATTTTTCATTAAAACTTCAAAGAAGAACAGTCAATTTTCATTATATATAACTATTATACAACGTTTTATCCCTCACCACTCCTTCGGCGAGGTGAGGAGGGGTAAGTTTTTATGCTCCAAGTTTAGTTTAATATTTGTGAAAAACTGGTTTGGGTAACTCCTATACATCACTTATGAACCAAACAGACTTAAATAATTTTTTTGTATAAACTAACATATTAAGCGTATAGGCAAAATAATTTGTTATTAGTTCTTATTATTAGTGTATAATCGCGACATTAATGCTCTGACATGGCCTGAAGACTATGCTTTATCGGTAGACATTTCATGTCAAATTTTCATTATATTTGGAGTGGTGTTTCATTGGCAACTAAAACACTCGTAGAACTCATAAAACACTACAATCTGAGCCTGTTGTTAGCTCTTGTGGGGTAAAGCAAAGCAAAAATACGAGATAAAACGGAACACTGTTTCTGTTTCGAACATAAAATTCAAATCTTCGTAACCGTGTAATATGATTTCATCTCGGTTCTTATTAACCGAGTGCGAGGTCTTTACCGAGAATTATCGGACCGCTGTCTTTTGGTACAGGTCGAGCCTGTTGTTATGAACGAAAAATGCGATATCCGATATCTCTCCGTAAAGACCTCGCAAGCCTATCATTTTGCTTACTCTTTTGCCAACATTTCGCTGACTTCTTTTTCAATCATTTCTTGAAATATCTCGTAGCATTTTTTAGCAGAATGCCTTTCTTCTGCTTCAGTGGCCCAACATCTCACCATGACAGCATGTATTTCTGGAATGTTGATCGTTATTTGGTCGATCTTTGGACGGTACCCATCTGCTATCTTTTCTCGGAATTTGACCTTGTCGATAGGCATGAGTTCTGTGAACGCCTGGGTGCCATACCACATCTCCCACAACATGATACCATAACTATAGATATCTGCTTTTTTTGTGCGATTCGTCAAGTTTTCAAGTACTTCAGGCGCAAGATAAGGCATGCTTTTCTCTGTTTCCAGAAATCGTCCCGCAATTCCAACATCAGATATCATCGCGGTCCCATCCTCATCTTCCTGTAGGTGAAAGATTAATGCTTTGAAATTTTTTACCATCCGGTCATCATTTTAGGCGAATCTAGGTCCAGTAAGTCGGACGATTTTTCGTGATAAAATGGTGATAAAATATTCAAATTTATCTTTAAATCAAGGACTTATCAAGGCTGATTTGCACCTTAAGGGAGTCAAATCAGTCCATTTCTTGCTTTGTAATCGGTTAGTTGGAATTTACTGGACTCGTGCAGTTGGTTGGTTTGCGAGTGTGGCCGGAGTTACATGAACTTTTATGGGAGCCTCATTGCATGCCTTCTCATTCCTCTGCTAAAAACTACGTGCTTCACAAATATCGTGTTTGTAATGATACTATAAGCGAAAATCAGAGCATGAGGTTATGCGTTTTGAAATATGACTTTCGCCCTATGTTAGATCCGAGAATGCATCGACGTTGGTAGTTTTAAAGATGAGTCCTGTCTTTCCGAAATTTCGATTGAAAGAATTTGTGTCTTGTGCTTTCTTGTACTCGCTTCCGTGTATTACATGTCAGTTAAAAAAAGTTATGAGGTACCAACCAGAATATTTTCAAGCTTGAGATGTCTGTGGATGAGTCCTCTCTCGTGAATGTAGTTTAGACCAGCTGCTATGTCCATCGCCCTCTTAATGAACTTGCCATTTGCTAGTTTGGGGTTTTCAGATTCTGCAGGTGTTAGACTTCGGTCACGAAAAATGGCACTTCTTAGGTTTTGTCGACCTGCTTGCATTACGAATACGAATTTGTACTTGTATGATGAAAGAGGAGTACTAATTCGGGTTGCTCCAAAATACTTGAGAACGTTTTCATGATGCAAATCCCTAGATTAAAAAAAACGGCTTAGATATTTCGCGATTTACAAGTGGGCAAATGCTCTTATATATAATTTCCAAACTATTTTTTGTACCAACATGCACAGCAGTTAGTGTTTCAATCAATATGTTTGCAGAGTGAAAACATAAACAAGTAAGAAGTAAACAAGTACCTACCTGATCTTCAGTTCTTCATACAGAAAGAATTTTGAATTCGGATTATCAAATGGATATTCGAATACTTTCACTGCCACTTCCATTTCAGAAGTCTGCGATTTGGTTCTGGGACAACTTAACTTCCCTCTGTACACTCTGGAACTCTCTCCCTCTCCAATCAACGAATTCTTGTCTGGTTTCCATTCAAGATCACTGGCATTTATTGTTTCTGGACAAACCTTGATTCCCCAGGGTAGGATTCTATTTATCATCTCGCTACTTTTCTTCTGAATTGGGTCATACAGTTTTAATATTTCATCCTGACTTCGGGTATCATTAATTAATTGCGTCACCAGTTTACGATCAGCCTCGATCAGGATGGGAATTTGATCTCCATATTTTGATAGCACCATTTTGGTGTTCTTCATCTGGCGTTGGGCATATTGTAACACGTATTCTTTTGGCAGTCGCTCCAGATATTTTTCAGATTCTTTTTCCAGATAGTCGCGCGGATTGTTTTGGTAATTGTCAAACATCTTTCTTGTACTTACTTCACGTTTTACCGCCATTGCTCCCAAAACAGGCATACCAATCACCAACCCCGCCACACCAAAGGGAATCCAAAGAGGGCTCGTTGCACCGAAGATAACTTTGGTTGTTGTCGAAATTTTATTTTGATTCTTCAAATAATCAGCTTGTCTTTCCACACTATGCATCGCCTTGTCAACACCTTGAAGTTCCTCTTCCAAAAGATTCAGCCTGTCAAAAAGATTATTATATAGATAACATTCAATAACAACAATAGTTAAGAAATATAGATAGATAGATATAGATAAAAATAGTTTGATCAAACGATATGAAACGGTTTGAGACGAACATCAGGACGAACATTGCTTTACCGGAAAAACTACAACTACTACAACTATAATGATTTATATCCTACTATGATTAAGATTTACTAACAAAAGAAGAATCTCGTTTGGAATCATGTTTTTGAAGGGGATAACTTAAACTTTAATGATATACATGCATCTTTAATTTATTTCAAATGCACACAATGTGCCAAACCTTGTACGGAATTCGTCCAGAAGCTGCCTGTGAATTTCAGCATAAACTTGATGGTCATTTTCCCACTCAATAAGCAATTCTTTGAATCGGTTATCAATTGCCATGTTGACATTGCTTTTTGTTACTTCCCAAGTTATTCCATGCGGTGGAAATGCACAGTTATCCCAAGAACAGAACTTCGTTTTGAAATCCATCGAATGTATATATTCTTCGAGTTTGGCGAGGAGAACTTTTGTCTGATATTCCACTCTTTCTGCCATGTCCTGTTTTACCTCTTGCTCTTGTTTTTCAATTTTTTCTATGCGTTTTTTGATGAATTCCATCTTTTCACGAGTTGTTTTGTGAGATGATTGTATTACTTGGTTGAAGAAATACGCTACTCTGTGAATATTACACAGCAATGTATACAACCACCTGGAAGGAAATAGTTTTTTTTAAAAAAATGTCTAATAGGGTATTAAATCTCCACTGCACTGCAAACTTGGGAACTTTTTCATATAAAGGTATACTATTGCAAAACCTACATTCAGGTGGGCTACGCTGCTCATTGTTTTTTAGTCAATAGATACCGAGCCTGGCAGCACAAAATCGTCGAAAGTATTAGAAAAAATTGCTTCATACTATGGCTTCTTACTAAAAATTGCTTCTTATCAGAAATCCATCGCTAAATTCTAGCAATACTTACTGCCATTGGTTGTATAGACTGATATTCCTTGCCTTCAATACCAGCGTCTCTATTTTTTTGAGCAAATCGCTGAACTCCTCTGTGACTCCGCCATATTCATGTGCTTTGATGGCGTCTTTTATTGACATGTACACCATTTGATGATTCAAATTTGAATCTTCCCAACACTCTCTTAACTTTGCGACGACATGTTTCTTCGTTTCTGATCTTTCATCCTCTTCTACTTGATCCCATTTATTGCAGATAAAAATGGAACATTCGGCTAAATGTTGAAGGGTCTCAGGGCCGCCACTGGAGGACTTCACCTTTTTTAAGATAGTCCTTAGCTACAATAATAACGAATGTATATCAGTTCTGTCTAAGCGATGCTACGTCTTCGACTTCAACTAGTCGTTTCAATTCAAAAGTCATATGCACTGAATTTTAATCAATTCAATTCAGCAATTATAGTAGGTATTATATAAGAAATAAATCTTTTATAGGTTCTACCTTTTCTTTGATCTCTTTTTGTACTCCTCCAGCACGGGAAGTGTCAAGAACATAGATAAACACAAGAGCATTCGAAAGATATTTCATCAGAACTTCGTCCATATCATCAGATTCACCCAGGCCTGGACTATCAATAATAACAACACCTTCCTAAAGTATAGAATATATACGATAATTATGTAATATAATTATCGTATATATTACCGTAATGTATCTACATTACTTTGAAAGCAAGTAATCAAAATTGTCTTTCAATGTGCTGTGAAATATTGTAGGTATATTGATTGGTCGAGAGAAGGATTTATTTCATTAGTTGTACTGCATTACAAAAAATGTACGATTTGTGGTACTATTAATCCCGAATTGTATTCGCTTACTAATCTATATTATCTATGTTAATTATCTTACACTTTTTTAACACTAACCATATCTTCATGTGTTGTGGAACGGATGCACTATTTTGAAACCCTATTTTTTCGCTAATTGTCAAACGCAAGTATTCATTCATATTCTAAGTATTCATACTTGATAATTTAAAATGAAAAGATTCACCTGAAGTAATTCATGCGGCCAAAAGATTTCTACTCTAGTATATCGGGATCCCTTTTCTCGCTCGTCGCACTGCATTTGCACGAAGGGAGCAATTTGATCGCAGTAATTTTTGCCACATTCTTCTTTTGTTTTCAACTCTTGTATTGTGGGTATGCGTCGCTTCCGTGATCGTTCATCGTAGTTATAGTGAGCAATCAATTTTCGTTCCTTCCCATATTTTACTTCGCATATTGTGGAGGTGGTATTCAGAGCGTGATGTGGAAGAAGCTCTTCTCCGAGAATAAGATTCACTAAACTACTTTTTCCAGCGCTACTTTCACCTGAAAAAATAGTAAAGATTAATGCCGGTTAGCATTAATCAGGGTGCGAAAAACCTGCCCCACCACTTTAACCTTCAATACCTGCAATAAGAATGTTATATTCTGTGTTCGTTAAGCGTCGCCTTTGTTCTGCCAAAACATTCAAAATACTACGATTGCCATAGTAGACGTTTAGAACCGGAATCGTGTAAACATCCAATTGCCTGACACACTCTTCAATCTCGAAATAAAACTCCTCCAAATTCTTTCTTTTCATCTCATCCTCCTCTTTAGCCTTCGCTATCACGTTAAATCCCTTTGAAATATATTAGAAAATATGTTGGGTCGTAAAAGGAAAATTTTGTTTCGGAAACAACAGATTTTTACCAGATTTTTTTTACCAAATGCATGAGATAATATGAGATAATATTTTTAAATTGAGAAAACAATAAACATTTGTTAAAAGTTAAGTATCTTAAAAACAAAGACAGATGCAGGCAATAATTATCTTTGCGCTGTGTATTATGCATGTAGAAAATGTTTATATTATACAACAGATATAACTGAAAAAAGCTTTGAGTTCTCTTTATTATGATGATTGTTTTATGCGCTCTAGCGAATTGTATTAAAATTCCATACAGAGAACATTACAAAGATTGAGGGGCTGATTACATGGTGTCTTTTCAAACCGGGCCTAAAATATTTTTCAATCACATGGGAAGTATGACTCTCCGATACATTTGACTACCTTTCTAGGTTTCTAGCTTTATTCTAAACGTTTATGCATGTGCATTACAAACAAGACAAACTAGCTTTTATTAACTGCAGGGGCTAAATTTCTTACAATAGAAGTTCAAACATTGAAATTCTGCAATCTCAAAGACTAAATTATAATTGTGGACCAGCTCCCCCGTTCTTGACTTGACATCGAGTTTTAATAAAGGGGAGACGCAATATTCTTGCAGTAATCTAAACGATGTTCAGATATGGCTTAGAGGGAAGGCCGCAGACAATTTCGAGTGCGTCGAAAGTCTATGCTAAAGTTGCTACCTTACGAATTGGCCCACTTCTGCAATAAGCCTATATATATATATATATATATATATATATATATATATATATATATATATATATATATATATATATATATATATATATATATATATATATATATATATATATATAGACGCACACGAAATTTGCAAGGATTCCATCGTGGAATTGTCGAACGATGGCGATGAACTTTCTGGGGCATCCGTACTTCGCAAAGATTCTCCAAAGACCATCTGAACTAACAGTGTCAAAGGCCTTGGTTAGATCGACACTGGGGGAGTACAGGTTGGTGCCCTGTTCCTGAGGCTATCTAGCAGCAAGCACCATGTCGTTAGTCCCGCGTTCTTTCCGGAAGCCACACTAGCTTTCTGGTGGAAGACCTTGCTCAAGGTAGGCGATAAGACGGTTAAGCAGAACTCAGATTCCACGATGGTTACCACATGCCTGACGATCTCCCTTGCGTTAATTGTTTACATGCATGATGGAAGCATCTTTGAAGTCTTGTGGGCCTGCCATATAAGCTGGAAGAGTTAGTTCGCTAGTGGCAAACCGCCCTCTTTATAGACTTCGGCTGGGATGGCATCTGAGCGAGGTTCTTTGCCACTAGGTAGCAAACGTATGGCTTTCTTAGTCCCTTCCAGAGTGGGTATGGCGTCTAGCATCTGAACAGAACCTGAAGTAGCCGATCAATGGCTTCATTGTTCATGGTGGACGGGTGGCTCAGTACCCTGTCGAAGTTTTCGGCCCAACTCTCGAGGATTTTCTCTTGTCTTTCATCAGTGTTGATCCATCTGCACTGAGTAGTGGGGAAGCGCCGGAGGTAGTAGGTCGTCTCTTGGGCTGGACGTGAAGCCTGAGCTTGGAGACGGTGAGGTGATGGCTGTCAAGCACTCTGCGCCACACATAGCCTTCGTGACTCGTACATCCTGCCTGTCCCTCGTCCTGACGATGACATAGTCGAAGCGATGCCAGTGCTTTGAGCGCGGGTGCATCCATGTTGTTTTTTTACGGGTAAGGGAAGGTGGTGTTTGTGATCAGAAAGTCATGCTCTGCACAGATCTGGAGGAGTAGTAGACCGTTGCTGTTATAGCTGCCAACCCCATGCTTTCTGATCACATCTTTCCAACTCTCGCATTAAAGTAACCAATAACGATGAGCTTGTCATTCTTACGACGCCTTCCCGGCCCCTCGACGACACGAAAGCAGTTGCAACGTGATAGTTGTTTTGTTTCATAGCTTATATGAAACTGCAATATTAGTGTGTTGTATTGAATATACAAGGATTTTGTAATAGATAATATTAATCGATTATGATTTTTAATGGTGGTATTTTGCATGAAAGAACAAAGAAAATACATATTTTACAAACGTAAACAAATATCCTGACAATTTTACGGCGATTCAAATAAAACAAACCTTTGTTGGAAAAATTACGATATCATCGCAAGGTCCTTCAACTGATCCTTTTTCTTTTAGCCTTTGCTTTTCGTTTACTTCTTTGCCTTGTTTGATTCTGTTAAAAAAATATAAAATAGCTCATTAATTATAGGAGCCCTAATTGGAACTAGGAAGCCTAAAGAACCCCGGAACCCCTCCCCCCCTTAAGAACAAACCAGCACCAAAACCATCAGTGGCGGATCTAGGGGTGGACAGAATAAATTACACAGCTTAATTTTAAATTCAAAACACCTTAATAACAACGCTATTCGTTATTGATTTGAAAAGAATATTTTGACATTAAAATCTACCAATGCGATTCCGATTTTGAGTTGTAGTAATTTATTCTGCTTAACAACCACCCTCAAAGCAGTTAACAAACTTTTTTCTATTGTTTTAGATTGTTACAACGTATATTTCACAAGTTCAATACTACAGGGTGTATCAAAAAAAATGTCCCAAATGTAAAATTTCCGTTTTTCAGGATATTTTGCAGAATTTGGCAAATTTTTGTGTTCCTAGAGATAGTTAAGACTTATCTGGTATCCTAGGCCAAGTTTGGTTTTTCATTAACAAATTACGTTACCGGGGGGGGGGTGGTTCCTTTCCACTGATATTGAGAGGGCTTGCGCGCGATATTATTTAGCTGTCTAAAAGTAGGAAAGCTTTTTAATAAACTGTCAAAGTTTCAGGAAAAATAATGCAAACTGGGAGCAACGCGTGACCCCTAAAGGTGCCGAATATTTCACTGCGCGCAGTGGATTAAATGCATCGTTGATTTTAGCGTGACCGATATCATGTAAGGCTGGGCAAATGAATAAATTAAAGTGAGAAACTGAACACAAAAACAAAGCGATTTATTGGTGATGTTAATCCTCAGCATGTCCACCATTTCATTCTAAGCAAACTGCGGCTTGTCTGAGCATACTAAACACTGAACAGCGAACCATTTGTCTGTCCATTCGCCTAGATTTGCCGGTGGTAGAGTAGGCGATTTGTAAGAAAGAATTTCGAACGAAATGGATAATAGGAGGCAGGACAGACAAATGTGGTTCGCCGTTCAGTGTTTACCATGCTCAGACGAGCCGCAGTTTGCTTAGGAAGAAATGGTGGAAATGTTGAGGATTAACATCAAGAATAAAAATCTTGTTATTAAATCGCTTCGTCTTCTTGTTCAGTTTCTCGCTTTAATTTATTCATTTGCCCAGCCTTGCATGAGATCGGTCACGCTAAAATCAACCATGCATTTAATCCACTGCGCGCAATGAAATATTTGTCACTTTCAGGGGTCGCGCGTTGCTCCCAGTTTGCATTATTTTTCCTGAAACTTTGACAGTTTATTAAAAAGCTTTCCTACTTTTAGACAGCTAAGTAATATCTCAATTTCAGCTTCACATTTTCGCGCGCAAGCCCTCTCAATATCAGTGGAAAGGAACCACGTCCCCGGTAACATAATTTTGTTAATGAAAAACCAAACTTGGCCTAGGTATACCAGATAAGTCTTAACTATCTCTAGGAACACAAAATTTGCCAATTCTGCAAAATATCCTGAAAAACGGAAATTTTACATTTGGGACATTTTTTTTTATAGTAATTCGTAACACTGTTCGAACTATCCTTGTATATTAAGGGTTTTTTGCATGAAAGAACAAATCTGTTGTAGGAAATACATGTTTCACAAACGTAAATAAATATCTCGACAGTTTTACGGCTATTCAAATAAACGCATTTCGCTTCTCATTTCACTTAACGTGCAAGCTTTTCATGAAACGTCACCCATATATCAAAACGCTCTAAGAAACAGTAATTGGACCACAAGCTTCAATACATGACACATGCACACAAATACCTTTTCATTATAGCTTCTTCCGTTTTATTTACTTCATCCATATTCACTATCTCAATCTCCATTCCTTCCACTGTGACTCCAATCAGCGAAAATTCCTTCAGCAAACGCTCTTTTAGTCTTCCAGATTTAAAATCATCCAAAACCTCGAGAAACCCTTCATCTGTAAAACAGTGCAGTGGTACAAGAAGACTTCCTTTTTTAAACTTTTTAAATTCTTGGTCATCTCGTTCATCACCAAAACTTCTCTTCGTAGCTTTCTGGAAAACCGCTGGGTTAATTATCTCCATTGTATCGATAAGTTCACCAAGAGTAACATCAGCGATGATGTTCATATCCGTAATTACTTTCACATGCTTGGCGGTAACACGGAATACAAAATCACCTCCGTCACTGCTCGATCCGGAACACAGGGCATTAATCGCCAAAAGTTTCTCCTGCCCAGTTACTGTCAATGAAAATATTGGATTAAAAGCAGTCGTTGAATTAATATTTCAAGTATTTGTATAAATTGTATACAAAATTTAGCCCACTGTGTATTAAATTTAGAAATATTACTATGTATACTGTGGAATTTTAAAAAACTAATGATAGATTTGAAAAACGCAGAATAGATTAGGACAAGTCGCCGGCATGTAAGTGTAATGAAATGGTGTGACGAAGGTTAAAAATATGTAATAGGAAATTTAATGTCACAAAGGGGAATATTAGTGAGTCACTAGAATATAAGTGTTATTATAACGATATACAAACAGCAGTTGGAGAAATTTTGAAAATGTTTTGATACCTGTCTTATTATCTTTCTTACTATCCTGGTCCTTAGTATTCTCCTCCACCTTATCAAGTTTTAGCCAATGAAATTGCAGCATTTGCAAGATATATGAATATATAATGTTATAAATACCTGTCTTACTTCTTTTTACTATCCTGGTTCTTGGTATTCTTTGCATCTTATCAAGTCTTTGTAAAACAGATTCTTGAAAGACTTTGCTTTCATCAACATGCGTTGTTATAATCGTTTCTAATTTTTCTTGAAGAAACTTGTTACTTCCCTGAAGATCAGCCGCAATTTTTTTACTCAACTGATTAAATTTGTCAGTTGGAAAGTCTTCCTCTTCAAGAATTGCAATATTATCAATTTGAGATGTTGAGAATTTAACTGCATCAAAAGCGTCCTTAGCGAGTCGAACATAGTTATCGAAATCATCTTTTGTTACTCTGGACCCGGACAAGTGACATAAAGTGTTTCTAAGCAAGCGAACTTGGTCGATTGCTAAAGCTATCGTTTCATCATGGTTTTTTGTAGCACTAATCGAGGAGAGATGAAAAGGTCTGGGTTTCTTCCCCTTTATATATTGATCACTGAGTGTCTTGATGGTTGGCGTCTTTTTGGTGGTCGGTGAAGTCATGAAGACTCCAAAGCTCTTCGAGTAAATAGTTGCTTGAAACAACGCTGTACAATCCCATTTCTCGAACGAATCACTGACTGGTATTTTTGGTGTACCCCCTTCGCGTGCCAAAAAAAGTTGTCGTACTTCGGGTGTGTCGTCCCACTCGTGGTATCCTGGCAATGGTGCAATCTTAGTGTTCCACAGTGTCACAAATGTCGAACGTAACATTTTTGGAAATTCATCGAGGACGATGGATGCAAATTTAAAGAAATTCAATTCTTCCTTTGAAAAAGCTTTTGCTGCCATTTAGATGCTGTATCGTAGGATGTAACAAAGGAAGGAAGTAAATTCTTTTATACCTTCAGCAAAAAGAAAACATTGTTGCTAGAACTAAAAAACCTCAAACAGGATTTAATCATATATAGGGAACAATTCATGGATGCGCGGAAATATGGAATTTATTCGAGTGTTGAGAATGATATCGATTTATATTACTCTTTTTATTATATAATAGAAAACTGTTTTTTTGGAAAAGTTTTTTATCCCTCTTCCCGATTCCAAGTCGGTGGATCAAACATGATAATCGCTCATGTGTTATTATGATGAATAATCGTACATGTGCTATTATTGCTTCTCAAAATGGCGGATTCGTCAATAAAACACGGCATCTTATAGAATATATATGTAATATATATATATATATATATATATATTAATATATATATATATATATATTATTATTATATTATATATGTATATATATATATTTATATATATATATATATATATATATATTAATATACATATACATATACATATATAACTTGCAAAACTTGTAGTAAACAATACGTGGGCAACACAGTGACGTCATTTAGGTTAAGGTTTAATAACCATAAGAGTTCGATTAATAGATTTGCTAAAGGACAAAGGGGTATTTGTGGACAGCATTTGTATGAACATTTTTTTGAGGCAGAACATTTTTTTCAGGGTTTAGTGATTTTTTAGTGCAAATTATTGAGGTCACTGATGTTAATAAACCCACTGAAAGGGAAAGTTTTTGGATTGAGAAATTGAATACTTATATTCCAAGGGGTTTAAATTTAAGGGAGGAGTATTAGTTTATTGTCAAGGATGATTAATTGCTGTAAAATGCAATCTTAGGCTATGGTATTTAATGACATGGAGAGGATCTTATATCGTTTCTGACGAAGGGGCTGTGCCCCGAAACGTAATATATATTTTTTTTCTTCTCAAATGATGTTTTACTTTTTGATTTTAATGATTTGAAGCTTTATATATATATATATATATTGGTATACTGATACCGTAGGTATATTGATATACTTGATTTGGACAACATTACAGCGGCTCTATGTATATATATATATATATATATATATATATATATATATAATATATATTATATATATAATATATATATATATATTATAATATATATATATATATATAGTATAATATACAGTCGTTATCAAAAAGGTTGTCATATTGAAATATATATAAATACGTAAATATCAGTCACGTGATTTTACTGCATACGTTAATTTTATGGGAAATCCGTGAAAATCTTTATTAAAAATTTCATAAATATGATAGTAAGGTTAACAATATTGATAATTATAAAGAAACAAGACAAAAATGAGCGGAATAAACAATGTTTAATGCTCACGTGATTGATATTTATATATTTGTATATATATTAATAGGGACAACCTTTTTGATAACCACTGTATATATATATATATATATATATATATATATATATATATATATATATATATATATATATATAAATATATATATATATATATATTTTTATATAGCGGCGTATATAAACACTGTAAGACTATATATAAGGCTGGACTCCTTGTAATTTAAACGTAATATTTGCTATTTATATTTATTGATATCTTTTTCGTGTTTGAGTGTATATAGATTTATCGAAGTCAATTTTTTAAATATCGTGAAGTCAGTAGCCAGTTTAATTATACTATACAGAATTTAAACCGGATCATGCATGTCTAGAAAGAAATATGATTTCTGTGATAATTCGTCTGTGTTAATGCGTGTAACCAAACAGTTTATACCTTTACTAACACAAACTCAGTCTAACTATCTGGAAAGTTCGTTCTTCGTTCCTTTCACACAAGCCCGTCCAGTCAGACGGATTACTCGACATGATTAAAGTCTGTCAAACTTCGTTGATTTTCAAATCATAGCCGGTTACTTCACATCAAAGGTGGAATAATAACTGCCTAAAACCGACAAAAACACTTCTCGTCGTTTCAAATAAAAACCCTCGTCGAGAGATTTGAGTCGAGAAATGTTACGGTACGTTTTAGGTGGTCGTTATACCATATTTGATGCGGATTTGTTAAAAGATGCTGCCACGGATATATAATGCATATATTAAAACATAGCCGTAACATTCAACCTTGAATTGTAATGTATGGTTGTACTTACGGACTTAATATAACGCCAACCAATGCTATCTGTCTGCTGGTTCACTTGCTGTTTATATTCGCATGGTGAGCGTATATATATTTTGTTGTATTTGATACATTAATATTTGTATGAGCTAAATAGTTCTGTGAGCTAAATTATAGTATTCAAGTTTGACTTTTACAGCCCAGCTGGACGCCACTTTTAAATGCCATAGATCCACTCAAGCATCCCTCGTGTTATTCACAGCGGAATACTCTTGCAAACGCTATCTTTTGGGGGGGTTGCAGGTTTGTTTCTTAGGGCACAGGTTGTTATATACAGTTGAGTGTTGCCTATGGTTTTCGTGAAATATACAATCGATTTCTTGAAAATCACTAAAGATGTTAAAAACTCTAAAAATTGAATTTAATTTGATATAGCCTTGGACTGTTTAAAACCGTAGTGATTGATTCACCAGACGAAATGTGAAACTTAATTATTTTCTTGTCAATGACATTTTTCGTCGTCTGTTATTTCTGATGCATAAGAAAGAACAAGTAAAAAAAAAGTATTCCAAACGAAAATGTCGAGAATCTAGATGCAGGATGTTATTCGACATTATATGTAACGTGATTGCGAGACAATTATATAACAACAACGCTTATATAACAACAAACAACTGCAGTTGTGTAACAATACTATTGGTTATTAATTTCTAAACTCTAAAGAATATTTGAACGTTAAAATCTACCAATCTGATTGCAAGTTTGAGCTGTGGTAATTTATTCTGACGTACCCTGGATCAGCCATGCAGTGATGCACTCTGGTGAGTCTTAAAAATTAAATTCGTACGCACTTGCCAACTAGGCTATAAAGTAATCTCTATCTATATATATGTCGCTATCACGGTGTTTTGAACTCGGATGAATAATTTGTTTATTATTAGCATGATAAAATCGTGAAATTTTTAAAGCGCTTCGTCGAGATCTTTTAGGACGTAATTTTCAACGCTTGCATGCTTTCGTCCTTCGACCACAATTACCATTATTCGTTTTTGCCCAAAATCTGCGTAATACATCAACAAGCCGTACCAGGCTACTTTGCTCACGTGAAGGCAGAGCGAATACCCTGGGAACGAGTTTGGGAAGGAAAAACACCTGGAATGACACGAAATTTTAACCTAACAGCAGGGGAGAAATACCACATATGCGGTTTGTAATAATTTTGCTCTGAATGCCTTATTTTAAAGAATGCAGACAAAAATTTTAACGAGACATCAAAGACTACAATATAATATAGATTTGAAATAAAACATTGTATTTCAAACAGCCAATTGAACTTCAAAATAGTTCTAGAGATATAATAAGCCTAATTATAATCGAAGGGACATGCATTGAAGTTTTAAAATACTTGATTGTGCAATGACAAGCACTCACAATGGAGACCGAAGCACATTATAGTAAATAATTTAAAGGCTCGAGTCCAGGGGTTATTCTAAGCTGGAGTTGCTAACTTGCTACCACTTCTTGAAGTTGCAAGAATTTATTGGAGATGGAAATTAGTACATGGGTAACTGTTGATATACAATTATTCCTAATTTCTTACTACTTTTCTAGAAATTTTCTTACAATTTCAAAAAGTGGTAGCAACTCCAGCTTAGAATAACCCCATGAACATTATGTAACCATACTTGAGGTACAAAACACCGGCGTTGCAGGCTAATGATCCCTCGAAGCCCTCCCCCTTATTTACCAAGAAAGCGAAGTCAAACTAGAAAAATGGAGAATACCCCAAGGATTTCAAATGCATGTACTGTGAATGAGTTTCCATATTATGTAACTATTGCTCACATTAATTTGTCTAAATATGTGTAATGGGAAAATAGAATTACAGATAATAATACAATTTAGAAATCTCGAAAATATGAAGCTACTACAAACAGGCTTTCCTATGGGAAATCTTTTTCCACAAATATGTGTTTTCAGTAATGTTCTGAGTGTGCTAGCTGCAATACATTAAGGGTAAATTTAAGGAAAATCCTGTTATAAACGTTAGAATGTTGTGTCCTCGGTTTCACTTGGCTCGTTTTGTAATTCCCGAAACTTTCCAGAACATTTTTTGGCGGAATATCTTTTTTCTGCTTCTGTGGCCCAGCAGTTCTTCATGACATCATGTATTGCTGGAATGCTGATCTTCTTGTTATCTGCCTTTGGACGTATCCCATTGGCTATCATTTTCTGGAATTGGGCTTTTTTTATTGGCATGTGTTCCATGAACGCCGGCATACCATACCACATCTCCCACAACACAATACCATAACTATAAATATCTGACTCTTTTGTACGATTTGTGAGGACTTTTAGTACTTCAGGTGCAAGGTAAATTATGCTTTTTTCTGTTTCCAGAAATCGTCCCACAATTCCAATATCGGATATCATCGCTGTTCCATCTTCATTTTCCTGTTTAAAACAAAGATCGTATATTGTTTATTGAATATGTGAATCACGATGCAGTATTTTGCCAAATAGCTTAGCTGAGCCCGAAGGTCTTTTGGAAGCATATTTCTAGCGTTTCGCGGTTAGGTCTCTATAAAATTCAAGGTCAATATGCACGTATTTCCTGAAGAACAAGTATTGTCTCTTCAGCAAATTTTCATGGAGATTGCTAATCATTTTCAAGGGGACATTTTTAGGATTTACGAACTTAAGTTGATTACTTAGTTAGAAATTAAAAGTTTGAACTCTTCCAACACCTCATTAATACCATACAAATGTAAAATGTCATCTTGAAAGTTACAACTAGGGAGTACCAACCAAAACATTTTCAAGCTTGAGATGTCTGTGGATAAGTCCTCTCTCGTGAATGTAGTTGAGACCATCCGCTATGTCCATCGCCCAGTTAAAGAATTTGCCAATTGCCAGTTTGGTGTTTTCGGATTTCGCTGGTGTCAGATTTCGGTTTCTGAAAATTACACTTCTGAGGTTTTCTCGGCAGGCTTTCGTCACGAATATAAACTGATACATGTTAGATGAGAGAGATGTGATTCTGGCTGCCCCAAAATACTTGAGAACATTTTTATGTTCCAAATCCCTAGAGTAAAAGTATATAACAATTTGATTAGTTTTACGTTTTGTCTTTGTTGAGATGTTTGGGTAAGAACACGCGCGTATTAAATAAGTTATCCCATGCCAAGCTGTCGTCGACAGTCGACCATGCCTCGTCGGTATTGAAAAGGCGAGAGGATTCTGCATGAAAATTTAAAATGTTAAATTTATAGAGATTATTATGCATACATGCACATACCTAATATGTACTTCTTCGTACAGAAAGAATTTAGTATTTGGTGCATCAAATGGATGCGTGAATACTTTCACTGCCACGTCCATTTGAGAAATATCTGACTCCGTTCCACCAGCATCGTTTAGCTTCCCTTTGTACACAGTGGAAAACTCTCCCTCTCCGAGGGATGAAACGCTCTCTTCTTTCCAGTCAAGATCGTTTGCATTCACAGTCGCTGGACAAAGTTCAACTCCCAAGGGTATAATAGTATCTATTATCCTGGCACTTTGCTTCTGAATTGGATCATAAAGTTTAAATATATCGTCATGGCTTCGGGTTTCATTAGTTAATTGCTTCACCAGTTTCCGATCAGCCTCTATCAGAATGGGGAGTTGATCTGCATATTTTGATAGCACCATTCTGGTGTGCTCCATTTGTCGTTGGGCATATTGTAACACGTGTAGTTTTGGGAGTCGCTCAAGATATTTTCGAGATCTTCTTTTCAAGTAGTCAAGGGGGTTTTTTTTGTAAGCATCCAGCTTCTTTTTTTCATCAACTTTCTGTCTCACCGCCAATGCTCCCAAAACAGGTATACCAAATACCAATCCCGCCACACCGAATGGAATCCAAAGAGGGCTTGTTGCTCCGAAGAGAACTTTGGCTGCGGTTGGGATTTTACTTTTATTCTTCGTATAGTCGGTTTGTCTTTCTACAATATGCATCGCTTTGTCAACACCTTGAAGTTCCTCTTCCAAAAGATTCAACCTTTTTGAAAAGATAATTATACAATAGTCAAAGAAGGTTCTAAAAGATCCACTTATATACTTGCTATATTTTAAATGAGAATAATTTAAGCCAATAATATTGGACAGTTTTTGATGTTAAACCTAATTTGACGGCTAAATTAGCAAAAGAAACATGTTATTAGGCATTTTTCTTGAAGGTAAAACTTGAACGATACATGCATGCACCTTTGGAATATAAAATCTACGCAATGGGTCAAACCTTGTACGAAATTCGTCCAGTAGCTTCCTGTGAATTTCATCGTACACATGACTTTCTTTCTCCCACTGAATAAGCAATTCTTTAAATTTATAATCAATTGCTTTCTTCACGTTGCTTTTTGTTGTTTCCCAGTCGACTCCAGGCGGTGGAGATGAAGAGCGGACCCAAGTGCAAAGCTTCGTTTCGAAATCGGTTGAATGGACATATCCAACCAGTTTGCCGTTGAGAACTTTGGTCTGGTATTGCACTCTTGTTTCCATGCTCTTTCTCACCTCTTGCTCTTGCTTTTCAATTTTCTCAATGCGTTTCTCGATTGAAGCCATCCGTTCACAAGTTTCTTGGTGGGTTGATTGTATCTCTTGGTTAAAGAAGTAGGTTACTCTATGAATATGGTGCAACACTGCATACAACCACCTGTGAGAAAATATTTCAAAATTTATTTATATTTCAAACACACCCTGTACATTTATGGTGTAATAATGCAGCATGAAGGGTTATTGGAAAAGTACGAGACAAGCCGAGTGTTTGACTACCACTGAAAAATATTTTCAAGTTGTACGGTGGAAAAAGAAAAAAGAAAACATTGGAAGAGGTACATGTTTATTCCAAATTATCAAAGACAAACTTGACATTCTCTTTACACATATACTAATTGATGTTGCTTAGCAACAAAAATATTGAGTTATTCTGGAAAAACCAGCATGTAAAGGTAGAAAGAGCATTCATTGAAAGATTATTTTTGCAGCTTTCCCATATATTTCGGCATTTTGTTTACATATAGCTTTGCGAACGAATATCTATTTTGTGTAAAAAAGTGTCGGAATAGTATGATGATACTCACTGCCAATGATTGTATAGTCTTATATTGATCGCCTTCAATACCATCGTCTTTATTTGTTTAAGTAAAAGATTGAACTCCTCTGTGACCCCGCCATATTCCTGTGCTTTGATGGCGTCTGTTATTGACATGTACACCATTTGATGATTCAAATTTGAATTTTCCCAACACTCGCTTAGTTTTGCAGTGACATATTTCTTCACTGTTGGCCTTTCATCCTCTTTTACCAAATCCCATTTATTGCAGACGAAAAGCGAACATTCAGCTAAATTTTGAAGGTTTTCAACGCCACCATCAGAGGACTGCACCACTTTTAAGATGTCCATCAACTACAATATTTAGTTACAAAAGTATACTTCGACTGGCAGGGTATCTTGCAGGGTAGCGAAGTGGTAACGAAAATTTAATTTTCTTTTTTAACTTTTTAAAAATTTAATTTTCAATTTACCTTTTCTTTGATGTCTTTTTGAATTCCTCCAGCATGGAAAGTGTCAAGAACATAGATAAATGCAAAAGCATTCGGAAGATAATTCATTAAAACTTCGTCCATTTCATCCGATTCACCCAGGCCTGGGCTATCAATGATAACAACACCCTCCTGAGAAAATTGAAAAATTATAATACAAGATTTATTAAGTACAGTAACAAAAAGTAACTTTAAAGTGGTTTATACTCCGTAGAATATAGAAATTTGTGAAAACAATTTTTCTATGTAACCGAAATATTTTAGTTTTTTGCTTCCATTTATATTTCATACTGTCAAATTGATTGCAATAAAATATATGCAAAAAAAGATTGTTGTGATTTTAGCTTTGAGAAATTTTCATATACAAGATCACCTCAAGTAATTCATGCGGCCAAAAAATTTCCACTCTTGCATAGTCGGATCCCTTTTCTCGCTCGTTTGGCTTAACTTGCACAAAGGTGGCGATTTTACTATAATAATTGTCTTCGCTTTCTAACGTCAATATTTCAGGCAAAGGACGTGACTTCTTTTCTTCGTCGTACTTATAGTGAACGATCATTTCCCTTTTTTCTCCAAACTTCAGTTCGCATATTGTGGATGTGGTATTGAGAACGTGGTGTGCAAGAAGCTCTTCACCAAGAATAAGATTCAATAAACTACTTTTCCCAGAACTACTTTCACCTAAAAAAATAGTAATGAGATCTCATTACGTTTATGTGTGTTGGAGCAAAATGTATAATGTCCTGACCACTACCTGCAATCAGAACGTTATATTCTGTGTTTGTTAGGCTTTTCTTTTGTTCTTCCAAAGCTTTCAAAACACCTTTATCGCCATAATAGACGTCTAGAACCTCAATCGCGCGATCATCCAATTGCTTCACACAATCTTCAACTTCGGAATATAATTTCTCTAGTTTTTCTCTTTTCAACATATCTTCTGCTTTAGCCTTTGCAATCACCTTATATCCCTTTGTAATAGAGAGAAAAGAAGTTAATAAAGAACGAAAATTCTAGTCGGGTGTTTATAAAACACTATAATTTCTTAAACAGTTTGCTTTGATTGTTTTGTTTAGACATTTTGACCTGATGCGGACCATGCATTGATAAGTAGGGACAAATCTATGCATGTATTCATATTTCCTGTGAGTATAATAACAATTGTTTAGGAGAAATAATGTAAAAGTGATAATACAATTAATTGCCCGTTATTTTGCTATAAAATTTTAAAAATTCATAAAACGGAAAATAGCTAATATCAGTGTAGTAGAGACATGCGGCATATATAAAATATAGATACAAGAGGGTGTATTAAAAACGCGGCTACTAAATATTAATGAGCATTCGTTTCTTTTCAATAACGAAAGACCGTAGCCCCTGGGATTCGACACACCCTGTACAGAAATTTGAAAACAAAGTCACCGTAGTTCCATTTGAATATTTTCCGCTTCCGGAACTGTGTTTTTTTAATTCCTTTTTCACTGTCTTAAGCATTTCATCAAGGTCCAATTTTTTACTGTCGTGTTTGATATGAAGCAGTTTAAATAATTTAGCCATTTCGAAAACGTCTTCTATTTTCTCTACGTCCTTTTTTGGCTTGTTTTCTTGTATTCGTTCCTTCTTGTTTTCCTTAAGCTTCTAAAAAGGTAAAAATCCACTTTGCATCGTGCCATCATTATGCAATCATTTTCATCTATGCAATCATTTTCATCTATGCAATAGAACGTGTAGTAGTGGTTTTACATTTTCATGCCATAAGCTAGGAGTACCAGGTGCATGACTTTCTCCTATACCTAGTATATTTTTGCGTAAGTGATATATATAAAATGTCGTTACATCACCTGTGAAACATTTTCATAACACGCCTTAGTGTCCTGCAACGTGTCATACACGTCATTTGAGGGTTGTTGATTTTTGGGGAGGACCTGAAAAATTAATATGATTTTATGAAGCACAAATATTTATTCAACCTCATAAAAAAATCAGGTTATGACGTCACATAATTTATTATAGATCTAACGATGCTCAAGGCCGTTTTTCTAAAGGTCAAATTACGTACCTCGTAAATGGCGTCTGTTTGTAGTTCTTCAGTTTCTGTATATTTTGATTCCAAGACTTCTTCTTTCGCTTCACTTTCTCTTGGCGTTTGGTGTGAAGAACTATCAGGGTCTTCGCTCTCCCATGATTCCTCCCTTTCTAGCGAGGACATACTGTCAATTTTACGATTTGTTGAAATAACCTTTCTACGGACTTTGCGGATGTGAACAGATCGCCAACTCCATGCACTTAAATCTTTTTAGCGCTTTTTTCTCACTGAAAGTTAGACAAGCAAAGTTATTTTCAATAGACAAGAATAATGATATCTCGTTTTTAGCTCGCCTGCACTTTAGTGCAAGAGAGCTATTGCTATAGTCTTGGCGTCCCCGTCCCCGTCCCCGTCCCCGTCCCCGTCCCCGTCCTCGTCCTCGTCCTCGTCCTCGTCCCCCTCCGCGTCCACACTACATGATAATTGTAGAATGTTAAGATGCCACTTTTATTTTCCCATTATTTTCAACTTATCTACTTAAGGAGTCTATTTGTTGCAAAAGAACCATTTACCAGGGGGGAGTGAACATTATACAACAAAATATAATGATAAGGTCAATGTTAAAATGCTATATTTTTTCTATACTTTGGCTTTACATCAGAGGAATCATTATCAATATAAGTCATCAATATGCATTGTGACTATTTATTGCCATTTGGTACACATATATACAATAATAAAGAGAGTTTTGCTCAAAATTATCAAATGATAAGGTGAATGTTAAGCTAATTAGCATAATGATAAGGTCAATGTTAAGATGTTATATTTTTTAAATATTTTGGCTTTGCATCAGAAGATTCATCATAAATATAGCTCATCTATATGTCTTTTGACTATATGGTGACATTTAGTACACATTTACACAAAAATAATGGGAATTTTGTTCAAAATTATGAAATGATAAGGTGAATGTTAAGCTAATTAGCATAATGATAAGGTCAATGTTAAGATGCTATATTTTTTAAATATTATGGTTTTACATATCACAGGAATCATCATAAATATAAGTTATCGATATGCATTGTGACTATTCAGTGCCATTTGGTACACATTTATACAATAATAAAGAGAGCTTTGCTCAAAATTATCAAATGATAAGGCAAATGTTAAACTTATTAGCATCATGATAAGGTCAATGTTAGAGTTATCCAGAGTTATCACGCTCATTACGATTTTCAGGGCTATTGTGTAGCCCTGTTTTTTTTAGTTCAAAGTTGTTGTAGCTGAATCATATTTAACGAAACTATTTGTACAACCCTAAGCCAAATGAAAAACTTTCAAATATTTTCACCTGTATGCTACCATTTGTTTGTATTGTACATGTACAATTATAAATTATGAGATTGTGTTGTGACATGCCGTATCAAAATTCAATCGCTTAATATAGAAATCATTCAGGGAGTGAAAATATATAAAACATAGTCCAACGTTAAAGTTTAAAGAATATTGTCAGATAATTCGCAATTACAAGCTTTTGCACATAAGTATTTATAAGTAGAAAGCCGATAGGCTAAGCGGAATGCAAAGGCAAATGGCAACGCATGTGACATATATTTGCATATTTTTATGTAGATACACATGCAAATATATTATTAAAGCACCTATAAGATTTATGTACATACCTTTTCGTTGTTTGATGCATAATCCTTTTTTGTGTAGATATAAAAATCCAATCTTGTTTATTTCATAAAGCTAGGCGCACACACGACGATTTTAGTCGGCCGATTCCTGTCTAGATTGTCTAAATGGATGTTTTCATCAAAATGTGGCGACTGGTGATCCATACTTGGTCATAATATTAGACCAAGTAGACTCGCGTACACGCGCGGCGCGCGAGGAAAACATGTCTGGGCAAGGGCTGCCTATATGTCTAAACCTGAATGGACCAACTACCGTAAAATCGTTGTGTGTGCGCCCGGCTTAAAGCAGGGACTTTTGCCTGGTCCGTTAACTTACCTGTTGATATCACGTGCGCGGATTGCAAGAAACGGAAGAAATATTGGTCACAAATAAAACTAATGTAATTCCGAGGCCAGTTTTGGCCAGTAATTCCGAGGTCACAACTAATATCTGAAGTTTGTGCTTAATATTACCTTCCAACGCGGATTTTAGCCTTGTAATTTGTAATAAAAAGATCGGTAATTTGTGCTTCATACAGATACCTTTCATACAGAGTTTAGCCTTATTCTAGACAAACAGTGCAGGCGAGCGTTAGGTGATTTCAGCACCTCTCTGGTTTACAGCTACGATAGCTTATGTATCAATATTAGTAGTCCTATTATTACTACCCGAAGTGATAATTTGTTACTGAGGGAAATATCATCACTTCATCACTATCATTATCACTGCATGCATGCAGAAAGAAGTTATATTTGTCTGTCAGAGTTATATTTTAACATAACTTTATCATTTCATTATTTTTTATCATCTCGTCAGAATCGGTAATTTCTTGTTTTCTAGCAAACATGCACTGTTCCCGCCTTGCGTGTGGTCTCGCGTGATGTTCGCGATTTGTAATCACCGGTGAATACTGATATTCCCAGAGGTAGTTCTAAAATTAGCTTGGTTGGATAGCACTCATAGGCATAACAATGTAAAATATCGACGCTTGAATTTTATGCATGTTAATTAATTAAAGCGATTACTGTCTTATTAAACGCTAATTATTATGAATCACCCTTATAATGCAGTCTTAGTTTATCGTGTATCAACCTTAGACAAAGCCTGATTCTGTGAAAGTTATCCAAGATTCAATATGAAAGAAGATAGCGCACATATCCGCTGTAGTCTCCTGTCTCAACAGGTGATATTCGTGTCTTTTACTATACAGAACTCATATAGATGCTATATTGCTGCATGGAGCCGGTTGTATCAAGCCCGTTTAGGTTAAACGGTGGATAAGTCAAAATTAAATAGCACTCTCATACATCTCTCCTGAATGAGTCAACTTGAATATTATGCACTGAATATGCAGTTGTAAACGGTATATTTGTATTAAGGTTGAAAACATTTAGTTTGCTCCTAGAATAAAACGATAGATTTGCTTTCTATTTTGAATTTAACCACCGTTAAGCTAAACGGGCTTGATACAACCGGCCCCTGCTCTATAAATGAACTTCAATCATGACCGAAATGTTGTAGATTGTTGCATAATCGTTTATTCAGGGAAGCGAATATTTTGTATACAAAATCAACACCAAATCGCCAATTCTGTATGTATATCAGTCGTACTTCTCCTTACACATGGAAAATAAAAAATTATAGCCAGGGCATTACCTATAGGCTATATATACATATATATAGATGTTGTCGAACATACCTGACTGTAAGTTCTTTGGAACTTGAGACTGTCGAAGCTCATCGATTCACCTACGATATACCACGCATCAACATATCTAATTATGTAATACTTGGAAGGCAGTAGGAATGTTTGTCTCCCGCATGCAGTTATTTTAAAACTTCCTGCATACTTGAGATATATATAGTTCTTTTAAGTTTATGTTACTCAATGTAATATGTTATTCAAAGCTCTCTGATAAAGGCCCTGGATCAACAGCCTAGAATAAACAATTTAGCTGGCAAAGATCACAAAATTTTTTGTCTTTATTTGAAATATGTTGTTTTCTACGATCACATGCCGGTGCATTGTTAGGAGATCCGTTATGTATCGGTTGGATATTAATTGTGTCTCACCCATTGTTATTGCTTAATTGCCACGAAAATAAAATTTTGAATTTCATACAGTAGCAACTAGTATCATTCAATATGACGGATATTGAGTAATGTAATTTGGAAATCTGAACAACATAACTCTGAAATCGAGGGTTTGCGGCCATCGAACAAATACGCTTGGCGAATCAAAACAATATTTAGCAACGCTTATCACAATAAATTTTATAGATTCAACAAATGAATTTATCGACAAAACGTAAGATTTTTCAGAACGAAGCGATGATGCTGAATTCTTCTGTACTCCAAATGGAATGAAATATACAGCTTTTACCTGAGTGTCTAGAAATTTTTTTGAAATTATTTTTTTTTCTTCTACAAAGATATTTTTACATATTTTTATTAAAAGTTGGAGAAGACTTAATAAGCCTTGTTTTAGCGGTTCAGACTTGAAGCTAGTAGGTTTCCCTGTGCGAATCATATTTAGATAATATGTGCAAATATTTAACAGTTATTCTGCGAACTCGAGTCGTATATGAGCTGATTGTGAGCAGATAACTGTTTTATTATATACACAAACTTTGTCGCCCTATCGGTGTATTTTGGTGTGCTATTATCAACTAAAGCTTGGATTTCTATATTTCACTCAACTCCCAAAATTTTTCAGCCATTTTGTTTACTTTCTCTACTAGACAGATATGAGCTAATATCTGTCTAGTAGCCAACCAATGAAATTGCAGCATACCTCATATCTGGCGCTTGTGTATATAATAAAGGTTATTATAGGTACTAGTTCCTAATTCTTACTTTTTGCATGCATCCGTTGAATTTTGTAATTACGTAAGTCAGTTTCAACACTAGGAGATTATATTAAATGTTTAGTGTAGGTTGCATTTGTTTCGTCATTTAATCCCTGTAACTTTTCGTAGCATTCTTTGGAGGAATGCCTTTCTTTTACCTCAGTGTCCCAGCACTTCTTCATTAGAGCATGTATTAGTGGAATGTTGATCGTTGTGTGGTCCCGCTTTGGACGATGCCCACCAGCAATTTGTACTTGGAAACGGTCTCTTTTGATAGGCATAAGTTCTGTGAACGCCTGGGCGCCATACCACATCTCCCACAACACAATACCATAACTGTACATATCTGCTTCCTTGGTACGATTCGTGAGGTCTTCGAGTACCTCAGGTGCAAGATAAGTTATGCTTTTCTCAGTTTCCAGAAATTGACCGACAATCCCAACATCTGATATCAACACCGTCCCATCCTCGCCTTCCTGTAAGAAAAAGGTTGATGCTTAAATATTTCTTCAGCTGCGCCCGTGATCCTTCTTACAGCGAATAACGGTTGCACCAATATCAGGGGTTTAGTAAGTATAGAGTTCGTCATTCTGGGTAGTGCTATTTAGTTTTTAAACCCAAGTCACATATAGGTTAAAACGGGTGTAATTAAAGCTCGCTTCAAAGCTTTTATATTTCTTCGCTGCATATCCATGGTCTCAGTCATATCACATCAATTATACAACAATCAACAACAATCTAATATAAACTAAAAGGTACCAACCAAAATATTTTCAAGCTTGAGATGTCTGTGGATGAGTCCTCTCTCGTGAATGTAGCTTAGACCAGCTGCTATGTCCATCGCCCTCTTAATGAACTTGTCGATTGCTTGTTTGCAGTTTTCAGATTCTGCAGGTGTGTCATTTCTGTCTTTTAAAACGACATTTCGTAGATTGATTTTGGCTGCTTCCATCACGAATATAAAGTTGTACTTGTTGGATGAACGAGTATCACGTAATATTCTGGCCGCTCCATAATCATGGCCAGAAAATTCGGACATAATTAACATTCTACTTCCGCCTAAATTTGCATATGGTGTCAAAATAAAGCTTCGTGAGTTTATAGTAAACTGTAATGTGCACAGTACTAAACGCTAAAAATACACCTTTAGGTAGGTCGACTATAATTTGCCTTAATTGCTCGTTGCAGAGCAAGTTAATCTTAATATTTTTTTATAGTATTTCAAATTGTTTTATCAGTATTCGTCCTGCATCTTCAAAACAAAGTTTCGGTCATTTATCACGTTGAATACCATATAAAACGAAAACCGTAATAGCGTAGAAATAAATAAAAATGCAGAGCCGACATAAACCTTTACCAGCAAAATATTACCTCAGGATCTTTAATATGACACGAATTACAAGAAACAACCAGGGCAAATTGCAAAGATGCAATGATTTTCTTAAATTTTGCGAAATTTAAGAATGCGCAATATAATTTATAGTTCTGCAAACGAATAATATTTGAACAGATATGCAAATTTGCTACGGCAATCTGCATATTCCATGTCCGCAATTTCTGGCCATGACTTGAGAACATTTTTATGTTGTAAGTCCCTAAAGCAAAAGGTAATATGTGAAAATTTAATTAGCCATCAAATTTTGTTAGTAGGCCTTTTGAAACTAGGCTACTCTTCGCTATTGTTCTAATTTGAATGATGAATACTCTTGCGCGATTATATCACATGCACTCTCCCTCTCTCTTAAAATTTAAACGTTTTCTTTACAAAGTCGCTAAAAATATACTTGCCTAATTTGGACTTCTTCGTACAGAAAGAATCTTTTATTTGGATCATCAAATAAATCCTTGAATACTTTCACCGCTACGTTTATTTCAGAACATTTCAGAGCATTCTTTAGCTTCCCACGGTACACTGTGGAGAACTCTCCCTCGCCGAGACATTCTTTCCATTCAAGATCACTCGCGTTTACTGTTGCCGGACAAAGCTCAATTCCCAAGGGTATTATATTGTCTATCAACTCGACACTTTTTTTCTGAATCGGACCATACACTATTAATACTTCATCCTGGCTTCGTTCATCGTTTCTTAATTGCGTAATCAGTTTTCGATCGGCCTCAATCAGGATAGGAATTTGATCTCCATATTTTGACAACACCTTTTTGGTGTTCTCCATCTGGCGTTGGGTATAATCTAACACGAAATCTTCTGGCAGTCGCATGAGATATTTTTTAGATCGTTTTTTGAGGTAGTCACGCGGATTTTCTTTGTAATTATCCAACCTGTTGTTATGATCAACTTTCTGTTTCACTGCCATTGCTCCCAAAACGGGCATACCAATCAACAAACCGACCACACCGAACGGAATCCAAAGAGGGCTCGTTGCTCCGAAGAGAACTTTGGCTTTTGTCGAAAATCTACTTCTATTCTTTGCATAATCAGCTTTTCTTTCCACATTATGCATCGCTTTGTCAATGCCTTGAAGCTCCTCTTCCAAAAGACTTAACCTTTTAAAAGAACAGGTTGTTAACTTCTCTACCTATACTGAGTTATAAACTTGATGTGAAAGTATTAACGAAAGATCAATGGTTACATTAAAGTTTTATACAACCGCCCACTTGTATATTCCCTGTTTTCAGTGTTCAGTTTTCCACTGGACGGGATGTTTCGATCAACGAAATTTTTCTTTTTACTTATGATTTGGTAAGTGGATCCACTTCGGTCGACTTCCCATGTGAGATTTTATACGAAAAATTCATGAATCTCATGTGAAAAATTTCGTTCAGTCAAAAAATTCCGCCTGTTGGAAATTCGCCTTACGGTTTGTTGTCCTAAGGGTATAGGAACAGCGTTGTTGTTCTTCATGAAACGTAATTTTTTGGCAATGGGAAAGGTATCTCCTGATATTAAGCATATAGCAGAGGCAACAATGTCCTCGAGCCAACAAGTCGTTGATGTAATATAAGGCCTCTATTATTTTTGAGGAAAATATTTTCACGAATGACCACTGTACATGCACCTACACACAATATAATGCCAAACCTTGTACGAAATTCGTGCAAAAGCTGCCTGTGAATTTTCGAGTACACTTGATTGTCATTCTCCCACTGGATGAGTAATTCTTTAAATCGGTAATCAATTGCCTTTTCCACGTTGCTTTTTGTTGCTTCCCAATTTATTTCGTACGGTGGAAGTACGCAATCGTTCCACCTGCAGAGCTTTGCTTTGAATTCTGTCGAAGAAATGTATTTCCTCAGTGTATCTTGGAGAACTGTGGTCTGGTATTTCAGTCTTTCTTCCATGTTCTTCTTTACATCTTGCTCTTGTTTTTCAATCGTTTTCATCCGTTTTTCGATTGATTCCATCCGTTCACGAGTTTGCTTGTGAAATGATTGAACCTCTTGATTGAAGAAATATGCTACTCTATAAATATGGTGCAGCAATGTATACAACCACCTGCAAGAAAATAAGTATCTTCAAAGGCATTGCCTAGATTCAAATTTATTATAAATTTTGAGGTGATTACTAATTTTCCTGCTTTTCCAGATTTTTCCTTAAGTAATGTCAATTGAGTTTATTCGGACCATTATTATAATAAATGAGGATAGAAATTTGTGAAATGTACTTACAGCCAGTGGTTGTATAGTCTGACATTTATTGCCTTCGATATCATCGTCTTAATTTTTTGAAGTAAATCGTTGAACTCCTGTGTGACTCCACCATATCCCTGTACTTTGATGGCGTCTTTTATTGACATATACACAATTTGATGACTCAAATTTGAACACTCCCAACACTCGCACAGCTTTGTGACGATATGTTTCTTCACCGTTGATCTCTGATCTTCTTCTACTTGATCCCATTTATTGCCGATGAAAAGCGAGCATTCGGCTAAATGTTGAAGGGTCGTCGTTTCAACACTGCATTCAGTCTGAGACTTCTGCACCTTTTGTATGATGTTCATCAACTACAATAACATATGAATGTATGGATCATCTATAAGCTATGCATGTACGCCATCTTCTACGCCCCCTCAATTTTGAAACAAATTTATGACTTTTATACATAGGCGCTGTGGCCTATAGGAACCTATCCAAATGCTTATTCTTAGCACAAGATTTGGAAAATCCTTTTACCTTTTCTTTCAAGTCTTTTTGTATTCCCCCAGCGTGGGAAGTGTCAAGAACATAGATAAATGCAAAAGCATTCGGAAGATAATTCATCAGAACTTCATCCATTTCATCAGATTCACCTAGGCCTGGACTATCAATGATAACAATTCCTTTCTAAAATATAGAAAGTAAAAATAGTAACTTAATAATTTTACCTGTTTGCTGACGCGAACAGACTACATTTACGTTTTGGTAATGCCCTAAAGTAGCTACATTTCCAAAAATGTATATTTCGTCTGCTCGCGTCTAGAATTTTTAAGTTACTATATCATCCAATCATCAATTTTAAAAACTAACCACCATCCATTTACCTTAAGTAATTCATGCGGCCAAAAGATTTCTACTCTAGAATATTTGGAGCCTTTTTCTCGCTGATTTGACATTTGCACGAAGGGAGCGATTTGATCATAAAAAATTTTGCCGCATTCTTCCTGGGATTTCAAGGGGAATATTACAGGCAAAGGACGTGTCTTTGTTTCTTCGTTATCTTATAATGAACGACCAGTTTTCGTTCCTCCCCAAACCTCAGTTCGCATATTGTCGAGGTTGTACTCAAGACATGGTGTGCAAGAAGCTCTTCGCCAAGAATAAGATTCAATAAACTACTTTTCCCAGCACTACTTTCACCTAAAGAAAGCAAGTAGAATTTATTGCATAGTTTCAATGTAAACTATATAGTAGATTGACTTTACGCTTATACACACAACGCATAACGCCCGGTACCTGCAATAAGAACGTTGTACTCTGTGTTCGTTAAGCTTTTTTTCTGTTCTGCCAAAGCATTCAAAATCCCACGATCGCCATAGAAGACGTCCAGAATCTCAATCGCATACTGATCCAATTGCTTGACACACTCATCAACCTCCAAATACGATTCCCTCAGCCTTTCCCTTTTCAACGTATCTTCGGCTTTAGCCTTTGCAATGACCTCAAATCCCTTTAAAATGCAGTGAAAAAGTTTAGAATGATAGTAGAAATGATATAATCCCAAACAAGATTCATGCGATATGATTTATATATTGTGGACTGTTGCGTTCATATGCTAATGTGTAAACTCACCGTTATTCCATTTGAATACTTTCCGCTGCCGGAACTTTGTTCTTCTATCTCCTTTTTTGCCGTCTCTTTCATCTCTGAGAGGACCAATTTTTGAGGATCATATTCAATATGAAGCAGTTTAAATAACTCCATCATTTCGTAAATATCGTTTACATCGTCTACGTTTTTTTTCGGGCTGATACACCGAGCCTTTCTATGTTGGAAAGTACCAAGCTCTTCATATACCTAAATAAGGAAAATTCACCTCAGTACATATGCTTAGCCTTGCCACTCATGCTTTTTATCCAATATAAGGTCTTCGTGTATAAAACGTTTGTGGTATAAGTGTTTGAAAATTGATTTATTTGGTACGTTTATAGCCACATGTCTGTCGCATCACCTTTGGTTCATGACTTGTATCTTTCTCCGGTATCACCACTTTGGTATAGAGATCGCTTGAGGTTTGTGGATTCTCAGGAATATCCTAAGCCAGTGAAATGATTAAAGAAGCACAAATACTTTTTTCACCAAACAAACAAATCTAAAGAATGCAATTAACACCCACGGCTTTACCTTATTTAATTTTCAATGGTATGACTATACCTATACGCCAATGATTAATTGGATCTAAGATAACGGCTAGAGGATTACTTCGTAAATATTTTATATATTTTTTTCTTTTGCTATAAATCGGAAATGGCAAATGGGAAGTTGTTATAGCATTTTCTCTTAATCTACCTCGTAAACAGGAACAGTGTTTGGTTTTCGAGTTGTTGAACAATCTGATTTTGTGCGGCGCACTCTCTCTAATACTGGTGATGATTTGGCGAAGTAACTTGAAGAGCTTAAGAACCTTTCACGCCAAGTTGTATCCTCCTTCTCCTCTGGCGAAGACATACGGTCAATTTTGCGCTGTGCAAAGATATTTAAGCTTCGTCAAACCTGTGATATGAAGAGATATTCAAATCCATGCATGCACTTCCGATTATATAGCTACGATTCCTTACAATGACGTACTATGATTAGACAGTGAAAGTGTATACCAACTAATAATCATCGCCATGGATGAAATTTGTACTTCTCAAGAGCCGATTGAAATAATAGATAAACTGAAATGTGAAATTTCATTTTCCGTGCTAGGCAGATGTAAACAACGATATATACATACTTAAATGCAGAGTTTTTGAAGCACTCTAAAATACCAGTAAACTGCATGTTTGCACCGAAATTCAACAGGACCAGTTTGGCCGTTTTTACCATGGAAAGCGCCCTTATAATTGTTTAAGGCTCTTATTTCGAGTGGAAACCAGTTACTTCTGTAGCCCAGGGGCAAGAGCATTGCCCCAAGTTTGATCCGGAGGACCGATAGTTGACACATTTTTCTCATCTGTTCCTGGCTTGATAAACACTTCCCGAATTTGCTTGAGTGCCCACAAAACAATAGCTTTGAAACGAGGCGGGTAATGTAAGCTATTGTTAGTGGGATGGTTTTCATTCCTGGTAACAAATTCAGGAAGTGTCTATAAAGTTTGAGTTGTGTATGCTATACCCACTCGAAATTAAGACCCTTAAACCCTTATTCTTCTTCATCGCGTAAAGTTTCACAAAATGCGGGGAGTTTTTTCACAAAAACGCAAGTTTCTTTATTTTGTTCAAGTCTACAATGCTTGTCGACATTACTATCGGTCATAATCTACAGACAGCTTTAATAAAGAACCCGCTGACCGCCAAACCAGGGTTTGAGTTTTATATAAAAGACAATTTTTGTGTTTGTTTTTAACAATATACTTGAAAATTGAATCAAATTATGATCGCGTGATATACAATTGATAGTACAATTGTTGTGGTTCATGTCTCTTGCTGTGAACGTCTCTGTATTCTGAGCGCTAGCATTAAATTTTTAGTATCCGATTGTATTCTAATAATAATCACCTTTATTTTCCTGTGAAAACTCTAGCTGTGTTTTACGGATTGTTTTGGCTCTTTAAATATTATTATCTTCCTCGTTCTCTTTACAATTAAATTCAAATGCAAAACGACGAACAATTAATGAGATACTTATCGCCTTACTTTCAAAGTCACTAATTTGTAAAGGTATTTGCACGCGTTATATATATATATATATATATATATATATATATATATATATATATATATATATATATATATATATATATATATATATATTATTATATATATATAATAATATGGAATATTGAAACGCCGAAAGACGCCGAAATTTCATACATGTCGATTACTACAAGAAAAGAAGCGATTTAGAATCGATATTAAAGATCTCTCCGGATTGGTAAACCAAACCCTACCGGATAAACAAGTGTAGTGACATGTTTGGCTGAAATTAAAGCACCCTTTCATCTTTTGTCACTAACTGATTTATATATTATGATATTTATTATTACTATATATTCATGTTCGCGAACTTTTATCAATTATAGTATGTAGAGTATGACTAAAAATGTATCTAGTTTCAGATCTGACTCTGTAGCAGTCGTATGCAGAGAACTATAAACGCAATATTTATAGGAAAGACCCGATTTATGTCATCATTTCCTGTCTTAGCATGCAGTATCCGTGCTTTTCATTACAAAACGCATACTACTCTGTTGCTCTGTAAATTAAATAATATTGGGTCTGATACTCTGATCTACAAGTGAGTTGTTGTATATAGTCGTCTTTCGAGTTGACTAAAACGTTTAATACAAAATCTAAATCTCTGACGAGCAGAACCACAACACGCTATATAATAGATTAATATTACAACCAGCTTGAATATCCTACCCTTTCTTACATATACTGGATTTGAAACAATGATACATAACTTTAGAGGTTGAGGTTGACGAACATACCTGACCACAAGGCTCAATCAAAAATATACGAGAACTGTGGATGTTAGCTGTTCGAGTTCCTTCATTCACATACTGACCGTGTTTATACTATGAATAGCTATTAGGTCATGCAATACTTGAAAACAATTTTAATTTCTAAAGATTTTATATATGCCACAATTTAAAGAGTGGTGATAATTTTGCCCCCCATTGTGCAGTTTCAAAACCTCAAATATTTGAAGTATGCCGTTTGACTCAGTGGCGATTTAAACACCGTACAGGCGGAAAGCGTAATTTAGAAATGAATTGCAAATAAGACATGATAAATTATATATAAAATTTATTGGCCACCGTTTCGTTGTGTTGTTTCGTTTGTTAAGCTTTAATTTTCATTTTTTAAGGATGCCGCTTGATAAAGATCACGGGCATGGTATAATGACAACAGCGGCCGTAGTTTTTTTGGGCAAAATTGGATATTAATGTGTATATTAATTCGAGATACGTTGTTTTATACGATCACATGCAAGTGATCGGTTGTTTTTTATATTCATGATTATTTACGTCTGTCCTACTGTAATTACTTGAAAATAACTATTGAATTTTATACAAGATCAACTGCATTATCATCTCAATAATCCAATATGGTGGATATTTAGTAATCAAAGAAAAATTTAAAATCTTTAAAAAAGTTATGATTTAATGACTGGTCCAGTTTTAAATTCTTAAATTGATTAATTCTTGAGTGTCATAAAGCTACGTCATCGATTGCATACTAAAACGTGCGGAAAAGTTAATTTTTTCTCGATATTTTGGGGGAAATTGAATAGTCTCGCTTTGATATGCATTAAGTCGTTTATAGAAGCCAAGTTTTGCGAATTAGTAACGGGTACTGGAGACTAAAATACTGTCTTGATTTTGCCATAACTTTCGTTATTCCGGTCGCGGTTTTCATAAAATATGATTGCTGTAAGACGATCACAATTGGTGCGAAAAAAAAATGCTAATCGCGGTTTTCATATATATATGACGGATTGACGGATTTCGCATAGCAACTTATTGCAACGCATAATCAGAGAAACGCAGCTTGCTTGAGAGATGACGTATCAAAAAGGGTTGAAAAAAAGATTAAATATATTTAAAAATGCACACACTACTAAACTGTAAATATAATCGATACTCATTTGCTACATCGCGAGTGTTTTTGAAAAACTACTTTTAACTACTATTATGACAGTAAACTATTCGTGCTTCATTAAGTTTGCGTTTTATATTTCAATTAAAGCGTGCACTTAATATCAATAAAAAATACCAAAACAGTGTCCTCTATGCTTATCTACTTGTATATATATATGTTGATGGCGGGCTAATATGTTCTTCAGTAAAATGTGCTTAAATGTCCCCCGCATTTGGACATTCATCATTCCAGTCTCCATTCTGTCAAATCCGATAATACATCATAGCACACTTTCATTGGCCATCTGTTTTCAACCTCAGTAGCCCAGCATGCTACCATGACCTGAAGCACTCCTATAATGTTGATTTTGTTTCTATCTATTTTTGGACGATCCCCTGCAACCAGCTTTTCTCGGAATTGGACTTTTTCGATAGGCATAAATTCTGTGAACGCATGGGCGCCATACCACATTTCCCACAACACAATACCATAACTGTAAACATCTGCTGCTTTTGTACGATTCCTGAGGTCTTCAAGCACTTCGGGTGCAAGGTAAGTTATGTTTTTCTCTGTTTCCAAAAATTGGCCCACAATTCCAATATCTGATATCATCGCTGTCCCGTCCTCGTCTTCCTGTTGGGCAAAAAAATAAATTACTATTTTTAAATTTTTCAAAATTTAAAAATAACCTAAGAAAACAGTTCAAAGGCAGAAATGAAACAATTGTTCACCCTCGGTCACGCGAATTCCTTAAAGTGCGTTATATACACTTATTTCTAAAAAGTAATAATAATCGCTTCATTATAGCAATAATAAAAATTAACCTTATGGTGATCTCTCAGTTTTTTAACTCAGGTTACCTATTATAGTTAAAGGGCCGAAAAGTATAGCTTCAATATAAATATGCAGTATAATAACTGTATAAGTGTACTAACCAAAATATTTTCCAGCTTGAGATGTCTGTGAATAAGTCCTCTCTCGTGAATGTAGTTTAAACCATCCGCTATGTCCATCGCCCTCTTAATGAACTTGCCGATTGCTAGTTTGGAGTTTTCAGACTCCGCTGGGGTCAGAATTCGGTTTTTGAAGATGGCACTTCGCAGGTTTTGTCGGGCTGCTTCCATTACGAATATAAATTGGTGGTCTTTGGATAAAAGAGTATTATCACTAGTTCGGGCTGCTCCAAAATACTTGAGAACGTTTTTATGTCTCAAATCTCTAGAGAAAAAAAGGATATCGTACACGTTAGGATCATTTGAAATGGGTTGGACATGCAGGAACGTATATGTGTTGAACAAAATATAATAATGGCATTCGGCATTAATGGCATTGAATTTTATAACACGAGTGACTAGGAATACGTGTAGTTCGAGTGATGTGTCGATGCGTGAAAAGTGTAACAGTGTGCGCTCGATTTAAGGCTTAGGACAATAAAATTTTCTCGATCATAATGACGTTTGTTGGTTCCGCAATACAAGATACACACCTAATCTGCAGTTCTTCCTGCAGAAAGTATCTAGAATTCGGTTCATCAAATTTTTTCTTGAATACTTTTACCGCCACGTTCATTTCAGAAGTCTCTGATTTATTTCTTCCAAGATTCTTTAGCTTCCCTTTGTACACTCTGGATACCTCCCCCTCGCCGAGGCATGAACCGTGGTCTTTTTTCCAGTCAAGATCACTGGCATTTATTGTTGCTGGACAGAGCTTAATTCCCCAGGGTAGGATTTTATATATAATCTCGAGACTTTTCTTCTGAATTGGGTCATACATTCCCAATATTTCACCCTGTGTTCGTCTGTCATTAAATAATTGCGTCACCAGTTTTCGATCGGCCTCGATCAGGGTGGGAATTTGATCTCCATACCTTGATAGCACCATTCTGGTGTTCTCCATCAGGCGTTGGGCATATTGTAACACGTATCTTTTGGAAGTTGCTCCAAAAATTTTTCGGATCGTTTTCTGAGTTGTTCAAGCGGATTGTTTATAAATCTGTGAATCTTCTTTTTTTTATCAACTTTACCTTTTATACCCAATGCTCCCAAAACTGGCATACCAATCACCAAACCCGCCACACCGAATGGAATCAAAAGAGGACTAATCACTCCGAAGATAACTTTCGCCTTTAAGGGAATTTTATTTTTGTTCCGTGAATGATAAGCATGTCTGTCCACACTATACATCGCTTTATCAACACCTTCGAGTTCCTCCTCCAAAAGATTCAAACTAAAGCGGCAATTATATAGATAACATTTGAGAACAGGCTGTAAACAATGTACTTTAACTTAACTAATTAGTGTGAAAATATAAATAACCGAAAATAATCAACAATTAAATGTACTATATTGAAAGTCGCGTTGTCAAAATCAAGTTTTATATGGCTGGTCGTAATTGATTAATGACTTTTTGTACAGTGTTTTCTTAGGTTTTCCTTTCCTATTCTGTATTCTCTTTCGATATACTCGTCCAATTGTTAGTTTTTTTACAACGCTAACAATTAGATATTTTTTTTGCTATGCCAGCCTACGAGGGCATTATACAAGTATCCTTTAAGCATCCATTTTTGCTTGGAAACAAAGAAAAACTCTCGAAAACGTTGCCCTGTCCTGTAAGACCTTTATTTTTTATATAAAAAAATTATAATGCGAAAGGTCCCTTTGAAATGTGTACTACATACGACATTTTTGAGCGATTTAGATCGTGATTTATTACCAAATAAAGAATTTAGTTTAGCATAATATTTTTAGACATGAAAATTGCCACGATACATATGTAAGCTCTTCAATTGAAAATGCACAGGATCTGCCTAACCTTTTACGAAATTCGTCCAGAATCTCCCTATGAATTTCAGCATAAACTTGATGGCCATTTTCCCACTCAATGAGCAATTCTTTGAATCGGCTATCAATTGCTTCTTTGATGTTTCTCTTTGTCATTTCCCAAGTTATTTCTTCCCTCGGAAGTTCACAATTCGTCCAAGAGCAGAATTTCGTTTTGAAATCCATCGAGTAGATATAAACTTCGAGTTTGGCTTCGAGAACTTTGGTCTGAGTTTTCACTCTTTCCTCCATTTCTCTCTTTACATCTTGCTCTTTTCGTTCAATCTTTTCGATGCGTCTCTCGATTTCTTCCATTCGTTCACGGGTTTCTTGGTGAGTTGATTGCACCTCTTGGTTGAAGAAGTAGGTTACTCTATAAATTTGATACAGCAATGCATATAACGACCTAGAAAAAAATAGTTTTCTTTTAAAGAAACGCGTAATATAATTGTCTGCTCAAGAGTCAACAGTTTCGGAGACTCATCTAGACAATTTTGCTTCTGCACTACAAAATTAGGAATTTAAATCCTTTCATCAGGGACTTTTCTCATGTAAATTAAAAAGAGTAGCCTACTGCTGCTACGTTCGCAACTATTATAGCTAATAACAACAATAACAACAATAACAACAATAAACTTTATTAGCACCATAGAAAAACTTTTTTTTAAATTACAAAGTGAAATTCAACTAAATAGTGCAGGTTATCTGAAATAACAATAGTTAATCCAGTCAGATAACCTCTAATTTATTTGAGACATTAAGGGGTCGCTAATAAATGAAAAACTTGTACAAGCATTAAATGATAAAAAATAATATTAATAAACGTTATTAAATCACATATAGAGATTTAACCTATTGTTAATATTCTTTTTGAACCTGAATCTCGGAAACATTTTCATTTCTTCGTAAATAGATAACGCTAGCTAAAAGTGTCTTTCATCGCGATTTACGAATGTCTGTGCATAAATCTAAGCTATAATGGTATTCTTAAATGTGTATAGACATTAATTTGAAAACCAAAGCCTTTTAAACACAAAAATACAGCGAGTGACAAAATAAAAATTTTATGCATCAAAACATATTTATTACCGTTCAATTTCTTTCTAATTTTGTTCAACGGAAGTTAGATATTCTTTCTGAAAGAATTTTTTATGTGTCGAATATAAAGAAAATGTGCTGAAATTTAACAATTACGTTTGCACGGATTTTCACTCCTATATATCTCGACGCGATCTTGATTTGAAAAGAATGACAACAAATTGCCGTCAAAATGCCAAAGCCGTATATGCATTTCTATATACATGTGGAAATATCATACATCCAAAATATTGTATAAAGTTAATTTACTCATTGAAAAACGATTTCTATTTCATCACATGTAATAAAAAGTTCTATACTTACTGCCAGTGATTGTACAACCTAATATTTATTGCCCTCAAAACCATCGTCTTAATTTTTTGGAGTAAATCATTGAACTCTTCTGTGACTCCGCCATATTCCTGTACTTCGATGGCCTCTGTTATTGACATGTACACAATTTGATGATTCAAATTTGAATCTTCCCAACACTCTCTTAACTTTGCGACGACATGATTCTTCGTTGCTGACCTTTCTCCCTCTTTTACTTGATCCCATTTATTGCAGATAAAAAGCGAACATTCGGCTAAATGGTGAAGGGTCTCAACGCCGCCATCAGATGACTTCACCTTTTTTAAGATGTTCCTTAACTGCAGTATACGAATGATATGATTGTATCAGTCAAGACGCAATTATATTAGGGTATTAAAATATTATATGAGCAAGTTTCGAAGTTTGTCTGTTCCAGAATCTAATTGGTTAAGACTACGTCACGTGAAAGGCGGGAAATCCGAGTGTTTACCACAAAATCTTGTTTATCAGGTTTGAACCGGTTTGATAGGAGGTTAATACTTCAACCACCGGGATTAATAAAACCGGAAGTGGTGATGCTACGTCACATCACGCGACATATGACCTTCGAAATTCAGAGTTCAACCATAGTTTCTCTGCCTAATAATTCTTAATTATATTATTTTATGGACATTAAAATATTTTAAAGTTTTCCTTTATTCACCTTCTCTTTGATATCTTTCTGTATTCCTCCAGCACGGGAAACGTCAAGAACATAAATGAACGCAAAAGCATTCGGAAGATAATTCATCAGAACTGCATCCATTTCATCACATTCACCCAGGCCTGGACTATCGACAATAACAATTTCTTCCTAAAGTACAGAATAAAGAAAGTTTAAACCGTAATGCATGCATGTGCATACAGTCATTAACTATCGTATTTATTTAACAATTATTCTCCGAAGGCGGTGTGAATATCACTAAATAATACAGAGGTGATTTTTTGAAAGAAAAATCTGCTGTAGAAGCGACAGTTCGATTAGTACATTTCGAAGCGACAGTACGGCGATTTAAATAAAACAATGCATATTTTGGCGTTAGTTTTTACCATAGTAGTTTTTAATTTTTGCGCTTTCTGGCACAGCATTTTCGTCAAAATAATATATTTCTTCATCCGTCACTTTGACAAAAACAACTCGCCGGATTGAAAAATCCGCTTAGTCGCATAATAATCCGAGGTCGCTCGACCAATCAGAGGCAAGAATTTTCAATAATCATCTTTGTAATCAAAGTTTTTTCCAATCCTTAGTGAAACAGTTACAATCCCCCAATTTTCTTATACGGTTTTAAAACCAATAACGATAACTATATGTACATATATAGAGGAACAGATAGATAATATTCTGAAATCCCACATTTCCACCATGTGTCAAACAAAGAGAATTCTGAATATTATTAATTGATTTCTTAATAATTAGAAAGGCAACGGTTCACCTCAAGTAATTCATGCGTCCAAAAGATTTCTACTCTAGTATATTTAGATCTTTCGTTGGGCTTCCTTTGCACGAAGGGAGCGATTTGTTCACAGTAACTTTTGCCGCATTCTTCTTTTGTTCTCAACGGATGTATTTCAGGTTTGGGCATCCTTTGTTCCTCATCGTAGTTATAGTGAGCAATCAATTCTCGTTTCTCCCCATATTTTACTTCGCATATTGTGGAGGTGGTAGTGAGATTGTGATGTGGAAGAAGCTCTTCGCCGAGAATAAGATTGACTAAACTACTTTTTCCGGCGCTACTTTCGCCTAAAAAATTGTAAAGATAATTTTTTTTCAATGTTTCATTGCATACTGCACGGTGCTGCACGAGGTATGTGTTTAAATGTCTGTTAGGTTAACTCTAGCTGCATGGCTAAAGCATTTAAAAATCTGGGGTCGGTTGTGTGAAAGCCGGATAGTGATATTAGCCGGATAGTGAAAACCGGCCCCAGGCTTTTAACAGTTCATTTATAAATTTGAATGGGTAAATGTTTCAGAAATCTTGTCCGATTCGATAGAGACTCAATTTTCTAAGTTTTGAACAGAACAGAAATTCAGAAATGTATTACTGTGTCTCTTTGTGTTCGACTGGCAAGAACAAAAACAGCAGGTCGAAGTTTAGCCTTAGGACAGGGTTGGCGCTGATAATTGGGGTTTGAACAACCTGCCCTTGCAATATATAACCAACTACAACCTTCAATACCTGCAATAAGGATGTTATATTCTGTTTTCGTTAAGCGCTCCCTTTCTTCTCCCAAAACATTCAAAACACTTCCATCGCTATAGTAAACGTCTAGAACCTCAATCGCGTGGCTGCCCAATTGCCTCACACAATCGTCAACCTGGAGATTAAAGTCCAGCAGCGTTTTTCTCTTCAACATATCCTCGTCTTTAGTCATGGCTATTACCCCAAATCCCTTTTAAATATAGTAGAAAATATGTTGAAGTGTGGATAATTTTTGCCGCAGTCTTGTTTAAAATCACTGAATAAAAACCTCGACTTCGTCTCATTAAAAAATGTTAAATGTGATGACAACGATTACGATGAGAACACCTGAGATTTGAGTAAATCTGAGGCAATTTTCAACCTCGTTATAATCATGTTTTTACAATCTAAACGTAAAGCTTTCGGGTATATTAGTGATTAAATGTGTCCGTATGCTCGAAAGGTGACGCAAAGGTCGCTCGACCATGCTTTGGCCTGTAATACTAAACTTTATCGCTTTGTGGGACATTTCATCACCATTACTAGGCAAGAGTTCTCAAAGCATGCGTTTACTTTTCGTAAATATGATAATTCGTAAAAGAATCACCGTTGTGCCATATGAATACTTTCCGCTACCAGAGCCTTGGTCTTCGAGTACTCTTTTAGCCGTCTTCTTCATTTCGGAAAGATCTAATTCAGTAGGGTCGTAAGCTATATGGAGCAGACGAAATAAACCAAGCATCTCGCCTATGTCTTGTATTTCCTCCGCATTCTTTTTGGGCGTTTTTCCGGATATTCGTTTTTTGTGTCTACGACGAATTCTTGTTCTGGCACGCGGTGTTCATATTTCTAAAAAAAGGACCACTTGAAATTACAGTTAAACTTTAACGATTTCAATAGTGGATTTTTTGTCATCATTTTCGTTCCAAATTCTGCCAGATCATTTATATTCAAGTACTTTCTGCCAGTATTTTCGTTTGGCGCTCTGGCACTTTTAGCTCTTATAGGGCGGCCTAGTTGATATGCAAATATAGCTAACATTCTACTATTTCGTATATATTTTAGGAAATCTTTCATTGTACTGCATTACAAGTAATGACGTAACTATTCTTCTCTCAACCAATCAGTGTCCGGTGATTTTTTCATATTGATAATAAATATAATTAGCACGTCAGCAAAAAAGTTGTTTACCATTTTTGTGACATAAATGATTAAAACTATACTGGCCATATATCTGCTACATCACCTGTGGGTTAGAACGTGAAACTTCTTGTGTCGTGAATGTGTTGTATCGTCGTGAGGGGCGTTGATATTCCGACATGTCCTATTGATAATTGATATGTTTGAAAAATAGATAATATTTATCTCAGTTCATAAAAAAACAATGTATTTATAATTAGACGGCTCTGGTTCACATATATTGTCCACAAGGTATAGCTACGCCTGTCTGGCACTATGCCAGTCCACATGATTAATTAGATCTATTTCGTAATTGATTTCGTAAATTATTAGCTGGTGTTAAAATCGCTCAGTGATAAACAGGAAACAGGACGTTTTTATAATAAATATAATTAATACGTCAGCAAAAAAGTTGTTTAATATTTTTGTGACATAAATGATTAAAACTATACTGGCCATATATCTGCTACATCACCTGTGGGTTATAACGTGATTCTTCTGGTGTGGTGAATGTGTTGTATCGTCGTGAGGGCTGTTGATATTCCGACATGTCCTATTGATAATTGATATGTTTGAAAAATAGAAAATATTTATCTCAGTTAATAAACAAACAATGTATTTATAATTAGACGGCTCTGGTTCACATATATTGTCCAAAAGGTATAGCCACGCCTGTCTGGCACTATGCCAGTCCACATGATTAATTAGATCTATTTCGTAGTTGATTTTGTAAATTATTAGCTAGTGTTAATTTCGCTTAGTGATAAACAGGAAACAGGACGTTTTTATTATAAATATTATTAACACGTCAGCAAAAAAGTTGTTTACCATTTTTGTGACATAAATGATTAAAACTATACTGGCCATATATCTGCTACATCACCTGTGGGTTATAACGTGAATCTTCTGGTGTCGTGAATGGGTTGTATCCTCGTGAGGGGTGTTGATATTCAGACATGTTCTATTGATAATTGATATGTTTGAAAAATAGAAAATATTTATCTCAGTTAATAAACAAACAATGTATTTATAATTAAACGGCTCTGGTTCACATATAATGTCCAAAAGGTGTAGCTACGCCTGTTCGGCACTATGCCTGTCCACATGATTAATTAGATCTATTTCGTAATTGATTTCGTAAATTATTAGCTACTGTTAATTTCGCTCAGTGATAAACAGGACAGGGACGTTTTATTATAAATATAATTAACACGTCAGCAAAAAAGTTGTTTACCATTTTTTTGACATAAATGATTAAAACTATACCGGCCATATATCTGCCTCATCACCTGTGGGTTAGAACGTGAATCTTCTGGTGTCGTGAATGGGTTGTATCCTCGTGAGGGGTGTTGATATTCAGACATGTCCTATTGATAATTGATATGTTTGAAAAATAGAAAATATTTATCTCAGTTAATAAACAAACAATGTATTTATAATTAGACGGCTCTGGTTCACATATATTGTCCACAAGGTATAGCTACGCCTGTCTGGCACTATGCCAGTCCACATGATTAATTAGATCTATTTCTTGGTTGATTTCGTGAGTTATTAGCTGGTGTTAATTTCGCTCAGTGATAAACAGGAAACAGGACGTTATATAATTAACACGTCAGCAAAAAAGTTGTTTACCATTTTTGTGACATAAATGATGAAAACTATACTGGCCATATATCTGCTACATCACCTGTGGGTTATAACGTGAATCTTCTGGTGTCATGAATGGGTTATATCCTCGTGAGGGGTGTTGATATTCAGACATGTCCTATTGATAATTGATATGTTTGAAAAATAGAAAATATTTATCTCAGTTTGTAAACAAACAATGTATTTATAATTAGACGGCTCTGGTTCACATATATTGTCCACAAGGTATAGCCACGCCTGTCTGGCACTATGCCAGTCCACATGATTAATTGGATATATTTCGTAGTTGATTTCGTAAATTATTAGCTGGTGTTAATTTCGCTCAGTTATAAACAGGAAAACAGGACGTTTTTATAGCTACAGTACTGTCCAGAAATAACCTAACAATTGAGTTGCGGTCCACCGATAAAAATCCTGAGGGCGGCAAGGGAAGAAATACCTTCGCAGTGGCCGTTCACTTCCGAACGGAATGTTATGAACAGCTGAGAACGACAACACAATAATCAAATCGAAAAAATCTTAAGAAATGTCTGTCAGACAGATATACGCCGAGGTTCAACCTCCGTCTAACCGCGGTTCGACCTCGGTCTGACCTCGGTTCATGCAACCGCGATCAGACCCAGGTTTGACCTAGGTTAACCGCGGTTTTTTATTAGGTTATTTCTGGACAGTACTGTACTTTCCTTGATGTACCTCGTAAACGCCATAAGCACCTCTGGCGGTTTCTTCACTGCCCGTGCCTGACATTTTTTCGCGCCGACTTAGTTCGTATCCCGCCCTCTTTTTTTCGATTTGCTAAGATATAACCTCTTTACAAACTATAAGATAAAGATAGAATGAGATTATCATGTCATTCTGCAATATGCAATCTTTTTAGCGTCTATGTAATAATAATGATAATAATAATATCCTCGATTTTTATAGCGCACATATCCTAAAGTTCAAGGCACTTTACAAATAGGAGAAGTAGATGCACTTACAATCTTTTACATTTGCTTAATAATTACATACTTATAACCCATCTACATCAGTCAAGAGAATGATACAGGGAACTGTCACTAATGAAAAGTTTAAAAAGATAAGTTTTTAGATCTTTTTTAAACGTGGATATACAGGATGACTTCCGCAAACTGTAATATATTCCGTGTTAGATTTCTGGCAAACATCAGACCTATCCAGCGAAGTTATTCCGTTATGCCTGTATGGTCATATACTTATTATCATAAGGCTGCTTTCCACTTACGCGTTTTTTATACGCACGTACACGTACGGGAAATTTTGAATGCTTTAAATTTTTATTATTTAACATCTAGGTCAACTAATGCATACAAAAATATGCAGAAAACTAAGTTCCTTCAATTTATTCACTTAGGGGCGGTTTACATGAGCCCGGTTACCCGAGATTCAACGAAGCGTGAGAGGACTTTGAGGTATTGAAATAAATCTTTATGACACCAAACAAGCACATGCTATTGTTAAGGTGATAATACGACTGCCAGGATCATGTTATCTGCTCATTTCAATACCTCAAAATCATCTCACGCTTCGTTGAATCTCGGGTAACCGGGCTCATGTAAACAGCCCCTTAGTTTTTTCAAAGGTAACATGTATAAGGTTTTAGACTTTGACGGTGTAAGTGGAAAAGAGCCTTTGCTTTCACTTGTCATCTTAATCAACTTTCATTAGAATCTGACTGGCCTACTATCTTCATGCCAGGCAAGAACTAAATCCATGCCGGGTATATTGAAAATGCAATCATTTATATGTTTCTCCCGTGCACAAGACTAAATTATTTCACAAGTTTTTTTTTAAGGTCCTAGTGCTTTCATGTAGTAACAATAGGTCATTTCTCGAGAACTCATAATATTTTTCTATAAGACTACCGTAAGATGTGTTGTGATATGAACAGACAATCAGCAGCGGCCCCTGGATTAGAACTAATATATTACTACACAGCTTCTTTATTTTAAATAAGTACTATTTAAAATACTCGCGGCCGATCTGTATGGGTATTTACAATGGCGAGTGCGTAGCACGTGAAATGAATAAATTAAGCTTAATGCATATTAGGGCATGTGTGTAAAAAAGTTATGAATACTAATTAAGATTAGTTGTATCAAAGTTAATATATTAATTAACAATTCATGAGACCTTTATGGAGAATTACAGATGTATACATGTGACCAAAATACTGCGCAATGATTGCAAGTTAGACTCATTAATTATTCATTAATTTCACAAAGTACATTAATGACAGTGCTATTTGTTATGGGTTTCTATTAGAAAAAAAATCCACCAATGCGAAGGCAAATTAGAGTTCTAGAAATAATTTGTTCTGGCTTAGTTACTCTGGATCCGCCGCTGGTATTTGCTTACCAAAATACTTATAGTGTGGTTTCTGTAATTTTTTTACTTTTCATTTAACAAACAACTATAAATACAAATACTATGCCACACAATGCCGGAAGAATTTGAAAACGCAAGAATATTCCCACGGTTACGCGTACCGTACACACGTATCCGGCGTTTTCGCCCACTGAAAACAGAAGAATCTGAAAAGATCTCCAGAGTGGAAGAATCTGAAAACGCTCTCCAGAGTGGAAGAGTTTCAAAAAGGTGGCTGAGCGGATACTTGTGGACAGCTTTGCCGGATAAATATTATGACGATGACGTACCAAGTCGTTTCCATATTAATGAGCCTTGTTTCAAGTCTGGTGGCTTATGCTCGACTTTATATTGCTATATTAGCCTCAAATAAGTCTTATTTATGTTATTTTCATGATGATAAAAATCTTCGGAAATTCTTGTAGCATTTGCGGAAGTATTTTACGAGAGAAACATGTCCAAAATGTCGGAGTATGGTTATACACAATTTCGTATGCACGAAATGCATTTAACAAATACTCAACAACAATAATTATGAGTTTGGGCTTGTCGTCTGTCCAAACAAAGTCCTCATTCTTGTTTTTCACTTTGGATTTGGTAGATTTCTGCTTTCAATTCGATATCCCACCTGTGACACGCGGGTGGAAAACATGAAGGTGTGTTGCGGGATCAAATAACTTTAGCGTTTTCGGGTCGTTTTTGTGTTTACGTGTGGACGCGGATAAATATTTTTGCGTTTTCAAATTCTTCTGGCATCGTCTAGACAGTGCCTATATGTATAGAGGCACATTCCATGCAATTATGCTCTTAATCTTTTACTAACTCTACTGTTGATTCCTGTGAAAATAACTGACCTTACGACGGGTATCGTTTCTTTGCCAGAATGACATGCATTGCATTGAAGAATGCCCGCCATTTCAGCATTTTTCTTTGAGGTTACTCTCCAGTCGTTGTAAAAAGTGTAATATTTGGGTTAAAGTGAGTCTGATCAAAAGATAGGCGTAAACGCTTCGTAGATACATGCATGGAAATCAAGTCCAAAGCCAGGCAATACATGCACTAGGCCAGGCCTTGTTTAAAAACTGTTAGAATTTCTGCTTAACTGTTTTATATTACACTGTTAAATTTGTCTCTACATGCATCGGTCATTATTTAGGTATGCTGGCTTCCTTATTGGTATAGGAACCCCATTGCGAAACTTTGCATTGGTGAAAAGAGTTTTAACAAGCAATTTTCGGTGTGTTTTAACAATACTTGGAAATTCATTGTCACAAAAATCCGCATGACAAAGAATAATTTAAATATTGTGGTATTGCTATAAACTTCCGTTGGGCGTCTTTTAAGGAAGTTTATATGAAATCAAATAGCTCTAGTTGTAGTCTTGAAATCGTTAATTCGCCAGGAATTTTAGCGCTGCGGTTTAATATACTATGCTAAATGCTAATAATGATAATATGTAATCATGTACTATCTCGTTTATTAATTTTCGTTTGGAAAGTATTACAATAGAATAGACTTAGCAAAACCTGGTTTATCAGATACAATGATGACTTGAATACGTGAATATTATGTTAATATAACAGTACGAACAGGAGCATATTACCATTAGCTATAGGGATTAAACCAATTCGAGTTTAGAAAAACAATTAAGGCATCATTTCCTGTATTCACATGCAGGCAGTATTCGCGGTGATTTCATTAAAGAACGCGTTCAATTTTATAGGTTTTTAAAGTAGCTACATTATAAATTGTGACAGAGATTCAGTGAGTTGTCTTTCAATGTATAACGACAACCTCACTGCAAAAACTATTTTGGAATCGCAGAACCATATCAAACAATAATTGGTTTCATTATCAAAACCTGCACGAATGTAATACCATTCCTTATATAGATGATAATACCTTGTACGTAGATATATAGAAGAAGCAAGAGCATTATATACCTTCAAAAAGTTGTCGAACATACCTGACTTTAAGTTGCCATACTGTTTGATGAGATTTCATTTACCTACAGTATATTGCCGACGCTCTTTTAATTACGATCTGTACATACTTATTCACACTTATGCAATACTGTGAGACTTAAATCTCATTTTCTATACGATTTAAATACCTCAACACAAAAAGCAGTGATAATATTTGTCTCCCGCAGTGCAGTGTTAAAACTTTGAATATTTCAGGTATGTTCTTTGAGAAAAGATCATGCGGGTGTGTCGCTATCGTTTGTCAGACTATTGCCGCCTCCTCACGAGACGTAAACCGATAAATGTTGTTGCACTCGCTTAAGTATATTATGGTAATATAACAGTAAGAAATAGAGCAGATTAATGACATTTATATAGAGTATATTAATGGTAGTCAAATTAGCCAGATAAAACCAAAAGTATTTTTTAACTAAACAAGGCATAATTTCCTGTATTCACTGCAGACAATATTTTCGGCTTATTTTATTAGTGAACGCGTTCAACTTTATAGCTTTTTAAGGTACATGGTAAATTGTGACAGATTCAGTAAGTTGTTGCAGAATTGTCTTTGAATGTATACCGGGAACTTCAATATACTAAACCTATTTCCGGATCGCAGAACCATATAAAATAATATTTAGTTTCATTATATCAAACCTTGATCAAACATTATATCAAACAAGATATAGAAAGAAGCAAGAGCATTAACTTCTAAGAGTTGTCCAACATACCTGACTTTAAGTTTTTGCCATGTTTTTGATGCTGTTTCGTTTACCTACCCGTGCAGTATTGTTCAGCGACACTATTATATTTATACGATAAGCATTTTCTATACCGACCTATTTAAACAGTCACGCAATACGTAGATACCTCTAATTTCTATAGAAATTTAGATACCTCAACACAAAAATCAGTGGTAATTTTTGGCTCACGTAGCGCAGTATACAAAATGGAATATTTGCGGTAGGTTTTTTGATAAAGGATCACAGGTGTGTTAATTGCCAAGCGGTATAATGAATCATTCATGGCATAATTATGTACCATGAATATTAATTGTCTCGGTTTTTAGAGACCTTAACGATATGCCTAAATCTTTATAGTTTATAATGCAAAGAATATGCCAAACCTTGTACCAAAATTCATTCACAAGCTTCATTGTGATTTTCAAACTGAATAAACAAATACTTGGTGTTTGAAGTCTGTAATTGCCTAGTCGACATTGCCTTTTGTTAACTTCCAGGTTTTTTCACACTGGAAATGTGACAGTAGATGCAATTACTATTTAAAACACGATTAAACAATCATATTTTCATACAATTGAATTATGTTGTTTTCTTTTCTTTCCCAAATGAAATGATTTAAGGAAATGTACATTACGTGCATGCATGCATATTCTTTAATTAGAATCAGTCCATTTTCATCAAATAGCTGCCCTGAAATTAACTCGAAACGAAGTTAATTTCAACACAGATTTCAATCAGCAAATAAAGCTTTTCCTCTGAAAATTTTTACCAAGATATGAATGAAGATCGTGGCGTTGGTTCTGGGGTTTGCAAAATTATGCTCCAGCTACCTTGTGATATTTTACAGTCGAATTGAATCATTACATCCGGGATACGATGCATGTACTTCCGGTATGTCACGCGGATAATTTGATGCTTACAATTTGCAAATGGCTCCTACAGACGATAAATTATTTTATAACCTGGTAAAAGAAAGCAATGTACGATCTTGAAGCCAGTTTAAAGAGGACTTCAACATGCTATAGCCTATAGTAAAGATTAAATTATGTCAAGTGTGTTTTGTTTGAACGACTTTCGACAAAATTAATGTTAACCCTCGTGGCTGTGCACATTGTAAGGTAAGTCTTTATAAGAATATAAAGAACACTAAACGCTTTATAACCCAAATTTATTAACTCCAACATATCCAGTACAATTTTTGCACTACATACGCCGCCAAAAGTCAATTGCATCTCCATTGCCGTCTTGTTTTAGAATCTCTCCTCGTACAAAGCTTCAACTAAAGCTTTGATATTAGCATTTGAAATTCTTCCAAATTGTTCCTTTCTCTTCGCTTGATTTGGCAGCTCACAAATACACATCTCACACACCAGTATACCGTAGCTAAAAACGTCGATCTAAAACAAAAAAATATGCCAATAGCGGTTCTCATATGACAGATTTTGCAAAGCAACTTATTACAACAAATGATCATTAGCTCGGTGGTTTGTTGGTCTCGATAACAAATCAGAAACTGGTTAAGAAAAGTTAACATATATTTAAAAATGCACAAACTACTACACTGTAATCGATACTTATTTGCTACATCGCGAGTGTTTTTGAAAAACTACTTTCAACTACTATTTTGACAGTACTATTCGTGCTTCATTAAGTTTGCGTTATATATTTCAATTAAAACGTGCAATTTATATCAAAAAATACCAAAACATTGTCCTCTATGCTTATCTACTTGTATATATGTTTATGGCAGGCTATAGGCCCTATGTTCTTCATAGAGTAAAATGTGCTTAAATGTCCCCCGCATTTGGACATTCATCATTCCAGTCTCCATTCTGTCACATCCGATAATGTATCATAGCACACTTTCATTGACCATCTCTTTTCAACCTCAGTAGCCCAGCTTGCCACCATGACCCCATGTATTTTTGGTATGTTGATTTTGTTGTTATCCATTTCTGGACGATACCCTTCAACCAGCTTTTCTCGGAATTGGACTTTTTCGATAGGCATAAATTCTCTGAACGCATGGGCGCCATACCACATCTCCCACAATACAATACCATAACTGTAAACATCTGCTGCTTTTGTACGATTCCTGAGGTCTTCGAGCACCTCGGGTGCAAGGTTAGTTATGCTTTTCTCTGTTTCCAAAAATTGGCCCACAATTCCAATATCTGATATCATCGCTGTCCCGTCCTCGTCTTCCTGTTGGGCAAAAAAATAAATTACTATTTTTAAATTTTTCAAAATTTAAAAAACACCTAAGAAAACAGTTCAAAGGCAGAAATGAAACAATTGTTCACCCTCGGTCACGCGAATTCCTTAAAGTGCGTTATATATACTTATTTCTAAAAAGTGATAATAATCGCTTCATTATAGCAATAATAAAAATTAAGCTTATGGTGATCTCTCAGTTTTTTAACTCAGGTTACCTATTAAAGGGCCGAAAAGTATAGCTTTAATAGCCTCAATATAAATATGCAGTATAATAACTGTATAAGTGTACTAACCAAAATATTTTCCAGCTTGAGATGTCTGTGAATAAGTCCTCTCTCGTGAATGTAGTTTAAACCATCCGCTATGTCCATCGCCCTCTTAATGAACTTGCCGATTGCTAGTTTGGAGTTTTCAGACTCCGCTGGGGTCAGAATTCGGTTTTTGAAGATGACACTTCGCAGGTTTTGTCGGGCTGCTTCCATCACGAATATAAATTGGTGGTCGTTGGATAAAAGAGTATCACTAGTTCGGGCTGCTCCAAAATACTTGAGAACGTTTTTATGTCTCAAATCTCTAGAGAAAAAAAGGATATCGTACACGTTAGGATCATTTGAAATGGGTTGGACATGCAGGAACGTATGTGTTGAACAAAATATCATAATGGAATTCGGCATTGATGGCATTGAATTTTATAACACGAGTGACACTAGGAACACATGTAGGTCGAGTGATGTGTCGATGCGTGAAAAGTGTAACAGTGTGCGCTCGATTTAAGGCTTAGGACAATAAAATTTTCTCGATCATAATGACGTTTGTTGGTTCCGCAAAACAAGATACATACCTAATCTGCAATTCTTCTTGCAAAAAGTATCTTGAATTCGGTTCATCAAATTGTTTCTTGAATACTTTTACCGCCACGTTCATTTCAGAAGTCTGTGATTTATTTTTTCCAAGATTCTTTAGCTTCCCTGCGTACACTCTGGATACCTCCCCCTCGCCGAGGCATGAACTGTGGTCTTTTTTCCAGTCAAGATCACTGGCATTTATTGTTGCTGGACAGAGCTTAATTCCCCAGGGTAGGATTTTATATATAATCTCGAGACTTTTCTTCTGAATTGGGTCATACATTCCCAATATTTCACCCTGTGTTCGTCTGTCATTAAATAATTGCGTCACCAGTTTTCGATCGGCCTCGATCAGGGTGGAAATTTGATCTCCATACCTTGATAGCACCATTCTGGTGTTCTCCATCAGGCGTTGGGCATATTGTAACACGTAGTCTTTTGGAAGTTCCTCCAAAAATTTTTCGGATCGTTTTCTAAGTTGTTCAAGCGGATTGTTTATGTTGTGAATCTTCTTTTTTTTATCAACTTTACCTTTTATACCCAATGCTCCCAAAACTGGCATACCAATCACCAAACCCGCCACACCGAATGGAATCAAAAGAGGACTAATCACTCCGAAGATAACTTTCGCCTTTAAGGGAATTTTATTTTTGTTCCCTGAATGATAAGCACGTCTTTCCACACTATATATCGCTTTATCAACACCTTCAAGTTCCTCCTCCAAAAGATTCAAACTAAAGCGGCAATTATATAGATAACATTTAAAAACAGGCAGTACACAATGTACTTTAACTTAACTAATTGGCGTGAAAATATAAATAACCGAAAATAATCAACAATTAAATGTACTATATTAAAAGTCGCGTTGTCAAAATCAAGTTTTATATGACTGGTCGTAGTTGATTAATGATCTTTTTGTACAGTGTTTTCTTAGGTTTTGTTCCCCTACTCTGTATTCTCTCCCGATATACTCGTCCAATTGTTAGTTTTTTTTACAACGCTAACAATTAGATATTTTTTTGCTATGCTAGCCTACGAGGGCATTATACAAGTATCCTTTAAGCATCCATTTTTGCTTGGAAACAAAAAAAAACTCTCGAAAACGTTGCCCTGTCCTGTAAGACCTTTATTTTTTATATAAAAGAATTATAATGCGAAAGGTGCCTTTGAAATATATACTAGCTACATTTAACATTTTTGAGCGATTCAGATCGTGATTTATTACCAAATAAAGCATTTAGTTTAGCATAAAATTTTTGGACATGAAAATTGCCACGATACTTATGTAAGCTCTTCAATTGAAAATGCACAGGATCTGCCTAACCTTTTACGAAATTCGTCCAGAATCTCCCTATGAATTTCAGCATAAACTTGATGGCCATTTTCCCACTCAATGAGCAATTCTTTGAATCGGCTATCAATTGCTTCTTTGATGTTTCTCTTTGTCATTTCCCAAGTTATTTCTCCCTTCGGAAGTGCACAATTCGTCCAAGAGCAGAATTTCGTTTTGAAATCCATCGAGTTGATATAACCTTCAAGTTTGGCTTGGAGAACTTTGGTGTGGGTTTTCACTCTTTCCTCCATTTCTCTCTTTACATCTTGCTCTTTTCGTTCAATTTCTTTGATGCGTTTCTCGATTTCTTCCATTCGTTTATGGGTTTCTTGGTGAGTTGATTGCACCTCTTGGTTGAAGAAGTAGGTTACTCTATAAATTTGATACAGCAATTCATATAACGACCTAGAAAAAAATAGTTTTCTTTTAAAGAAACGCGTAATATAATTGTCTGCTCAAGAGTCAACAGTTTTGGAGACTCATCTAGACAATTTTGCTTCTGCACTACCAAATTAGGAATTTAAATACTGCTCCTTTCATCAGGTACTTTTCTCATATAAAAAGAGTAGCCTACTGCTACGTTCGCAATCCTGTCTATTATAGCTAATAACAACAGTAGCAACAATAACGGCAATAATAAACTTTATTAGCGCCATAGAAAAACATACATTATACAATTACAAAGTGAAATTCAACTAAATAGTGCAGGTTATCTGAATAACAAAGTTAATCCAGCCAGATAACTTTAATTTATTTCAGACATTATGGGGTCGCTAATAAATGAAAAACTTGTACATAAAATAATAAAAATAATATTAATAAACGTCATTAAATCACATATAGAGATTTAACCTATTGTTAATATTCTTTTTGAGCCTGAATCTCGAAAACATTTTCATTTCTTCGTAAATAGATAACGAGTAGCTAAAAAGTGTCTTTTCATCGCAATTTACGAATGTCTGTGCATAAATCTAAGCTATAATGATATTCTTAAATGTGTATAGACATTAATTTGAAAACGCCTTTTAAACACAAAAATACAGCCAGTGACAAAAATCAAAATTTTACGCATCAACACATATTTATTACCGTCTTTGTAATTTTGTTCAATGGAAGTTAGATGTTCTTTCTTAAAGATTTTGTTATGTGTCGAATATAAAGAAAATGTGCTGAAATTTAAGAATTACGTTTGCATGGATTCTCACTCCTATATATCTCGACGCCATCTTAATTTGAAAAGAATGACAACAAATTGCGGTCAAAATGCCAAAGCATTATATAGCAAGTATATGGCATTTCTATACACGTGGAAATATCGTACGTCCAAAATATGTATAAAGTTAATTTACTCTGAAAAAATGGTTTTTATTTCATCACATGTAATAAAAAGTTGTATACTTACTGCCAGTGATTGTATAACCTAATATTTATTGCCCTCAAAACCATCGTCTTAATTTTTTTGAGTAAATCATTGAACTCTTCTGTGACTCCGCCATATTCCTGTACTTCGATGGCGTCTGTTATTGACATGTACTCCATTTGATAATTCAAATTTGAATCTTCCCAACACTCTCTTAACTTTGCGACGACATATTTCTTCGTTTCTGACCTTTCATTTTCTTTTACTTGATCCCATTTATTGCAGATAAAAAGCCAACATTCGGCTAAATGTTGAAGGGTCTCAAAGCCGCCATCAGATGACTTCACCTTTTTTAAGATGTTCCTTAGCTGCAATATACGAGTGATACGATTGTATCAGTCAAGATGCAATTATATTATGGTATTAAATATTATTATTATTATATAGCAAGCTTCGAAGTTTATCTGTTCCAGAATCTGACTACGTCACGTGAAAGGCGGGAAATCCGAATGTTTACCGCAGAATCTCGTTTGTCGAAGGTTTGAACCAGTTTGATAGGGGGTTAATACTTTAACCACCAGGATTAATTGGAAGTCGTGATGCTACGTCACAACACGCGACATATGACCTTCAGAGTTCAGCCAACGTTTTTGTCGCGTATTTTCACCCGTTGTCAATAAGTCCTAATTATAATATATTATGGACTTTGAAATATTAATAAGTTTTCCTTTATTCACCTTCTCTTTGATATATTTCTGTACTCCTCCAGCACTGGAAGCGTCAAGAACACAAATGAACGCAAAAGCATTCGGAAGATAATTCATCAGAACTTCATCCATTTCATCACATTCACCCAGACCTGGACTATCGACAATAACAATTTCCTCCTAAAATACAGAATAAAGTATTAATAATACAAAGGTGGTTTTTTGAAAGAAAAATCTGCTGTAGAAGCGACAGTTTTACGACGATTCAATTAAAACAATGCATATTTTCGCGAAATAAAGTTGAAAAGCGTTCTAAAAGTAGTATTTACCATGAAAATAATTTTATGTCTAATTTTTTCACTTCTTTTGCGCTTTCATGCACAGCATTTTCGTCAAAATAACATATTTCTTCATCCGTCACTTTGACAAAAACAACTCGCCGGATTTGTTTTTGAGAATTCCGCTCAGTCGCATAATAATCTGAGGTCGCTCGACCAATCAGAGGCCAGAATTTTCAATAATCACATTTGTAACCAAAGTTTTTCCAATCCTTATTGAAATATTTTAGGTACTATCTTCCAATTTTCTTTTTCTTAAAACCAATAACGGTAACCATATGCACATGTATCAGAGGAACAGATAGACTGATATTCTGAAATCCTACATTTCCACCATGGGTCAAACGAAGAGAATTCTAAATATTTTTGCTTAATTTAATTTAAGAATTCTTAATACTTTGAAAGCAACGGTTCACCTCAAGTAATTCATGCGGCCAAAAGATTTCTACTTTAGTATATTTAGATCCCTCGTTGGACTTCCTTCGCACGAAGGGAGCGATTTGTTCACAGTAATTCTTGCCGCATTCTTCTTTTGTTTTCAACAAATAAATTTCAGGTAAGGGCGGCGTCATTTGTTCCTCATCGTAGTTATGGTGAACAATCAATTTTCGTTCCTTCCCATATTTTACTTCGCAGATTGTGAAGGTGGTATGGAGAGAATAGTGTGGAAGAAGCTCTTCTCCGAGAATAAGATTCACTAAACTACTTTTTCCGGCGCTATTATCACCTAAAAAATTTTAAAGAGAATTTTTTTCAATGTTTTATTGCATACTGCATGGTGCTGCACGAGGTATGTGTTTAAATGTCTGTTAGGTTAACTCTAGCTGCATGGCTAATGCATTCAAAATCTGGGGCCGGTTGTGTGAAAGCCGGATAGTGATATTTTCAATAGAGAGGTTAAGATACCCCGGTTTCGCTATACCTTAAACATAAACATACCGTACCCGTACACCGGAACGGGGTATCTTAACCTCTCTATTCACTTTAAAATCGCCCGTTGTTTCCCATAACTTTGATTCTATCTTAGTATTTCTGAATCGAGGATCCTCTTTAATAATTGCTTGTTACAAAGATGAAATTTTATCGCTTTTCGAGCATTTTTTAAACGGTTGAAAAAGTCACTACCTGGTGGATAGCGCTCTCCAGCCTTACAACTGGCTCAGGCTTTAACAGTTCATTTATAAATTTGAAGGGGTTGTTTCAGAAATCTTGTCCGATTCGATAGAGACTCGATTTTCTAAGTCTTGAACAGAACAGAAATCCAGAAATGTATTACTGTGTCTCTTTGTGTTCGACTGGCAAGAACGAAAACAGCAGGTAAAAGTTTTAGCCTTAGGACAGGGTTGGCACTGATAATTTGGGTTTGAACAACCTGCCGTTACAATATATAACCAACTACAACCTTCAATACCTGCAATAAGGATGTTATATTCTGTTTTCGTTAAGCGCTCCCTTTCTTCTCCCAAAACATTCAAAACACTTCCACCGCTATAGTAAACGTCTAGAACCTCAATCGCGTGGCTGCCCAATTGCCTCACACAATCGTCAACCTGGAGATTAAAGTCCAGCAGTGTTTTTCTCTTCAACATATCCTCGTCTTTAGTCATGGCTATTACCCCAAATCCCTTTTAAATATAGTAGAAAATATGTTGAAGTGTGGATAATTTTTGCCGCAGTCTTGTTTAAAATCACTGAATAAAAACCTCGACTTCGTCTCATCAAAAAAATGTTAAATGTGATGACAACGAGTTACGACGAGAACACCTGAAATTTGAAGGGTTAAATCTGAGGCAATTTTCAACCTCGTTATAATCTTGTTTTTACAATCTAAACGTAAAGCTTTCGGGTATATTAGTGATTAAATGCGTCCGTATGCTCGAAAGGTGACGCAAAGGTCGCTCGACCATGCTTTGGCCTGCTAACCCTTTACTGAAACTTTATCGCTTTGTGGGACATTTCATCACCAGTACTAGGCAAAAGTTCTCAAAGCATGCGTTTACTTTTCGTAAATATAATAATTCGTAAAAGAATCACCGTTGTGCCATATGAATACTTTTCGCTACCAGAACCTTGGTCTTCTAGTACTCTTTTAGCCGTCTTCTTCATTTCGGAAAGATCTAATTTAGTAGGGTCGTGAGCTATATGGAGCAGACGAAATAAACCAAGCATTTCGCTTATGTCTTGTATGTCCTCCACATTCTTTTTGGGTGTTTTTCCGGATATTCGTTTTTGGTGTCTACGACGAATTCTTGTTGTGGCACTGCGGTGTTCATATTTCTAAAAAAAGGACCACTTGAATTTACAGTTAAACTTTAACGATTTCAATAGTGGATTTTTTGTCGTCATTTTCGTTCCAAATTCTGCCAGATCATTTATATTCAAGTACTTTCTGCCAGTATTTTCGTTTAGCGCTCTGGCACTTTTAGCTCTTATAGGGCGGCCTAGTTGATATGCAAATATAGCTAACATTCTACTATTTCGTATATATATATATTTTAGGGAAATCTTTGATTGTACTGCATTACAAGTAATGAAGTAACTATTCTTCTCTCAACCAATCAGTATCCGGTGATTTTTTCATATTGATAATAAATATAATTAGCACGTCAGCAGAAAAGTTGTTTACCATTTTTGTGACATAAATTAATGATTAAAACTATACTGGCCATATATCTGCTACATCACCTGTGGGTTAGAACTTGAATCTTCTGGTGTCGTGAATGTGTTGTATCGTCGTGAGGGGTGTTGATATTCCGACATGTCCTATTGATAATTGATATGTTTGAAAAATAGAAAATATTTTTCTCAGTTAATAAACAAACAATGTTTTTATGATTAGACGGCTGGTTCACATATATTGTCCAAAAGTTATAGCCACGCCTGTCTGGCACTATGCCAGTCCACATGATTAATTAGATCTATTTCGTAATTGATTTCGTAAATTATTAGCTGCATGGTGTTAATTTCGCTCAGTGATAAACAGGAAACAGGACGTTTTTATTATTAATATAATTAGCACGTCAGCAAAAAAGTTGTTTATTATTTTTTTGACATAAATGATTAAAACTACATCACCTGTGGGTTAGAACGTGAATCTTCTGGTGTCGTGGATGTGTTAATATATCGTCGTGAGGGGTGTTGATATTCCGACATGTCCTATTGATAATTGATATGTTTGAAAAATAGAAATTATTTATCTCAGTTAATAACAAACAATGTATTTATAATTAGACTGCTCTGGTTCACATATTTTGTCCAAAGGTATAGCTACGCCTGTCTGGCACTATGCCAGTCCACATGATTAATTAGATCTATTTCGTAGTTGATTTCGTGAGTTATTAGCTGGTGTTAATTTCGCTCAGTGATAAACAGGACGTTTTTGTATGCAAATATAGCTAACATTCTGCTATTTCGTATATATTTTAGTAAAATCTTTCAAGCTTACAAAAGATGAATTAATGATGTAACTATTCTTCTCTCAACCAGTCAGTTTCCAGTGATTTTTTCATGCTGATAATAAATATAATTAGCACCTCGGCAAAAAGTTGTTCACCATTTTTGTGACATAAATGATAAAAACTATACTTGGCCATATATCTGCTACTTCACCTGTGGGTTATAATCTTCTGAGATGTGTTGATATGCCGACATGTCCTGTTGATAAATGATGTTTAAAAAATAGAAAATATTTATCTCAGTTAATAAACAAACAAACAATGAACAGGGTGTCTCAAAAAACCCGAAAACTATTGAAATCGCCCATAACAGTGTAATTGTTAGAGTTTGAATGTCTAAACACTCTGTTGGGACCCACAGGTGTATAAATGTTTGCCACAAGCAGTTTTATTTTTTATGCATGATGCAGTAAAATTTGTTTGTAAGCAAAAATATTTATTAACAATATTTTCAATTTGTCCTTTGTCAACCTTCAGAATCAAACGATGCACCTCATAATCTGATTCCGAATGTCCACTTCCTGTTGACGGTTTGTCGAAATATAACATATAAATATCAGCCTCGTACCCAGACGCTTTAATAGTAGAAAAATAATGATGCATTCAGTTATTGTGTAGAGGTCAGCTGAAAAAAACGCGAGCGCGCGGGTTGCTTGGTGTGGTTTTGCTAAAGGAAGCGCCTGGCAGAAAATGAATTCAACATGTAAACAATCAAATGAATTATACAGTATAATACATTACTATATAATTATATACTATAATTACTTGAATTAGATTCAGGTTTTTTCAGATACACTGGTTTTTAAAAATGTGATAAGTTGATTAATATTGAACATTTCATGTTACAAATTATATTCAAGTTTTCTTGTATGATTGCATGGCGACTTTATTATAATTGTTTACAAGTTATTATAATTATATTCAAGTTGTTGCCATATCGCGTTGAATTAATCATCAGATTAATAAACCGGTAAACAAAGGAATATAAGTTTATCTTTTATGTCATGGACAGAAACCTCTTAATATGTTGTAAATGCGCTTGCTTTTCCCAATAGTAAATAAGTAAATACGGCAGGCGATTATTCGAGTGCTCTACGATATAGTCACTCCGACGGAAAACATTTAAATAAAAGTACTTTTAGATGATTCTTCGCCAAAGGAAACTTTCGTAATAATTGGCTAGCCCATCAACAGTCAATTTTTCAGCCGACCTCTATATAATACCTGAATGCAACGTTATATATTTTACTATTAAAGCGCCTGGGTACGAGGCTGTACAAATATTAAAATAACCAACAGAGCTTCAATTTTTTTCGTTCTCACGTAATCTCACCTTCTCTGGTAAAGACATAATGTCATCCTCGTTTGCATCCTCTCTTTCTGAGCGTTGTATTCGGGGCATAAGGTCAACATTTTCATCTTGCAGGCGTAACATTGCGGTGGTCATTTTGACATTTTCATCTTGTAGATCTTGAATTTCACTGGCCAAATTCAAAATAAAAAATTGTTAGCGTTTTTGGCTTAAATCTGGCAACACTTCTGTGCGTAGTGCAAAAGTACACAAATTTGCAAACTTTAAAAGGCTCCAATTCGCAACTCTCTTTAGCTATGGTGATTTATTTGCATTTCCTTGCCCAGATCAAAATGTAGTTTATAATGCAAAAGGTCTATTGTCGTCTTTGAGAAAACTCTCGAGTGAGTCGAGTGAGTGTATCGTAATGTAAATTAAATTTAAGTTTGTATTACCTTGCAGTCTTCTCAATTCTCGATTCCCGATTATGATATTCTTCGAAAGGTTCAGTTAACTCCTGCATAAGAATAATTTTATCATCACCATTCAATGCCTTTGCTAATGTTTGAGCTACGGTTGTATGATCTTCAGAGCAAGCTATGTTCAACGGTGTAAGTCCAGGAGGATTTTTCTTATTAATGTCTTTCGCAGCTCCATGTTGAAGAAGATATTGAACAATTGCGTCATTTCCCCCGCGACAAGCCGAGTGCAAAACTGTTTCTCGGAAACTGTTGTCTTCACTTGTCACTTTGCCACCATGTTCAACCAAATACTTGACAATGTCCAGAGAACCAAATTGTGCTGCGAGATGAAGCCATGATAATTCTTGCGTAACTTTCCGGTTCACATCAACACCGGATTCAACAAGGCTTCTTAATTCCTCGAGATTTCCTTCTTTAATTGCGTTCCACGTTCTAGCGGTATTCCTGGAAGACAAATGCATTATGCACTAAAAGAAAAAAATGCCTATGCCTTGCCAAAAATCCGGCATGTCACTTGTTACATCTTGCGGGATTAAATGCATGCTCAATAAAATATGAGCTATGTAAGTTTTAGAAATTACGCGTAGGCCGCCGACGATTAAAAATTCTAGATTTTGACGTACAACATGAAAACAGGCCTAAAAATCTAGTATAAAACTATCTTTAAATTTTTTGAGCTTCTATAACTGGGTTTGTGTAACGTCTAAAACACCTACAACCGAGTAGTTATAGGTTAAGTAGGAATTTATTATTGTATTTTTAATCCAAACATCATTTCAGTCACCCCTTTTTGACCACTCTTATAAGGGGACAGAACTAAATGTGAGCAAATTTTTTTACCTTTTATTTATAGCTTCCATCGTTGTGTTTACATTCTCCATGTTCACTGTCTCAATTTTCATTCCTTTCACTTCAACTCCATTCCGCGAAGGTTCCTCCAGCGAACGCTTTTTCAGCCTCCCAGATTGAAAATCATTGAAAACCTCATTTTTATTCCCTTCAACTTCGTCAGAGTCAGTAGAGATAACGACCTTACCTCCTTCACGGCTCATTTCAACTGATGACCAAAAATCATCGATCTTTCCTTGTTTAATTGCACACCATTAGAGGAAAATTAGAGGAAAGTGATGTTTATGTAAAATTTTGGAAAAGTTGAATGCAAAATTAGTCAGTTATTTGTATATAAATGTTGTTTGCGTTTGATGTGCGAATGGGTAGGAAGGAATTACAATGGTCGTCAGTTGCGTACTGACATTACCATCATTTGGTATTTTAAACCGTTTATTATAGCGAAATGCTCTGTATATAAAGCTGAATTTAGAGCTTTTTAAAGCTCTAAAAATCTCTTAAAAGAGATTCCACTAAACCATCCCAGAATAACGCACGACTTTAGGTAGACTGGTTCTAAGCGTTTTAAACGCTAGCTGTCGCGAAACAATAGAGACCTTAAGATCTTCGAAGCGACAGCTCGACGACGCGCGCGCCTTCAGTACAAAGGGATTTTCTGTATAAAACAAAATTAAAAGAGTGATCCAAAGAGTATAATTATCTTAGTCCAAGAAGTATATATATAATTAATTTGATAACGCTACTGTTATTGAAACAACGTTAAACTTACAGCATAATTGCGTTTTCTTAGGGGCTGTTTACATGAACACGGTTACCCAAGATTCAACGAAGCGTGAGAGGACTTTGAGATATTGAAAAAAGTCTTTATGACACCAAACAAGCACATGCTATTATTGTGGTGATTATACGACTGCCAGGATCATGTTAACTGCTCAGTTCAATACCTCAAAATCATCTCATGCTTCGTTGAATCTCGGGTAACCGGGCTCATGTAAACAGCCCCTTAGCAACGTGAATGTTATATATATCTGTGACGCGAGGTTAGCTACGTCAATTAAGTTACCTTAACGGCAGTCACCGTCTTTACTTCCCCGGCAACTTAGCTCTCTGAACCTACTAAAGCGAAAACAACACCAAGCCGAGAATTTTAGAGATTAAAAACAACAAATTCTGAAGACTAAAGCACGCCGAGTTCCTCATAAACCTTCGAGACCACTTTTCTCGGCTGAATGTCCTTTCTCAACTTAATCCTATACACGTCTAGAAAATCTAGTTTCTTATCAAATCGCTTATTCTACATTCTACTAAATCCACTAGTGATAAACATTCTTGCTTTCCTCGCGTAGCTTTCCTTGTCAAACAAAAGTTTAAATAGACGTCGCGCGCCGTCGAGCTTCTGTGGATCTCATGGTCTCTAATAAGACTTTCTGAAGACATTCTCTTACAAATATAGAGTAGTGTATTTTTCATAATAGTCTTTCCAACGCATTCTGGAAACCGATGACTAAACAATTAATGCGTGTTTCGTAGCTGGTGCATTCATTCATGTTCATTAGCCAGAGCATGCAAACGGAAGTATTAGTCTGATATTTATGTCATATATAACTATACCTATAATCATATCCAATTTTTGCATAGCCTTCTTTTGGAAAAGCTTGTTGTCTTCCTGCTTTTTTATCATATCTTGAAGAAACTTGTTGATCTCCTGCAGATCATCTCTAATCTTCTTATTCAACTCATCGACTTTCATAGTTGGGAAGTCTTCCTCTTTGAGTTCACCAATTTCGTCAATTTTATATGTTGGGAATCCAACCGCAGCAAAAGCATCCTTTGCAAGTTGAACATAGTTATCAAAATCAGCTTTTGCCATTGTAGACTTCGGCATGTGGCATAAGGTGTTTCTAAGAAGTCGAACTTGGTCGATTGCTAAAGTTATCGTTTCATCCTGGTTCCCAGTTGCACTGGTAAGCGACAGGTGAAAAGAAGTGGGACTTTTTCCTTTTATAAATTGGTCACTCAGCGTCTTGATTGTGGGACGTTTTATGGTGGTCGTCGTCGTCGTCGTATTAAAACTTTTGGAGTAGATGGTAGCTTTGAAGAGAGCTGTACAATCCCATTCCTCGAACGATTTATTGATTGGTATGTCCGTTGAACCTCCTTCTCTTGCCAAGAGAAGGTTTCGCACTAGGGGAGTGTCGTCCCACTCTAGGTAACCTGATAACGGCGCAATTTTGGTGTTCCATAGTCTCACAAATATCGAACGTAACATTTTGGGAAATTCATCGTAAACGATTGATGCGAATTTAAAGAAATTCAATTCTTCTATAGAAAAACGTTTTTCTGCCATTTCGATGCTACTCTATGGTACATACCAAACGAACAAAATAAAATCTTTGATTCCTTAAGCAAAGACAAAATATTTCAGATAAGAAAAAGACGGACCTGTTAGATTGAATGAGTCAATTTTAAGAGAGACGTTTAATCGTCGTGCTTTATATTTTGTTGAAAAAGAAATAATAATTGCCCAAAAGCAACGTTTACACATTGCGATTTGTCATACACGCTTCTTTTTATTATTGACGAGATTACTATTGATCGATGTATTTCAAATCGATGGCATTTCAAATTCTAAAACCCTGTTATTTCAAGAGGGTCAACTGGAATACATGTGGCTAATTACGAATCGTAGCGGGAAAATCGCAATGTGTAGACGCGTGCTTTAATAAAATATATGTTACGATCTAGTTCATAGTGAAAAATTCAAGTGAATACCCACGATATAGAAAGAATTCCGCTACCTCTCGCTACGGATAGATATGATTGCCCGTCAAAAAGAAACCCTTACGAACGTGCACAAATTGTTCAAGCAATATATGATCCTAAGCAAAGCGTGCAGCGGATATTCTCAACTTAACCCTCCCCCGCACACAAAATTATTGTATTTCAATAACTTTAAAATAAATTTCTTTAAATTCACGAAACTTAGACGTTATTACATAAATCAAAGCAAAAACGTTAAAATCATGATGAATAATAAGGAATTATTATAATATTCTGTTTATCAGAAGCTAGCTCAAGTCTCTTAAAATGTGTTTTATTACCGCTGCGGTGAAGCATGTCAAACATTCCTAAATATTAGCCAAACTCGCAATGCGACGTATATTTATAAATACTAAGCAATATTTCTTTATCCTAACCACCCAGAAACTATATAAGAATGCAATGTTTATGGAAGACAAACTCTAGATCCGAAGTGAGAAAAAACGATGCCGAATTTCCTAAAGCGATGTTGAATGATGATATAATTAAGGCTTCGACTTAACGTCATTTTTAATTTCCATTTAGATCAGTCTAGTTCGAACCTACATTCGCGTTATTGTCCAGCAAACGGATACATCAGTTCTCACGCATGCAGTAACATTAGCTGTAACAAACACAGTAGCTTGATTAATATATACAGTAAGGACGGATCATCCAGTATAATAGACGATCCAGTATAATAGGAAATGTATATAACATGCGCCTGATAATCTGTATGAATAAATGTATATACGCAGTCAAATAGACATATATCGCCCCCAATCATTACCGAATGTCTGGAAACTTTACTCAGTGTGTAATTAGTAGTTTCTTCGTAAAGTTTGTGAAGAGGGCGACCTACTCTGGTATAAATCAAACAAACTGCATGCCAACTACACTTTGTTGATCGGTAGAACAGTATCTCATGCATACAACCTTAAATTTAACAAATATATAACATGCTTAGTTGTGGATGTACTTACGGACTAATCACATCTGTTGGCTCCTAGTTCGTTTTCCAATAAATTAGATCAACAAATACACAGATCTCATTGCATAGCTCTGATAAAACTATAGACTGAAATAAGATTTTGATAAACAGTTTAAGATAATTGTATAATTGCCCGGCTGGACGCCGTTTATATGAATTCCATGTATTAAACCAAGCGATACCATTTTTATAGAGATTATTTTGTACTTGTAATACCTGCATTCATGCAGTATAAATCCTCGCCTCAGCTGAACATCGGCAGACACTAAATGTGTTACTAAAGTTTTCATGACATTTATGAAATTTGTTTTGCCTGCATTAAAATTTATTTTTATTGTATTCTATAGCTTTATCGTTTTCTATGCTTAATAAAAAATGTATTACTATGAGGTATTGAGGCTTATGAATAATGACATTTTATACTGTAGGGTATCTTAACAGGCATAGAATGAAAGCCTATGAATGGTGGTATATAGAATAGACATTTAGTTTAAGCATAGATATTAGAGAGGACATCCCTGAAATTGCTTATCAAATTTTAGAAAATACTACTGAAAAACAAGTTTAAATTTTATCTCAATACGTGCTCTGAAATATTTTAAAAGCTCATGAAAAAGATCTGACAGCTTTGAAACAGCGTATTATACATGCACAAGGTTATTAATTCAGACGATTTGTTTTTGCCGTGTGCAAGCTTCAAATCTCCTGTGCAAGTTATATTTTGTTGAGCATTTATAACACTTTTTGCTCACCTGATTTGAAGCCTGTAAGAAATTAAGAATGCAAATATGAATGCAATTATGCAAACCCATTTCCGCGGTGTCGTTGAGCAGAAGAGAGAGGCATTGAACAGATCCGGCAACAAATATTGCACGACCTGTTATGGAAATTATATGCTCATATACAGAAATCTTGCGCATATATAACTATCTCAGTAAGTTGTGCATGCAATGTATTTGTTTCTGGATTTAAGATTACTGAAGTATACAAAATACTATAGATGCCGATCCATGCATCTCGTTCAAATATCTATGGTTTGGGACACGGGGATAGCAATTATATTACTTTTTCTTCTAATTTACCCGCCCGCTCTAGTTGTTAATGTCTATCTGTTTCTTCGTTATTATATGTTGAATTGTATGACTTTTATAATGACAACTATATATGCCCGATTAAGTAAGCTTATAGTGCAGACTTTAAGAAGATATCCAATGTCCGCGTGCAAAAATTCTAGAAATATACCACTATACCATGCAGGGCTGCTAGATTACTAAATACTTCAAACTACGCCTGATTAATGTAAATGTTCTACGAAAGCTGGATAGTGCTACGTACGTCACGGTTTTTAAAATATTTTGCTATTAGCCACCTAGACTATATTATAGCTTACTTTATTTCTATATTTTTATTGTTTTCCCAGTATTTGCAGTTTAAAAGTCGCTCAGTTGAATGCATTATGTGTTATCCCCATTTGGAAAGTTAAAATTATAGTTAGTCGTGCGAATTGTTTTCTTGCTGACTCAGCCTTCTATGATATCCTGAAATACCCTGCAGCATTCTTTTGCGGAATACCGTTCTTCAACTTTAGTCGCCCAGCACTTCACCATGACAGCATGTATTGCTGGAATGCTGATCGTCGTGAAGCCTGTCTTTGGGCGATGCCCATCAGCTAGCTCTTTTCGGAATTCAACTATTTCAATGGGCATTAGTTCTGTAAACGCCTGTTTTCCATACCACATTTCCCACAACATGATGCCGTAGCTGTAAATATCTGCTTCTTTTGTACAATTCATCTGATCTTCAAATACCTCAGGTGCAAGATAAGTTATGCTTCTCTCTGTTTCCAGATGTTGACCCACAATTCCAATATCAGATATCATCACCGTCCCGTCCTCATCTTCCTGTAAATAAACAGATGAATACTTTGAAAATTTTTAAAGATGGTTGACCGATATTTCATGTAGCTAGCTATATACACAGCTAAGTTACAGCAACCAGACAAATATGTCACGTATAACTATGAAGTTATTTTTTTAAAACTCGAACTCCGAAAAAGCAAGGAAGCTTGAAAATACAATATATTATTCATAAAAGAACTATTAACTTTGGAATTAAAGAACACTGCTTGCTCATTAGGATTTTTTTTTTACATGTATTTATTATTAAATAATAAAGGAAGTTAATGTTATACGGGTCTTCGTATCGTAGTGTCGCGGGTCCTAGGACGCTTGTCCGGTCGGCTACTTGCCCCCTCCGGTGAGTACAAATATGAGCCCAGTTTGCCTGATCGAGTTGTTAGTTGCTTGCGTGACCCATCCCGCCCCTTTCCCTAACGACTTCAGGCGATGTTGTGAACTCTACGGGAGAAGCGTCTTATTAATCTCGCTGGGGTTTGTTTTTTTGTTAGTTTGTTTTGCAGGATTAAGCACAGTTCTTTTCACACCCGTTTTGGTCGTGGAATTGGTGTTTGGGGTAAAGGTAAATTCATTAATGATCGCCACATTTACAGGTATTTTTTTTTTGTTTCGTGTGTGTGTGTACTTTGATGTTCGTATCGTTTATTCCACGGTTTCACTTCAGTGACTCACGTGTGACAGTTGATCACGGGATGGAGGAGGTACCGTTAAAATAGCATGGTTCGTTGAGTTATTATCTGCGCCGAAAACAGCAAACTCAAAAGAAACACCGTTTCACCCCTAGCCCGACCGTTTCGCTCGGATACCGTCTCCATCCCTACCGATCGGCAGCGGGCAAAAATATAGTGTAAGAGCTGGTGTGCTATCGTAATGATGTGAGCCTTAGGATCCGTTAGAACGTTAATTTTTTAATGTCTTGGCTGGACATTGATTAGGTTATTATAATGCAGTAAAGTACTTTAAAAAAGTTATACTTAGAAGTTTTCGCGTTATATATAGCATGCAAATGCAAATGTTTCATCATTCCAACTTTTTAGTCATCGTTAGCCAAGTATTACTAAGTCGAAATGCAAATCTAAGCAGTTAAAGATGTATCTACATGGTACCAACCAAAATATTTTCCAGCTTCAGATGACGGTGTGTAAGTCCTCGTTCGTGAATATAGTTTAAACCATCCGCTATCTCCATCGCCCATTTCTTGAACTTGTCAATTGCTTGTTTGGAGTTTTCAGACTGCGCAGGTGCAAAAGTCGCATTTCCGAAAATGACATTTCGCAGGTTTTGTTGGCAAGCTTTCATCACGAATATAAATTTGTACTTGTTACTTTCATGAGGAGTACTAACTCTGGCTGCTCCGAAATACTTGAGAACGTTTTTATGTTCCAGATCCCTAGTAAAAAAAAGAAAATGTCATATATGTTGTTTGATTACCTTCTCATCAAATGTGGTAGTACCCTGGCTAAAATATCTTGATGTCTCTCTTTCCAGTGGCTTTCTCAGGAGATTTCGAAATGAAATGAGCTAAAATTTTCGTAATGAATTGAGTTGAAAATCAAACGATAGTACGGAAAGCCAGCCAGCTTTTTTACCATTTTTTTCTCTGCCTGTAAGACAACAATTACGTAAACTATGGCAGCTAGACAGGTGTCCTCAATCTTTCTCTATAATAAATTGTACTCCTTTAAGAGAGTTTTGTTTGAACAATTTACATAATTCAAGTTCTGTTATTGTTCAATGTAATTGAAGATTTACACACTGACACTTGAAAATATTTTAATACACAAATATACATATATACCTGATTTTCACTTCTTCATCCAGAAAGAATCTAGTATTTAGATCATCAAATGGTTGCTTGAACACTTTAACTGCCACGTTTATTTCTGAATTCTGTAATTTGGCTCCACCAGCATTCTTCAACTTCCCTTTGTAAACTTTGGAAAACTCTCCTTCTCCGAAACATGATTCCTTCTCTTCCTTCCATTCAAGATCATTTGTATTCACTGTTTCAGGACATAGCTCAATTCCCAAGGGTGTGATCTTGTTTATCATCTCAACAATTTTCTTCTCAATTGGGGCATAAAGTCTCAATACTTCATCCTGTGTTCGAGTCTCATTAGATAAATGCTTCACCAGTTTTCGACCTGCCTCTATCAGGATGGGAATTTGATCTCCATATTTTGACAACACCTTTTTGGTGTTCTCCATCTGTCGTTGGGCATATGCTAACACGTGTTCCTTTGAGAGTCGCTCAAGGTATTTTCGTGATCTTTTTTCCACGTAGTCACTGGGATTTTTTTTGTAATTATCCAACTTCTTGTTATCATCAACTTTACGTTTTACTGCCATTGCTCCTAAAACGGGCATACCAATCACCAAACCCGCCACACCAAACGGAATCCAAAGAGGGCTCGTTGCACCGAAGATAACTTTGGTTTTTGTCGAAAATTTTCTTCTATTCTTTGCATAATCAGCTTGTCTTTCCATACTATGCATCGCTTTGTCAACACCTTGAAGTTCCTCTTCCAAAAGATTCAACCTTAATTAAATGAATTATTACGATAAAGGATAATTATGGATGACATTGATGAATGGATTCATTCAATTCGTGCAGGGGCCAGTTGCATAACTTTAGTTAAGTACAGAATTAGGCAATCAGAGTCGTGTATTTCTTAGTTATACCAGCCCCAGTTGTAAAACAACGTACTTATATACAGTTTCACTGCGAGACACGTTGTTAAATGGTATGATAACTGGTAAGTGATTCATAAGGAGTTCTATAGCAAAGAATATATCTTCAGCTAGAACTATTTAGAACGTGGGAAGAAAATATTCCTGCACCATCACGTTTTAGATATACACACAGTGTGCCAAACCTTGTACGAAATTCGTAAAGAAGCTGCTTGTGAATTTCAAAGTACACTTGATTTTCATTTTCCCACTGAATAAGCAATTCTTTGAATCTGGAATCAATTGCTTTGTTCACGTTGCCTTTTGTTATCTCCCACGTTTTTCCATTTTGTGGAAGTGGACTGTTAGTCCACGTGCAGAAATTTCTTTTGAAATCAGTCGAATTGATGTACGCCTCCAATTTGTGGTGGAGAACTGTGGTCTGATCCTCTAGTCTCGCCTTCATGTTCTCTCTGACGTCTTGCTCTTGTTTTTCAATTGTTTCCATGCGTCGTTCGATTGCTTCCATTCGTTCAAAAGTTTCTTGGTGAGATGATTGTGTCTCTTGGTTGATGAAATATGTTAATCTATATATATGATGCATTGCTACATACAACCACCTGGAAGAAAAAAGTTCTCCTTCAAGAAATTGCCTGTAACAATAAATAGCTAAATCCCGAGCGAATAATATAAAAAATCACAGGTGTTTAAGAATATTTCTAATTACTTTTTGTTTCTGTTCTGCAAAATAAAGAAAAATGTGAATGCTTCACCTTACATACTCCATCCCTTTCATTTGGGAACTTTTTCATTTAATCAAAAATATACATGTAGTTTTGCATATTGTAAAATATTTGCTATTGTTTGATTTGTGTATTGGAGGGGGGCTCATCGGGGGGGCTCATCCCCCCTTGTTAAAATTTAATGTCAAGCTCCCCTGTTAATAGTCTCTAGCGGCCCTTGATCCGACCCAGGGCTCTCACTTTGGGAGGTAGGGTCTGTAAGTTGCAATAGTAATATGCTATAAGATGTACTTACAGCCAGTGGTTGTATAGTCTGACATTTATTGCCTTCAATATCATCGTCTTAATTTTTTGGAGTAAATCATTGAACTCTTCTGTGACTCCGCCATATTCCTGTACTTTGATGGCTCTCTCTATTGACATGTACACAATTTGATGATTCAAATTGGAATCTTCCCAGCACTCGCTGAGCTTTGCGACGACATGTTTTTTCGTTTCTGATTTTTCAGCCTCTTTCACTAGATCCCATTTATTGCAGATGAAAAGCGAGGAATCGGCTAAATACTGAAGGGTTTCAACACTACCACTGGACGAGTGCACCTTTTTCACGATATCCATCAACTACGAAATAGTATTTAAGCATTCTAATAATTTATTTTTAAACATATGTTTTGAAAGTTAGGTTTTTCTATATCTACCTTTTCTTTGATATCCTTTTGCATTCCCCCAGCATGGGAAACGTCAAGAACATAAATGAACGCAAAAGCATATGGAAGATAATTCATCAGAACTTTATTCATTTCATCCGATTCCCCAAGGCCTGGACTATCAATGATAGCAATTCCTTTCTAAAATACGTCAAAAATACCAATTAAGGTACGTCCAATTACTACGATACTAAAAACACTACTCCGTCAACAACTCGAAGAAGATGGGGAAGTGAACGTTTCTGAAACCATGTATATATATATATATATATATATATATATATATATATATATATATATATATATATATATATATATATATATATATATATACACCCGTTTGCAAAAACGTTGGCCGCAGATAGATATATAGATAGATACCCAAAATCTAATTAGAATTGCATATGTTGTGTAATATGATTGAAATCCCATGCAAATGTAATCATATGCAATTCTAATTAGACTTCGAGTATCTATCTATCTATCTATCTGCGGCCAACGTTTTTGCAAATGGGTGTATATATATATATATATACATTTTGGAAGACAAATCACCTCGAGTAATTCATGCGGCCAAATGATTTCTACTCTAGTGTATTTCGGTCCCTTTTGTCGCTGGTCTGGCTCCGTCTTAACGTAAGGTGCTATTTGATCACAAAAATTTTTGCCGCATTCCTTTTCGGTTTTCAACGGAATTGTTGCAGGTAAGGGCCGCTTCTTTCGTTCCTTGTCGTACTCATAGTGAACGACGAGTTTTCGTTCTTCCCCAAACTTCAGTTCGCACATTGTCGATGTGGTATTGAGAACATGGTGTGCAAGAAGCTCTTCATCGAGAATTAGATTCAATAAACTACTTTTTCCTGCGCTACTTTCACCTAAAAAGTTGTAATAGGATTTTCGTACAATATTTCAGACCAGTGCAGAATGGTCCAACAGTATTAGTATATGAAACGTTCAATACCTGCAATAAGAACGTTGTATTCCGTTCCGTTCGTTAAACGTTCTTTTTGTTCAGCTAAAACATTCAGGACACCACGATCGCCATAGTAGACGTCTAGTACCTCAATTGCCTCTTCATCCAATTTCTTGACACAATCCTCAACGTCAAAATAAAACTCCTCCAGTTTTTTTCTTTTCAATTTATCCTCGTCTTTAGCCTTGGTAATCACCTCAAGTCCCTTTGAAATGTAGTAGAAAATACATTGAGGTATGAAACGAATATTCTTTCGGATACAACAGTTTTTTGTTTTATATAAACAGAGCCTTTCAGGCATGTAATATTTTATTCAAAACGAGGCGCGCTCTAAATTTTCTAGCAATGGTTTGTTTGTGTTTAAATCGCATACCACTTCAGAAAAATCAATATTGTTATCGTTATTGGACTTACTCATGTAAAGTATTATTTCTGGTATCTACAATTTTTGACAAAACAAGGTTTTCAATAGTGAATGAATGGCTGTCCGAATAGAACAGGTAATGAGAGGAAAAATTGCCTGCAGTTAACTTTTTTGCAAATATTGTTTAAAAAATATTCGGGTCCCGTTTTTGGGTGTTTAATCTGCGTTTTGTTTTTGAATCATATAGCTATACTGCTACAAACAGACCGAAAGATTTGCAGTTGTAATAGTCTAATAACTGTATGGAAAATGTGTAGATCACCGTTGTTCCATTTAAATATTTCCCGCTACCAGAACTTTGATCTTCGATCACTTTCTTCGCCGTCTTTTTCATTTCTTTAAGACTTAATTCTTCAGGATCGTGTTCTATATGAAGGAGATCAAAAACGTCGAACATATCGCGGATGTTTTTTATATCGTCGACACTTTTTCTTGGCGTTTTTTCTTGACGGTAACGTCGAGACACCTTTTCCTCTTGGTAATCTGGCTGTGGAAAAAAACATTCACTTCAATAAAGCGGTTTAATATTTTATCTTCTTATATATAAGTGACAGAAAATTTCACAGTAAGGCGTTACTATGCATGTTTACTAGGTTCCCGCACTGTGTCACTCATAGGCTTTGAGGAGGTTTGTGGATTTTGTGGGATATTCTAATATGATATTTAAAGAATATTCTAGTTGGTAAATTACTAAAAAAGGTCAATTAACAAGCCTTGGTGTTGGTGGCGTAGTCAACCTGACGATTTTGTCCCGCTATGTAAATATTTATTATTTTCACAGACAGTGAAGACCAAAATATTAGCATAGCGGGACAAATCGTCAGGCTGGCTACGCTACTGTTTGATGTATTAAAGATATAGGTTGTTTGGCAGTTTGAATACTGCATTCCAAAACGGGCACATGTATACTGCTCTTTCAGGTGGTGGCGACAAATAAATAAGTGGTGGTGGTTCGATGTAAATGTTTTGTAACCATTGCTTTATTTTGTAACATTTTTCTATTAGCAAAAAAGATGTTTTTGTGGCTATAATCATATCCTAGCTTTAGGTCAAATTATCTACCTTGTAAAGAGAATCAGTATCTAGTGCTGGTTTTTCAATTGCTGCATTTGAGTTGCTGGCAACTGCTCCTTCCACTTTAATTTCTGCTGACTGTTTCCCGTGATCCCTTTCTGCTGAAGACATGTCTTCATAGTCGCTGCCCTCATTTTCCCATCTCTTTACCATTTGTTTTGGATGCAGTGGGGCTCGTCCTTCTAATTTGAAACAACAGAATTATTGCGGATTGCTTACAAATATAGGATTGTGGTGTTGGTTGCAAACATGCTAGATAGATTTTGACGGTTAAATTTTTTTTAATTTCTTTATTTTTGCAAATTCATATATCAATCAATCAATCACCTTTGAAAGTATCCAGTTCACCTTTGATTTCTTCCTTATTTTTCTCCTCCCTAGCGTCCTAAAACATGATGGAACATACTAGTCAGTGGAAGGAAAACAATTAAGTTCTGTGTGCTGCATTACTAGAGATGCAAAGCGTCTAGCAATTTCATATCTTAATTGATGGTCGCAGAGGGATTAAATAAGAAGCGAAATTAAACTTGTATTCTTAAATATTCCGGCAGTTCAATGGATGGTGCAAAACTGATTTTATTATTCCCCAAGTCTATGTTTTTTATTTGAGATAACTGTCTCAGTAGAAAAAGATCATGCATGCTTAAGCCCTGTTGTAATGGTATAATACGATCTGGTGGAAATATTAGTTAAACTCGATTTTGACTTAAATAGCTGGGGCCGGTTGTATGAAAGCCGGATAGCGCTATCCACCGGATAGTGATTTTTTCAATCGCTTTAAAATCGCCCGTTGTTTGCTACAATTTTGATTAAATCTTAGTATTCCTAAATCGAGTATCCTCTTTAATAATTGCTGGCCAAAAAAATGAAATTGTATCGCTTTTCGAGCATTTTTAAAACGGTTGAAAAAATCACTATCCGGTGGATAGCGCTATCCGGCTTTCATACAACCGGCCCCTGGTGTTTTTGCTCATGTCTTGGACAAAATAGCTTTTCATAAGACGGTGCATGTCTTGTATGGATGCATTTATAATAGTTTATGTGGCCATTCGTGGTCCAAAAATGTAAGTTGCTTACCTTCTCTGGCGCTCCCCCAGAAAATTCTTTTCTATCACTTTTCGGAATTTTGCTACTTTTACCGGTTCTTGGTTTTGGTATTGGTGCTTTCTGGGTTCGTTTCCCGTTGTTTAGGACCATGTACTCGTCACATGAAGGGTGAACCATTTTTGTAGCCTGATTAACTTTCTTATCTTCAGGGTGCTGCATTTCCCGAGTTGACTGAACATTTGTATATTGTTGGTATTCCATTTCGTTAGGAATGACAGTATCACGCTCGACATTTTCTTCATCACTTAAATCTGTTAATCACAGAGACTATTATTATAGGAGAGGTAAAATATCGGACTGTATAGTTAGCTAGGTTTGAGTGTCGCCTATATTTCCCCATTAGGGTCCATCCTGGGGAAAGATTACATTTCTATAGTTCAACATTATTTAGCTGAAACGATTATTAACTATTACCTTCAGCTTTATTTTGTTCGTCTGTGATTTCTTCCCTGTGCGTTTCCTCCCTTGCGTCCTAAAATGATTCGTGACGCAGTTTTAATGTTATTTCTCAAATCAGGGGAGCACATGCTTAAAAAGAAATGAAATTAATGATTTGGAGCAAACTGTTGTGAAAAAGAAGCCTAAATTTAAGAATACTAATGACTGTTTAATATCTATAGGTTTGATAAATTCGGTTTGAAAAAGTGTTTAAAAAAGTGAATAAATAAAACTTTCGGATGTAGTGTAAAACTAGAAAAAGTATATGATTTGTGTGTTCATTTTTCTCTTTCAATATTCTTTTGTGAGACTGTGAGACCACTCGGCTTTTGAATAGATGCCGCATCTAATTCTTTGAAATTCAAAATTTGGAGTCGCGATTGTAGTCTCTAATTGTTATCTTTGTCACCTTAACATCTTCCATATAGCAAAGCCGTTCAGTCGATTTTACAATTATTTACTGAAAGCTACCCATAATATAAACTATATGGGATTAGGAAGAGATTCGCTCTAGAAATTAAGTTTTGCCTGGACCGTCTATTCAACGTTTGGGCTTCAACATTTATGATAACACATTCCGTTTTTTATGTTTATAAAATTATTTAAAACATTTTAGAAATTCACACAGGGTCAGGCTATATACCTTTAACACGATCTATATATAATATAATTTGGACAATGCTGGTCATATAGGAAACCATGCGAGTCTTTTAACAATTAACAATTTTAACAAAAAGTTAATAGCGATAAAACAAGTATTATCTCATGTTTTGCGCCATCTACTAACAATGACTAATTGCGTTTATACCTAGTGTCTACCACGCACTATAATAGCATTTTTGAACGGGTATATGCGATATCAGTATTGCTTTACGATGCATAACAATGAAATACACAGTGTATCAGTTATGACTTGTCTGCGTGTCAACTGTTGAGAAATACTCTTAAATGCCAAACTCTATAAGTGCCAGCTAGAACTGTATTCAATATAGCCTACCAACTGGAATCACAAAACCGTAACATACATTAAAATTGAAGTAGCATGAACTACGAAAAATTCGTCCCCTACCTTATATATACTGAAAATTGAAAAAAGCACAACCTTCTAAAAGTTGTCGAACATACCTGATTGAAAGTTTCCATCTGAAGTTTGAGAAATATACTGTCGATATAAACACAATACTTGAAAACCACAGTCTAATTTCTAAGGATTTGCATTACCTTAACATGATAGGGGTGCAAATTTTTCGCATCATACTGTGCTGTTCCGCAATTTTTCCACAATTCACATTTAAACCACAGTCTAATTTCTAAGGATTTGCATTACCTTAACATAATAGGGGGTGCATATTTTCGCATCCTACTGTGCTGTTCTGCAATTTTTCCACAATGCATATTTAAACTGTCTTTGATGAACGATATTATTTGCTTTGGTGGACAGGACAGTAAAAAATACATATATATCTAACATATATAGGGTTTCATAAAAAGTATTCTCTGTCGCATTTGATGGTTATTTTCTCTTTAAGTATAATTTAGAAATCTGATTTTTTTTTCAATACATATACATATACACTCGAATTTCGTATTATTGAGACATTGGTAACCCCAAGTAGGATTATTTAAAGCACATCGTATAGTTAGTTGGAACGGTGTTATAAATATAAAGTGAGATATCACAATTGTTTTAAAGAGGAATACTACCCGTATTGCGTTATAAAAATAAACACCGCAATTCACATAATTTACCAGATATATAGGATTATCACTAAGGAAGTTAGGGTGAAATGTTTCGCCGAATCACTCGAGCAGAGCGTCTATTAATGATTTATATACCAAATATAGATGAATCATATACCAAAAAAGTGCCAGAACTCTATACAATGTAGCCTATATACCGACTGGAATCACAAAACCGTAACATACATTAAAATTAAACTAGCATGAACTACGAAAAATTCGTCCCCTTCCTTATATATACTGAAAATTGAAAAAAGCACAACCTTCTAAAAGTTGTCGAACATACCGGATTGAAAGTTTCCATCTGAAGTTTGAGAAATATACTGTCGATATAAACACAATACTTGAAAACCACAGTTTAATTTCTAAGATTTGCAATACCTTAACATAATAGGGCGTGTAAATTTTTTGCATCCTACTGTGCTGTTCCGCAAATTTTCCACAATGCATATTTAAACTGTCATTGATGAACGGTAGCTAATAATTGTTTTGCTATGTCAATATGGACACTATGTCAATATTCTCTGTCGCATTTGATGGTTATTTTCTCTTTAAGTATGATTTAGGAATTAGATTTTTTTTATATATATATATATAATACACTCGAATTTCGTATTATCGAGACATTGGTAACCCCAAGTTGTGTTATTTAAAGCACATCGTATAGTTAGTTGGAACGGTGTTATAAATATAAAGTGAGATATCACAATTGTTTTAAAGAGGAATACTACCCGTATTGCGTGATAAAAATAAACACCGCAATTCACACAATTCACTAGATATATAGGATTATCACTAAGGAAGTTAGGGTGAAATGTTCCGCCGAATCACTCGAGCAGAGCGTCTAATAATGATTTATCATATACCAAAATAAAAAAATGACATCGCTTTAATGAGACTTTTGCGATGGTATCTTCTATTTTATAATGTAATCTTTCTTCAGACCTGATATGAACTTAATTTAATTAACACCATGCAGCGAGTGAAATGGACTCCCATCGCGTTAATGATCAATTGCTCTTGAGAGACATACTATGAGCTAAAATCAGACACAATTGATGCAAATTTTTTTGTGTGGGAGAATGGGTCATGGGGGTGAGGTACTCCGGATTAGCATACTGTACTGTTGTACATCCCAAAAGACTCATTAAGGCCTTATGCTTTCCTCCTGTGTGGGATCTATAAGCCCCACTAGGAGAGACTGAATGCCCTATAGGGGTGATAATCCCCCATTATGTGGTACAAATAATTAAACATCAACATTATTTTATCTTCTTTATGTATTATCTTCTTTTATTCTCCTGTCAGAATCGGCATTTCAGGCCATTTTAGCCTTGTACGTGGTCTTTCGTGGCGCTCGTGAGCCATTTTCATCACGATGAGTATGGTTCATAATTCATATTTTACGAACTCATTCAAAGTTTACGTAATTGACTAATTCTATTCCACTAAATTATGCATTAATACACATGTACTATACCCATATGTGCGTAAAGTGTATGTATAAAAAATAAATTATTAATATCGCATTTTATCGCCGCACATATCTATTTCTCACTGCACAAATTAGTTATCATTGTAATTTAAAATGTTCTAAAAAAGTGTATATGAGTGAACAAGGAGTGAACAATTTCGTTTTAAACTAATCGACTTATATTTGTTTACATTTTTCAGGCAAAGCCAATCAGAATGCCTACATTTTTAATACTTCATGTAAAATAGCAAATAATGTACCTTTTCACTGGAAGTAGTCTAAATTTATGCATTCTGATTAGGTTACTGAGATGTCTGAAAGTGTAAACAAACTTGTTGATTGGTTTTAAACGAAATTCCCCCTTGTCATATGAGTGTGGCTTTCTCGGACTTCGCGTTTTTTTTATATACTTCAATTGGGCAGTTGTAAAATATAAATATTTAATTTTGTCATCGAACTTGTATTCGAATAGAATTTTTTATTATTATTATTTTAACAGGAAAATAGCTGCCCAGAAATTAACTCGAAACGAAGTTAATCTCAACACAGATTTCAATCAGAAAATAAATCTAGTACTCAAAAATTTTTCACCAAGATATTAAGGTCGTGGCGTTACGTTGGTTCTGGGGTTTGCAAAATTATGCTCTAGCTACCTTGTGATATTTTACGGTCGAATTGCATCATTACATCCGGGATACGATGCATGTACTTCCGGTATGTCACGCGGGAAATTTGATGTTTACAATTTGCAAATGGTTTCTACTAGACGATAAATTATTTAATAACTTGGTTAAAGAAAGCAATGTACGATCTTGAAGCCAGTTTAAAGAGGATTTCAACATGCTATAGCCTATAGCAAGGATTGGATTATATCAAGTGTGTTTTGTTTGAACGACGTTCAACAAATGTTCAACCTCGTGGCTGTGGACGTTGCAAGGTAAGTCTTTATAAGAATATACAGAACACTAAACGCTTTATAACCCAAATTTATTAACTCCGTATAACATATCTCAGTACAATTTTTGCACTACACACACCGCCAAAAGTCAATTGCATCCTCCATTGCCGGTCTTGTTTTAGAATCTCTCCTCGTACAAGCTTCAACTAAAGCTTTGATATTAGCATTTGAAATTCTTCCAAATTGTTCTTTTCTCTTCGCTTGATTTGGCAGCTCACAAATGCACATCTCACACACCAGTATTCCGTAGCTAAAAACGTCGATCTGTTTTATAATAAAGAAATGAGATAAATTATACTTATACACAGTGTATCAAAACTGAAAGCTCTTTTGAAGTCAGTTATTCAGTATGAAAGCTGCAGGACTGTAAATAATCTCAAGAGTGCGTAAAACACAATTCATCCTCGGGGAATTGTAATTATTTTTTCGTCTAAGGGCTGTTTAGCAGTTTTTAATTTATTTTGCTACCAGAATTTCATGTTTGTCGCTTCTTGTTTAAGCAAGCGAGACGGTTACCAAAACAACCTTGATAGCTATATAAAGGTCAGTTATGCATGTCAGCATAATATGTTGCATTAGGCAGGATGGAGCATTCACTATGGCAGAAAACATCCCGTTTAAATTGGGATCCTACTTGTCGAAACTGGGAATGCGGAGTAGAAATATTATAGAAATACATATACATGATGGAATTCCGAGCATCGTCCAGTCCCAGTAAACTTCCCGCCCCGGCTGTCATATAAACAGAACTTATGTTACCTTGGGGTCATGGTGTGCTCCCCTGGCTTCTGGTGCGGAGTAAAGGGCCGCTCCTGGATTCGGTGTGTTGCAAACTTGCATGAAATTGGCTGACCCAAAATCGGACATTTTTGCTCGTCTTACTGCACCGTTTTCAACCGTTAGCAACACGTTAGCACTACTCACATCACGATGGATGATTGGGCTTGGCTTTTGCGAGTGAAGATAATTGAGTCCAAGGGCAACGTGTTTGGAAACAATTTTGATCTCCTGGTACTCAAAATTAGACTTTTTTCTGACTCGTTGCTCAAGTAACGTACGTAGAGCGGTGTCCATCAGTTCTGTTACGATTAAGAGTTGATCTTGAGCGTTTTTTGTCGCGCATATAAACTGTAGTAAATTCGGATGGCGGCACTGCGAAGCAATATCTATTTCACGTTGAAGAATATGCTTGTTATAATCTGAGATGATTATTTCGTGAAATTTTTTCACTGCTACTGTCGTACCATAGAAGTCTCCCTTGTAAACTGCTCCCCAAGCACCTTTCCCAAGCAGATCGTCATTTGAAATTTTTACCGTTCCATATTCTGTCATGAAAGTAGACGTAGTATTTTCCTGAGGTTGTTGATGTTCCTGCTGTAGTTGCTGAATTTCGCTATTCATGTCGGTAATTTCTTGACGAAGTTGCTCAATTTCGTCATTTTTGTTGTTGTTTTCTTGTCGAAGTTGTTCATTTTCGTCATTTTTGTTGTTGTTTTCTTCACGAAGTCGCTCAATTTCGTCGTTTTTGTTGTTGTTTTCTTGTCGAAGTTGTTCATTTTCGTCATTTTTGATCTTGATTTTCTGTTGATGTTTTTTAATTTGATTGTTATTAATGTTATTTCCTTGACGAAGTTGCATAATTACGTCATTTTTGTTGTTGTTTTCTTGACGGAGTTGTTCCATTTCGTCTTTTTTGTTCTTGTTCTCTTCTCGAAGTTGTTTAATTTCTTCTATCTCAAATTTCTTCTCCTCGCGAAGTTGTCCAATTTCATTATTTTTGGTATTGTTCTCTTGGCGAAGATGCTCTAATTCGTTATTTTTGTTGTTAAGTTCTTCACGAAGCCGCCCAAGTTCGTTGTTTTTTATGTTAATTTTCTGTTCAAGTTCTCCAATTACATTAGTCTTAATACTGTTTTCTTGACAAAGACGTTTATTTTCGTTTTTTGTAATGTTCTTTTCCTCGCGAAGTTGCCCTATTTCTTCATCTTTATCTTTGTTTTGTTGTCGCAAATTGTCAATTTCGTTATCTTTGTCATTGTTTTCTGCAAGGAGTCTTTCAATGTCGTCATTTTTCTGGTTGTTTTCTCTTCGAAGTTGCTCGTTGGTATCATTCTTGTTACTGTTTTCTTCATGAAGTTGCAGAAGCTCGTTATTTTTAATGGTGTTTTCGTTTTGAGTTTGCCTAATCTTATTTTCGTTTCCGTTGATTGTTTGTTTAAGTTGTGTGATTTCTTGTCGAAGTCGTTTAATAACGTTAGATTGATAGTTTTTTTCTTCCTGCAGTTCATTAATTTCATTGTTTTTGTCGCAATTCCCTTGTTTAACCTGCAGTATTTCGTTCTTCGTGTTAACTTGCTCGTTTTGAAGTTGCTGAATCTTCACATCTTTGGTCCTACTTTCTTCTTCAAGCTGAAAAATTCTGTTATCCTTCTTGGCATTCTCCTCTTGAAGTTCGCGAGTTTTATTTCTTATTTGCATTCCTTGATCTTTCAAACACAGCATGCTCGTTGTAACATCAATATTCTCCCGGACACGATGGTCACTAGTCTCATCCTTCACCTCCTGTATTTCCGGTTCAGCTGGTTTCCATTCCTGTTCTGGCTCATTCATCTCGTCATTTGCGTCTTCAAATATTTCTAAATCCAGATGAAGCTCCTCACTCTGCCCTTCATCTGTTATAGCAACGTCGATGAGATCTTCTTCTACGTCATAAAGCGGAAGAGAAGAATGCAAATAACGTATTACTGACCAAAACATAAATTATAGCCTTAAGGTACATGTTTTATATTCATGTATCGCATCATTTACGGCACATGTTTCAACATAAGCTAATCGCAGAGTTCTACAGAGAATTTTGGAAATCGGAACGAAAACAAATTTTGGTGGTCCCTTCCATCATGAACATAGTTTTCCAGCTCGATGCAAGTCCGCTAATTGTGTAACACAATGTCTTCATGTTTTGTTAATATTTTCAACATCTGATTACCGATGATTTTTCACGGTAGCAAAAATGATCATTTTACCTTTAATTGTTTCTTGTTCGCTTTTGAGCTTTTGTCTGTCTTCTTCCTCAGTTTCCTAGATGAATGATGCAGACCTATTGTTATTTCTCACGTTTCAAGAACCAAATATACAGCATCTTATATAGCGAACTCTTTTCGACATATCCTAGCATCGCGTTGCGAGCAAATGGATGAAATGCACAGAGTATCAAGTGGTGCAAAACAAAACGTCAGTTCGCCAAACGTTTAAAAGAACTGGGTATAAATTGGCTAAAAACGAATACACCATCTTAGATTAAGATACCTTTGAAGTGGATTGAGCTCTTTGATTCAAAGCAACTGACGTCAGTGGCGAAAACAATCTGGAAATTCGACGCCATATTGATACTCCGCGACCATGTTCATTAGAAAAATTGCTTCTTGACGAGGCCATTTCCAGACAGTTTCATGTATCTATTTAAACGAAAGATTAATTGCCGTTTTTAATACTAAAGCCCCGTACAGACGGGCAAGTTTTCTTTGACAAGTTTTCTTGACCAGTTCACTTACTGGTGTGTATGGCGAACAAGTTTTCCTTGACAAGTTTTTCTTGACAAGTTTTACGGATAATATATATGTCGAGTATATTTACGACAATATGATAAAATGAGACGAGTTAACGATGGAATCTCAAAACAAACAGAAATGATAAAACTTCCAAAAACCGCTCAATTGGCTCGAATATATTGTTACTTGAAAAGCTGGCATGGCTAGCTTTTGAACAAGGCTCCTTTTCAAGGAAAACTTGTCAATTTTTCCCGTACACACGAGCAAATAAAACTTGGCAAGGAAAACTTGCCTTCTGCACGGAGCTTAAAACGCAATTAGTATCCTTATTTCCCGAAATATACAAACGTAAAGCTTATTTAAACCCATTTATTAACAATACTTATCGAATAAAGTAAATATGATAACACAATAATTAATGTATTTCTATATATTCTCTCAAAAATTAGAGGTTAACTGCATATGAATATATGAATATAGCAGCTTTCACTTTGCAAATGACGCCCACTTGATTTGGTTTCAATTTACGCTGCATAATACTCCAGATATATATAGACCTCAGAGATTACAATTCCTGGTATTGAACTGATATGGCAGTTACTTTCGATTTCAAGAATTTTGAATGGAACAAGCAGTATATAATACTGTTAGCTTAATCACTGATCTTGATCTATACAGTATATGTTAGGCAGGATTAAATATATGTCGTGCGTGATTGTACAACATCATCGCAGACATTGCTATTCGACGCGAATTGCACTGCTTTAGCGAGTAGGAAAGATATACGAAATTGAATTGCATATCTATCAGACTATAACTATATGTAAACAATACTTCAGATCCGAAATGATTCATTTTATCCGTATAAATTTTATCTGTATTTTTAGTGGGGTTTTTTGTCCATATTTAGCTGCAATATAACGTTATTTTAAAATGTTTGAAAATGTTTAGTATTCCGGGAAAGAGTTGAAATTTGGTAACAAGGCTAATGTCGATACATGTAGCAATACCTCAGTACCGACATTCCTTGTCTGATTGAGATAAAATAACAACTGCAGCATATTAATCACGATGAATGTGCACGTACCTGACTAGCTGAGAATATACGAATCGGCTTTACCATAAATTTAATACAAATCGCTGTTGAAATAAACCACGTCCAGACCAACCATAACTACACTACGAACACAATATATCTGACAAATACTTGGAAATGCAATCGAATTTCCTAGACTTGCAGTGTCATTTTAATTCGCGGTCAAGAGAGGTCAAGGGAGGTTTTTACGGCTAGGAGACGGCAATAAAACAGTAAATATTAAGTATTTAATGCACTATCAACAAAGAATACTTAAAATAAAATCTGTGCATGCTGTAGTGGACGAAGAGGCTCCGATGCCTCCGATTTCTGACATGCAAATACAAGTTAAGATCAAAAGAAAATTAAAAAGCAACCGCAGTCTGATCAAAACATTGCATGAAAGGGGAATACTTTTTAAATTTCATGACGTGACAATATATTGATTCCACCACCTTGAACTGCTATAAAGGAAGAGTTTGTCACTTCGTTTTATGGCGCGAGTGTAGTATTCACTACAGAGATTAAGTCGGTTTGTCAGCGTATGATACTTCGATAGTTTCTGAAAGTGTTTGTTATAAAGAATTATCGTTTTGAGATTATAAAATTAACAGTTTAATTATTAACTATGCTATTCGTTCAACTATGTAAATTGGGTCACAAACACCATTTACATAACATTTATCACAAACCTAAAAACTACCCTATGATTTTCTGCCCTCAAACTTACAGGTGAGAAGCGAAGCCTTTGGTGGTTTCGTTTATGGTTTTTAACCGCTGGCCCTCACCCTGATTCTATATTTCTTACTGCATGTGCGCCCGCGATAGCTATTCGTGAGAGCAACATAAACTTCGCACTTCCCTGTTGGCGGACCTACAAAGTACTTGACTACCATAGAAGATAACTTGCAATACTAAATTGTGAAGAGTTTAGGCACCATACCAAAGGTATTTGAGATTTGAAAAGAATGCAAGTTTTGATTAAATTTAGTGCAATGTTATTCTACCGTCTGTTATTTAAAAGCTCACTAGCTCGCACGCAGACTCTTTCAGTACGATACCAGTTTTTGAGATCTGAGAGTCTAGCAAACTAGACATTTTCAATAACATATTTATATATACAACCTGTGCAGGCTAAAGTCATAGTAGGTAAATCAAGTTGCGTCAAGATTATTGGTCGCATCATTCTGGTCACATCTCTTGCCATGAACTAATTACTTGCGACATTGTTGGTCTCTTTTGTGGATCCATGGCTGTACAAATATTTACCAAGCTTTCGATCCTTTCATTTTTAATTCTCTTCACTTGAAAACCAATTATGTCTTTATTGGGAAGCTTAGAAATGAACATCTCACAAACCAGCAGCCCATAAGAGAAGACGTCAATCTGACATAATATAAACAAAATAATATGAAACTTTTACTTTCAAATAAACTAATCTTTTGTCGAACATCTTTTCAAGGTTCCCAAATTTATGTTGACTCAACTAGTCTAATGTACAGGGACCGGTTGTAAGAAAGTTGGATAGTGGTTTTTTCAGTCGCTTTAAAATCTCCCGTTGTTGGGTATAACTTTGATTAAATCTTAGTATTCCTAAAATAAGGGTCCTATTTAACAATTGCTGGTTTCAAAGCAGAAATTGTATTGCTTTTCAAGCATTTTAGAACGTTTGAAAAAATCACTACCTGGTGGATAGCGCTATCCAGCCTTCGTACAACCGGCCAATAATTAGCGCGATAGGCGAGAAACTTCTTCCGGTTCCGTCCGACAGATGCCTTAGAAAACCCATACGTGTCCATAAGAACGCCCCCCCCCCCCCAATTATCGCGCTAGGCATTGTCCCGCCAATGCAATTTTTTGACAACTCGATAACGTAATCGTTACCGTTAATCATAACTTAATCGTTACCTTTGGGCTATGCTGAGCGTGTCTTGCTTCTGGTGCGGCGTAAATGGTTGCTCCTGGGTTCGGTGTTGCACAGACTTCCATAAAATTTACTGAACCATAATCTGATATCTTGGCTCGTCTCACTTCGCCATGTTCGATGCTCAACAACACGTTGGCACTGCTGATGTCACGGTGTATTAATGGGCTTGGTTTCTTCAAATGAAGGTAGTTTAGGCCCCGTGCGACATCCAAGGAAATTAATTTAATTTCCTGTTCATTTAACCGCGAATTCTTTTTTCCACGTTGCTCGAGCAAAGAACGTAATGTCATATCCATCAATTCTGTCACGATTAACAAATTATTTCGTTCATTTTTAGTCGCACATAGAAACTGTAACAAATTAGGATGTCGACATTGTGCAGCGATATTAATTTCCCGTTCCAGCATTTTCATATTATGCGGGGAAATAATAACGTGATAATATTCTTTTACGGCCACCTCCGTTCCGTGAAAGTCTCCTTTGTACACAGCTGCATAACCTCCTCTTCCCAGTTCAACGTCAGAAACTCTCACTGTCCCACATTCTGTTATAAAGCTTGACTTTGTGGTATCTTGAAGTTGTTTAATTTCTATTTTCATGCTGGTACACTCTTGTCGAAGTGCTTGCAAATCACTGCCCATTGCTTCTCTTTCTTTCCTGAGTTCCTCAATTTCGTTGCTCATAGCGTTCTTGTCTCTTTCATTTTGCTGGATCTCGCTATATTTGGAAGCATTCTCTTCTCGAAGTTGCCGATTTTCGTTGTTTTTCTCCTTATTCTCTCGACGAAGTTTTTCAATTTGGGCGCTTATTTGACATTTCTCTTCTCGAAGTTGCTTATATTTTTGCTTCACTTTCCTCTTATCTCCACGCAACTGTTCAATTTGATCCTTTAATTTACCTTCCTCTTCTTCATGTTGCTGAACCATGCAACATTTTTCCTGTCTGAGTTGTTCAATTTCATTGCTAAGCATACTGTTCTCTTCTTGCAGTTCCTTTATCTTCTTAAAGTACTCCAATCCATTAAGTTGCAACTCCATCATCGGACCTAGGTTCGCTAACTGAACTCTTTTGTTATCTTCTTGCATAAGTTCATTAATTAGTTTCAAGTTTCTATTCTCGTTGCGTGCATCCTCGTTATCGTTACCCAGGCGTCGCATTTGTGTGATCAGATCAATATTCTCATTTTGGACGCGTTCCATTTTCGTAGTAAGATCAACGTTCTCATCTTGAAGTCTTTTTACTTTTCTCCTCTCTACAGCAATTCTGTCTTCTAGGAGTCGTACGTTAATACTTAGATTGTTATTCTTATTTTCAACATGCTCAATTTTGGTGGTCAAATCTTCATTTTCATTTTGAAGACTTTCCATTTTCGTTTTGAGGTCAACATTCTCATCTTGAAGAGGTTCCGTTTCTGTTGTTCGCTCAACTTCTCTAACTTAAAATCAAATCAAGTTTTAACCATGAATAAGTTAAAGCAAGGCTTGAAGCATAGCAGCTTTATTTCCAACACGCAATGCCTTATTTGCATTGGACTAAACGCCTAACGGTTAAACTGAATAGCTAAAAAATTCGTCACGTGAATTTTTGTCAGTTACAATTAACTTTTATATATAATGTCGTATTTGTCTCGCACACACACACCGCACCCCTGCTTCCGACGGGCCAGGGTATTTCAAATCCTTTACTATGGTCTGTCAAGCATTTAAATTCTCAGCGAACATCCTACACCCGAACCCCTTAAAACCCGAGAGTATATAATTATTTGATTTCTTCTAAACATCCATATTTAGATATATTATAACTTCAAGGTTCTACCTGTTTGTTCAACGTTGGTCAGTCTTTGTTCATTGTTCTTCGGCTCGCAACATTCTTCTTTCTATAAAGCAAATGACAGAGCGACGTTACTGGGAAAAGATACTGGGGATGGGTGGTGGTGTTTACAGTGGTGCTTATTCCTCTTTTGGTGGACAGTCGTATCACCCCTTTTATAAAGTTTCTTTTTGTGACCATATATAAAAAGAGTGGCGTGCCTTTATATTGTAATAATGAATACGATGAAGGGCATTTTTTTGGACGAATTTAAGAGAAGTATCAATATTACAATGCACAGAGCTAAGTTTTCGCTGGTGAGGAAAAGCAAGTTCATACCTTTTCACCGGGTTGGTCTCCTTCATCCCTTACGTTCGTCGTGGATATATTATTATTAATTGCATTAAAGCTAGATAAAAGGCGCCCCCAAAACGTCGACCTTTCAGCCATTTACTATTCATACCAATCAAACAGTATATATTGAATCGGTTTCATCTTTTCCACACGATCCAGTGACAATGTATATCCAAATCTAGAAGAATATTTTTTTATGTATGGTGTCCCAAAAAATACCACTCAACAAACTATATAGGAGATCATTATTTAGGCCTACAGCAATTCTGAGTGGTTTCATTTTCAGATGAAAGTGCAACTTTTGCCGCAAACTAATGCAGTAAAACTAAAATTTAAAAGTTCTCAAATTTAAATCAGAAAATTTTATCATAAACCGGTAGTATTTGTTTAACTTGGCCTTTATTATATCCTAAATATCTTAGGGATACATTAATACAACCATCGTCATTAATTGTGACAAAACATCACCAACTTTGACAATTAATGTGCTATTATAAATTAAATGGTTAAATCAAAAAAGTTGAAAATTTATGGATTATTTTAAGCAAAACTTGGACAAGTAGGAATTTTAGTCGTATTTCTTTAATTAGTTTTATTTCTTTATTTTTGGCAATTTTGCGGGAACGCAATTTTAACTTGTATTGTTTCCACCGATTTTTTCCGGTTTCGGTCATTTCCGGTTTCCGTTGTCTAAACGACCATGACTTATTAATATAAAATAACATGTATATAACGCGTGTTCTGATTGGTCGAAGCCCATGTTTGAACTTTGGATCAGGCCATCCAAACACGGAAACCATTAAGTAATTGTATAATACTTTCCATTTCAATCTTTTTATACTTATTAAAAGTTATCCACAACTAAAAAACGTAGTCTGTCGCGCACGTTGCCGGCAAGACAAACCGTTCACGTGGTTAATAGTTATATAACGGCTCTCGTGATGATCCTCGATCAAAGATGGCTTGCTTGGCGATTTATTGATGCTATTGTCAGCTATGTCATGCCGAAAATCCGAGAATTATCTATACGTTTTGCAAATCGAATGGTCTTGGGAAAGCCACGATATAGCCGCAAACAATAATTATTAGGGAATTCAGGTCATCTTGTAGGCCATTTCTCTCAGCAAATGTACAATTGATATTATTATTATTTCCATATAGCTGCGTACACTCGCGCCGAGAGTGGCATTTTTCCCTACTTCTGCTAAGTTACTCGTGTAATCTGAATAGCCACAAATCCGGCAGGCTATTTTTTGAAAACAGCTAAAGTATTGGCTTAGGTGTACTTATAGCAATAGCAAACCAGGAACTGTTCTTGTGCATGCTTGAATACGTGGCATTACGTGCTAGAACTATAAACAAAACTAATCAAACTATATTATATGACTAACACGGAAATTTGAGAACTATGTCGTTACCCACCATATTCGCTATATATATATCCAGTGTGATATTCCTATGTTTCAGGGTATCTGTCAATCAGTGATCTCATAAGGAGGTACTTATCGCAAAATTAGATAGAAAGAAACATCTATACGACATTCGTGTCCTGCTGTTTCCTGTAATTCCTTGCCTGCATGCATTAAGGCGATTACCAAATCGTTTTCTGCGCAGGATTGCGTAATCTATAATAATGATAATTTATGGAAATTTTTTAAATCTGTATCATCGTTTAGTTCGCTGCCTTTGTAAATGTTGTCATTGACAGAGAACGGGTTATTTTTCATATATTTTGTTTATTCTTTCAGGTTACTCTTTTATATGCTATTATATGTTATGCTTCACAATTAAAAGTGACTAAAAGTGATTTATAGTGGCTATATAGAGTCGATATAAAGTGGACAAGTGCTAGGTTTTGGCATAAACAAGGTGGTATATAGTTTCATTATCGACGTACTACGCTATGCCTATAGGTATGCATATTGTATATTACTTGTATTTCTTTACAGTTAACCTGCTCTGTAGCAAGAGCGGAAACAGTTTAATTGCCTTGCATGTCAACTAAGCGATAAAATTATCCTCGTTCGGTTTCAAAACATTTCTATACTACCTCTTTAGCTTTCGTTTTGTGATGGAATTAAATTACACGGACACTTGAACAATTATAAAAATAGGGTATAACATTCCAATATAACCAGGGAGCAGCATGGCAGCGTCTTCAAATAACTTAGCATCAAATGTTGGTGTAACAACTGCCTAAAAATAGACAAAACACTTCTCGACGTTTCGACCTGAGGGCCTTCGTCAGGAGAGTTAGTTAGCATAACTAATTATTAGGTGAGTTAGCTTACTAACTCTCCTGACGAAGGTCCTCAGTTCGACACTTCGAGAAGTGCTTTGTCTATTTTAGGCAGTTGTTACGTTCGACGGTAAATTTTCTCCTCACCAATTTTATCTTGATAGGTCAATAAAGAAAAACAATTATTCACGTCGAAAAACCAAAGCCAAAGCTTACGTAAAGCGAGGGAAATCTATTTGCGATTTACAATCGCCGTCAATACGCGGTTGCTAACGCCATCTCACATTCTTGGACGTCTTGTCTGTTAAGCTTGTGATTTAAAGATTTTTGCTGTATTGTTAGCATGATTTTTTTTGTATGGACGGTAATTTTTTCATTTCAAAGTCTACTGGAACAAGAGAACGGTGACCTATGGACGGTAATTTTTTTTTTTCGACGTCTACTGGAACAAGAGAACGGTGACGTCGACATGGAAATTCAAAGAGATATGGAAAATGAAATTCAGCGACTTCAGGAAGATCAGAATGGGATGAGCAATGAAATGCAAGAACTCAGGGAAACAATTGATGACAAGAACAATCAAATTCACCAACTTGAAGAAGATAAGAATGGGATGAGCAATGAAATGCAAGAACTCCGGGAAACAATTGATGACAGGAACAATCAAATTCACAAACTTCTCGAAGATAAGAATGAGATAAACAATGAAATTCGACGACTTCGAGAAGATGCTAAGTCTCGCTTTCACATACAGGAAAAATCTGTGGTATTCTCAACTAACGATGTGCTCGGACAAGGGGCTTATGGTGCTGTTTACAAGGGAGACTTTCATGGATCTAAAGTAGCGGTTAAAGAATACCACGAAGTTATTATATCTGATTATAACTTGAAAATTCTCCAACGTGAAGTATATATCGCATCGCAGTGTCGTCATCCGAATTTACTACAGTTTATATGCGCAGAGAGAAATGATCAAAATCGTTTGTTAATCGTGACAGAACTGATGGATACGACTTTACGTGCATATATTGAGGGACATGCAAGCCCGCCGTTGAAATTCGAGGAACTAAAATTAATTTCCTTAGACGTGGCATGCGGTCTTAACTACCTTCATTCAATGAAACCAAACCCAATAGTCCACCGTGATATCAGCAGTGTCAACGTATTGTTATGGATCGAGAATTATTCACCAAGAAGAGCGAAGATATCAGATTATGGTTCAGCTAACTTCATAGATATGTGCAACACATCAAATCCTGGAGCAGTCCTTTACGCTGCACCTGAAGCAAACCAAAATTCACAAGACCCAAAGGTAGTGAAAACGGTAACAAATGAAAATGAATTGTATTAGGGTTTCACGAGAGAAAAAAATTTCCCGACGTTTCAAAGCGGATTTTCTCGTACCATATTCACGCGCGAGCCGCTTTTGAAACGACATCTAAAAAACACATTGAGTTATCCTCGTACGGTTTTCCAAAAACGCAAAATACGACTGTAAAACTATATTTTTGACGTCATTCACTGTAATTCACTAACGATTTATGCGCCAGGAAGACATCTACCAAGTGTCTACCAAACTTCCTTTGTATCCCTGTTTTGGTCTGGTTTCCAATTAGTCGTAATTGTCGTAAAGACATTGATTACAAATAGAGAATTTCCACGCTTCGACGTACAAAGGCCTATAAGTCGAAATCTAGAATAGTTTTCTTGTTTATTTTCAGCAGTTAAAGGGATAATGTTCTTGTTTTTCCAAATAGATCGATGTCTTCAGCTATGGAATTCTGGTCTGTGAGATAGCAATTTGTGAACAGCCTGATCCCAGAAATAGAAAAAATCAAAGGAAAAGTATTTCAAACAAAAATATCAAAAAACTTGTGAAATCCTGTACAAAACCAGAACCACAAGACAGGCCTACAATGCAGAAAGTGCTTGAGAACTGGCAACGCAACTCGTCAGACAACGCCGGCCGGCGTCGGTTTCTGCCGAAGCTAAGTTGAACGGATCTTCCCATGCAATTTCGATCAATTATCTTAGCTTATTAAAGGGCCCTTACGAAAAAGACACATGCAAATCACATGTGAGTCACATGTACATGCCATGTGATCATATGTGATCAACATGTGAATACATGTGGTTATATGGAGTCTACATGTGACCCACATGTGATGCGCATGTGGTTACATGGGATACACATGTAGTTCACATGGGGAATATCTGTAAACACATGTGGTTGAGATCTATCTCGCCTTTCGAGTAGGGTACACTTTCAGTCCAGAAAATTTAATATTTAGATTTTTTAGCTTCTAAATTTTAGCTTTTATTCCAATCGATCACAAAATAATTTCGTCTTTCGGTTCAATCCCGAAAACGTCGGCAGCGGACCATCAGATGAGGTATACGTGCACAAATTATAAATTTGTTTTAATAAAAAATGTGAACAGCAGACCTGTGGATGAAGTGTACGCATGCGCAAAACTTTTAGGTTTAAATCTGCACACCATAGCCGATATTTTAGATATTTTAGTTATCAGGGGCCAGTTGTAAAAAACTCTTAACTACAATACATTTTAATTAGCTAAATCGTAGTTATTAGAAAATACACGATTCTGATTAGCCACTTCTGCCACTAACTATATAGTTAAAAGTTAACTACCTTTTTATACAACCGCGGCTCCAGGAACAGACGGTTTTTGGGAAAAGTAACAATGCAACCAAAAGGCCGAAGTTTTTTGTATAGAGGTAATCATATGACGGCTATTATTTAGATGAATTCGCGGGTAATTTCGTCCAATTACAATGCTTGGCTGGCGAACAGTCGAGCTTGCGACTTGATTTTGCGTGGACAAGAGGCTTAAGACAACGTCAATATGTCCGATGCAGTTGTATAAAATCGATAAAATACATTAAAATATACCGCTCAATTTTGAAAGCACTGTCTGCATAAGCGACCCCGACCGTTCGAGAAGTTAAATACAAACTTGAGAGCTGCAAAGTCTACGGAAATATAACAGCAGCATGAATCCGCCGGAAATATTTCACGTCACGCATTCCAACAATGATAATTAGTACAGGGAACTCCTTGAAATCAGGACGGCTTATTATTTAGCTTGCTATTATTGAGCTGAAGCCTTCTGTGAGTGTTGCCGTTTTAAATGTTTCATCGTAGTTTTATATGTTTCATTGCAGTGAAGTAGAGCCGATACAGAGCTTCCCCTTTCCGTGGTCGGTTGCATGTATCAAGCCCGTTTAGCTTAAACGGTGCTTAAGTTCAAAATAGAAAGCAAGTCTATCGTTTTATTCAAGAAGCAAACTAAATGTTTTTAACCTTAATTCAAAGATACTGTTTACATATTCAGTGCATAAAATTCAAGTTGACTCATTCAAGAGAGATGTAAGACTTATCCGCCGTTTAAGCTAAACGACTTTGATACAACCGGGCCCTGGCCTTTTTTGTTGCTTCTGGACTATTTAACTTGTATGCAAATAACTTGTTTCACTTGTATGCAAACTGATAACTTGTTTCACTTGTATGCAAACTGATAACTTGTTTCACTTGTATGCAAACTGATAACTTGTTTAACTTGTATGCAAACTGATAACTTGTTTAACTTGTATGCAAACTGATAACTTGTTTAACTTGTATGCAAGTAACTTGTTTAACTTGTGTGCGAATAACTTGTTTCCCTTGTATGCAAATAACTGTTATTAATGGAATAACTGTACGCCTCTCGACCAATTAGCATCCAGTAATTTTATCATGCTAATTATAAGTACATTTATGAAGCCGAACGAAACTTAATATAATAAAGACGATGGTGTGAAATATATCCAATACAGTTATTTAAAACGATAAAGTACGTTAAGATACCACTTTATTTTGAAAGAAATGTCTTCATAAGCAACCTCGTTCGAAAAGTTAACTATAAACTTTGACAGCAGCAAAGTCTTCAGAAATAAAACAGCATGAATCCGCGGGAAAATATTTCCCGTCACGCATTCCAACAATGATAATTTACACAGGGAACTCCTCGAAATCAGCTTGTGCTAGCATTTAGCTTGCAACTGTTGGACTGCAGCCTGCCTTTTGTGAATGTTGTCTTTGAGACAGATTTGGAACGGTTTAGCTTTTCAAACGTTTCATATGACCTACTCGTCACAATTAAGAATGATGTAGAGTCAATAAAGAGCTTATATTAAACGACAACTGTTTGGTTTTGCTAGCAACAGAACAGCAGGAAGTAAAAGTATACACAGTTGCGTTATTGACGAACTTCGCCAGGTTTGTTTGTATTTATTTTATTTCTTTATGCTTATCCTGCATCGTGGCGCGAGAGCGAACAATCGATCACCTCATTAATGTGGAGATCGGGCCATTCCCGATCGTTTTCTAGACATTCTTTATACTGGCTAGTTTGTTACATGATTGATTATGGACACTTCAGACGTAACTATTTAGAAAAAGCAGGGTATACGATTTTCGACTAAGAGATCGTCATATTGTCTCTCGTTATTCGTTAACAAATATAACTAAAATACAGGTTTCCTAGAAAGTTAACACACTTTGTATTCATTGATAAAACCTGAGTGGCTTTATTCATCTCGGACATAAAGAGTTGTATCGAAAGCGAGACAGAAGGCAAAGCTTTACCATGTACTTTAAAACGATTAATCTTTGCTTTTTTCAAAGTAGTTCTGCATGTATACGAATACATTGACAGTATTTGCGAAATTTTTCTGAGAATTTTTACCGCACTTTCGTTATTGCTATTGTTACATAGGTTTTCGCAAAATATATTTCATGCGCCCATGCAAGTTTACACACATTGACATTGGTTGCAAGTTTTTACATTTGTAAAACTATTAAGGTTTCTTGACAAGAAGCCAGGGGTTCTTCCTCGGGAAATTTCGCACTATCATTTTTAAAATCGAAAGTGCTGTAAAATTACCCGCTTCGATGGTTTCGTGATAGTGTATTGATTAAATATTCGCTTTCTTTTGAACTTCACTTAAGCCGTTGGTAACGCGATTGGTCATTATTTACCCACAGTTAGTAGAATATACATGGTTCTGAGACCACATAAAACTACAATACAACTGTATATGTTGAGGTAGATTTATGCAAAAAATTGTCATCGCTTTCTCAGTTACTCAAGTTAACTCATTCGTCGTGCAGATATTTCTCTTTAGTCTCAGTTTTTTAGCTCTCGTTTGTTGTACGAAAATGATGGCTACATTCGGGCAGCAAATTTGAAACGTAGGCCTATAGGACAAACGTATAGAATTTCTTGATGTTGCGTTAAGCCTCGTTTACACTTTCGATTCTTTTGATAGATGTGAACGTTGTATACGAAATCTTACTTGAGCACCAGTAATTCATTCACTCGTTCACATCTCTCAAAAGAAGAAAATTATATATAAAATCGCACCAAAAATTGCACAGATAATAGACCGAAATTTGGCTAACAAACTTCGATCTCGAGTATTAATTATTAGCTATTACTATAGGAAGTAGCCGTATGAATCGGGGTTTATATATAGTCGTATGATAGCAGTGTATTAAATTAACCTGTCTGCCATGTTGACTGTTGAGCTATCACATTTGCGACAAGCCTGCTTCATATATGTTGAAAACTATGGTAAATAGTTTTTGAAATAGTCTGCGGTGAATCGAAAGTGAAACCAAGATTGGATGCTATTTGATGATTTGAAAGTGGTTTACAGCCCGTAATATAAATGCAACAATTCGTTCAGTTTGTTTACATTTTTAGTTGCTATATATTCTATGTAGTGTAGGAATAATCAGTAAAATTTTCGATATAAAAAAAACATGCGGAAAAACTTAAGCAATGTAAATAAATTAGCTATATACCCATTGTTATTAGCGGACCCGCTAGGAAACGCTGCTGTAACCAATTTAATTTGCATGTCAATAACTATTCAGTAAAATAGGCTACTGTCGAAAACACAATACACCCAATGATTGTTCTGTCTTTGTCACTTGCAATGCTCTTTTTATTACACATAAATCACATGACCTGATAATTTTCTTCTATTCCACTAGAATTTACGGCATCAGCCATCCCAAACATTCTCAATGTACTTTTGCCATCTGATTAAATATTCTTCTTCATTGATTGTTTGGGAAAGGTGGACCTAATGTTCTACTTTATACTTGTGTACTTTTTGTTTGCACCCATCATGTCATTTGTTTGCACACATCAAGAAATCAGCTTTTCTTTTCATGTTTTGTGTTTTGTATGAAAACAGATTACTGGGAACCAGCCTTACATCTTTGCAGATATATTTTTTGAATTTAGGAGCAATACTTAGATACAACGAAAAATTGTCCACTATTAAAGATGAAATCAATGTGTAGTAATCAATGATTAGCATACAAACATGGCCTCGTCTAGGAGTGATACTCTGGATTACCGTGAGCCCAGGGATTCAATATGGCATCGAGTTTTCAGACGCATTTTTCGAACACAAACCGCGACAAGTCAAAGAGCTCAACCAAGTGTAAAGGTATCAAAGGCAAACTGCATAGTTATCTCTATCAGTTTAACTTATTGTAAGTTTCGAATGAAAGGAGGCGAAGGAGACTCAGTTTACTCCAGGCAGAAGAGCAAAAGTGCTAGTTTTTATTATGTTTTACCGCAATGAATATTGGCGAAGGCAATTAAGCGTCTGGGTACGCCTTGTGTGGTTAAATTCTAATCTCTATGTCACAAAAGCTGTACGATTATTCATTTAGGTCCATCGGGACAAAAAAGACACGAAAATGGTCAGAAATTCAGGTCAGATTTATGCAAAAAATTGTTCCTTTCTCATCACATGTCTATTGTATTTTGTACAAATAAACCAATAGCGATCTTTGAATTAGCATTTTTTCAAGTCAAGGTTGAGGAGCTCAGCAAGACGATTGTCATTGGTAAGTTTGGCTAAAATACAATAGACACGTGACGAGAAAGGAACCATTTTTGGCATGTGTTCTTAGTGAGTCGTATTGCACTTTTATCTAGTTTCCAAACCATGCCGTATATTCTATTAATTGTGATTCACATGACACACTTCTATATTATTTTCTGCTACAGATCAAAACTCACCATTAAAACTTTCTTTTTTTCCTCATCCAAATCAGTTTTTTTTAAAAAACCATTGCTGTATCTTATATATTGTCTGTTTACGTATACCTGTGATGCCATGAAAATCTAGCAGAAATTAAAGATTGATTAATTGTAGCTTTTCTCCCAAATAAACTAATGCCCAAAGATGATAAGAACATCCATGCCAAGTGATCTACAGTCTACACAAAAGGATCTAGCCCTGCACTAAATTGTTTTTCACCTGACAAAGAACCTTATGTTTGCAAAATTAACGTTTATGTCAACTCGTACTTTTGATAGCTATTTGGTCAGTCCTGGCATTCCGTATTCAATAATACCGAACATGAAAACAGTTAAATTCCTTGCGAGAATTACAAGAAACGCAGCTCAGTTCCTGACTTGATCATCGTATATTCCTTCCGTTTAGATATTGGCTGGGATGATGATTCGTTAGAGAACGAGAATATGACTTCGAATAGGACTACGTCAGAGAACCGCAGTCCGGGATGCCAACCTTTTCTTGGACAAAATAGCCGTCGACGTCATCTGCACAACGAAAATGAGGAGCTGCGACAAGAAATTCAGGAACTCAAGAAAGTTGTAAATGAAAGGGGGGATAAAACAAAAGAACTTTCCCAGCAAATCGAAACTCTGCGACTTAAAAACCAGACGACGGAGAGGGAAAAGGAGACATTTCGGCAAGAAAATATTGACAAGAGCAACAAAATTGAGCAACTTCAGGGAGATAAAATTAGGGAACTCCAAGAGAAAATCGCTAAAATCACCCATGAATTGGCTGATAAGGAGGATGAAATTGGGCAACTTCAGAAAGAGAGCAATGAGATACGGGGTGAAGTGAAAGAACTCCAAGGGAAAATCGAAAGTAAGAACAGGAAAATACGGGAACATGAAGAAGATATCGATCAAATAGAGAAAGAAGTGGAAAAAATCAACAATGAATGCGCTGGTAAAGAAGATGAAATTGAGCAGCTTCGAGAAGATAAGAAGGCGTTAAAAAATGAAATGGAAACACTTCGTCAAAAAAATGTTGACATTAAAAATGAAATTCAGCAACTCCAGAACGAAGTAAATGAAATGAAAAGTAAAATTGGGCAACTTCAGGGCGATAAGATCAAAACGGAGAACACCATTCAGCAGCTTCAGAAAGGAAATAATGAGATGAAAAATGAAATTCAGCAACATTGGGACAATAAGACCAAAATGGAGAACAGCATTCAGAAGCTTCAGAAAGAAAATAATGAGATGAAAAATGAAATTCAGCAACTTCGGGACAATAAGACCAAAATGGAGAACAGTATTCAGAAACTTCAGAAAGAAAAAAATGAGGTGGAAAATGAAATTCAGCTACTTCGGAACAGCATGGGTCAGACGAGCAGCAAAACGCAACAACTTCAAACAGAGAATAATGCGATGAGCCATGAAATTCGGCAACGTTGGGGCGATAAGAGGAAAATGAAGTATGGCGAAATTCAGCAACGTCGGGAGAATATCGACCAGGTGAAAAATGAAATTCAGCGTCTCCAGGAAGAAAGAAATGAGATGAGCAATGAAATAAAGCAACTTCGAAAACATATCGACAATGTGACATTAAAGGCTATGGCTAGCATCTTTATTGAAGAAGGTGCCGTGGTGGTTTCAACTAATGATAAGCTCGGAGAAGGCACTTATGGTGCTGTTTACAAGGGAGACTTTCATGGATCTAAAGTAGCGGTTAAAGAATTTCACAAAGTTGTTATTTCTGATTATAACTTAAAAATTCTCCAACGTGAAGTATATATCGCATCGCAATGTCGTCATCCGAATTTACTTCAGTTCATATGCGCAACGAGAAATGATCAAAATCGCTTGTTAATCGTGACAGAAATGATGGATACGACTTTACGTACGTATATTGAGGAACGTGCTAGCCCTCGTTTGCCGTTGAAATTCGAGGAACTAAAATTAATCTCCTTAGACGTAGCATGCGGCCTCAACTACCTTCATTCAATGAAACCAAACCCAATAGTCCACCGTGATATCAGCAGTGCCAACGTAATGTTATGGATCGAGAATCATTCACCAAGAAGAGCGAAGATATCATATTATGGTTCGGCCACTTTCATGGTGCCGGATATGTCTAAAACTGTATACCCAAGTGCATTCCCTTACGCAGCACCTGAAGCCTGGCAAGGAAAACAGGACCCTAAGGTAATGAAAGTAGAAATAGAAAATCCTTCAGAGATCAATTTATTTTTTTTTGAATTTTTTTATAACCTGTGTAATAAATGATCAGTCGAGACGTGGTATATAAGAGAGATGCTTTAAAATGGATGCGAAAATTTCTTGATGTTTTGGCAAAATTTCTCAAGTCAAAATCTTGAAAAGTTTTCCTTGCTTAATTTCAGCAAAAAACCGGTTATGCTGTTCTTTTTTATTATTCGCATATTTTTGTTTTCCTACATAGATGAATGTCTTCAGTTATGGGATTCTGGTATGTGAGATGTCCACCTGTGAACAGCTTGGAAGTAGAGAATATCAAACAGCAGAAAAAATTTCAAACAGGAATGTGAAACAGCTGGTGAATACCTGCACAAAACCTGAACCGCGAGAAAGGCCAACGATGCAGGATGTGATTGAACTCTGGAAACGCTACGAGTCTCATGACACGAGCCATTTTCCCTTTTTGCAGAAGTGAAATGAATTTTTGTGTAACGGTAACGTGATTGCGATGTTATTACGGTAAAATATATCAAAAATATTTTAAATAACAATTAAACATAATATTCTTTTTTTTCAATTTTTTCTAGTAGCCGATTAATAACTTTATAAGAATATATTCGAAACTGTACATGGGAGCCACCATGCAATATCCGAACAACGAAGAATATAAAAAAATCGAAATGAAATTAGCATGTATACTTTTTGTATTAGGGACAGAAACGGTTTTAACATCTTTAAACACCTTTTAGGCCGAAACTTATATACTTTCAGTAATAATTTTTGCATGCGATATACAAAAGTCTGGGTTTTTTGCCTTATTATGCCGTATTTTTGCCTTATTAATTGTACTAGATTTTGCATTCTGTTTGCACCTACTTTTATGTTTAGAACTCTAAAAAGATAGCATTGTTGAAACGTTTGTATTTTTTATACCCCTATATATGCATTTTTCATATATATATATATATATATATATATATATATATATATATATATATATATATATATATATATATTCATTTTTTATACTTTTAGACCCCGTTTACACTAGAACGAAAGTTTCCAGATTTGTAAAATTTTCCGGATTCATTGTTACACACATGTATCGGATTCGTCAGGTGTTTACACTACACTTTAGTTGTCTCTGTATGCGGATTTGTCCGTTTACACTCACATTACTTGTTCTTTGGAGAATTGTTTGGTCGTCATATAGAATTTCTTCGGATTCGTCGTGCAAAGCGTTTACACAAGAAAATTTTCCGGATTCAAATGTTTCTGGATACGAAGTTTCCACAAACTTTTACGGATTCAAAGTTTCCGGATACGGCTTAAAACCGAGTACATTTTCTATCGGATTCGTTGCTGCGTGTGTAAACAGAAACATGAACCCGGTATACTAAAACATTCCGCTTTCGTCATGTATCTGGAAACTTTCGTTCTATTGTAAACAGGGTCTTTAACTCTAGTTCCTTTTTGACGTGTATTTAATGATCACCTCATTCTATTTTGAAAGCCATGCAACTCATAACAGCATGAATCTGTAAATAAGATTCACATCGTTCTGATGATAATTTATGCAAATTTTTAAAATCTGTGTTGCCATTCAGTTTGTTACCTTTTTAATTGCTGTCTTTGACAGAGAACGGAATGTTTGTTTATCCTTTCGGAGTACTCTTTTATATGCCATGCTTCACAATTAAAAGTGATGTAGAGTATCTGTAGTGAAGAGTTACAGTGGACAAGTGCTAGGTCTTGGCATAAACAAGGGATTGTAGTTATAGTTTCATTATCAACGTACTCTACCAGGTATGCATTGTATATATAACTTAGATGTTTCTTTATAGTTAACCTGCACTATGGCAACAGCAGAAACAGTTCGCCTCGTTAACTGAGCGATATAGGCTCATCCTGGTTCAGTACTTTAGTCTCAACACATTATTTCTATACTAGACACGGACATTTGAGCAATTATAAAAGTAGGACTGACATATCTATACAACAGCATTCCTGCTCTGACGTTAACTCCGCGCGCGCAAGTCCAGTCTTTCCAATACAAAGTTTTTGAACTATAAATACTACAGTTCATATTCATTCAGAAGCTTCGCAAACTTAAGTATTGTTCGACATTTAGAAAGGACATCGTACTTTGAAAATCATTGAAGTATAAAAATGTAAATAAACCATATGTTTACATACGGGCATGACTTTCACTTTATGGTCTTACACTTGTGCTTGTATTATTTTTTTCATTTGATAACATCATATATAACTTACATTAGCGTTTAATATACGTGTAATGTGTTAACGAATGTAAATGTTGATGCTGTGATAGTGCTTGATCGTATTCTTCAAACGTGTGGGGTTTTTGAAATTGATATTCAGTTTTAGTACTGCATGCTGGTCTTTTCATTTAGATCGTACACCACAGACGTTATGTCAGGGCACAAAATGAGAGTTATGTCAGGGACGTCGAGGCAATGAAAACGAGATGAGCGATTTAATTCAAGAACTCCGTGAAAAACTTGTAGCCAAGTGCCATGAAATTCACCAACTTGAAGAAGATAAGAATGGGATGAGCAATGAAATGCAAGAACTCATGAAAACAATTGTTGGCAAGAACAATCAAATTCACCAACTTGAAGAAGATAGGAATTTGACGAGCATTGAATTGCGAGATCTTCAAGAAGAAATCGTTGCTAAAAACATGAAGTTGACCAACTTCTCGAATATGAAAATGACATGAACAATGAAATTCGACAACTTCGAGAAGCTGCTAAGTCTCGCTACCGCATACAGGAAAAATCAGTGGTATTTTCAACTAATGATGTTCTCGGACGAGGGGCTTATGGTGCTGTTTACAAGGGAGAATTTTACGGATCCAAAGTAGCAGTTAAAGAATACCACGAAGTTATTATATCTGATTATAATTTGCAAATTCTCCAACGTGAAGTATATATCGCATCGCAATGTCGTCATCCGAATTTACTACAGTTCATATGCGCGACGAGAAACGATCAAAATCGCTTGTTAATCGTGACAGAACTGATGGATACGACTTTGCGTGCATATATTGAGGGACATGCAAGCCCTCGTTCGCCGTTGAAATTCGAGGAACTCAGATTAATTTCCTTGGACGTGGCATGTGGTCTCAACTACCTTCGTTCAATCAAACCAAGCCCAATAGTCCACCGTGATATCAGCAGTGCCAACGTATCGTTATGGATCGAGAATTATTCACCAAGAAGAGCGAAGATATCAGATTATGGTTCAGCTAACTTCATGGATATGTGCAGCACATCAAATCCTGGAGCAGTGCTTTACGCCGCACCTGAAGCAAACCAAAATTCACAAGACCCAAAGGTAGTGAAAACGGTAACAAATGAAAATGAATTGTATTAGGGTTTCACGAGAGATAAAATTTCCCGACGTTTCAAAGCGGATTTTCTCGTACCATATTCACGCGCGAGCCGCTTTTGAAACGACATCTGAAAAACACATTGAGTTACCTAGTACGGTTTTCCAAAAACGCAAAATATGTCCGTAAAACTATATCTATGACGTCATTCACTGTATTTCCGTAACGATTTATGTGCCAGAAAGACATCTACCAAGTGTCTACCAAACTTCCTTTGTATCCCTGTTTTGGTCTGCTTTCCAATTAATCGTAATTGTCGTAAAGATATTGATTACAAATAGGGAATTTCTATGCTTCCACGTACAAAGGCCTATAAGTCGAAAGCTAGAATAGTTTTCTTGTTTATTTTCAGCAGTTAAAGTGATAATGTTTTTTTGTTGTTTTTCCACATAGATCGATGTCTTCAGCTATGGAATTCTGGTCTGTGAGATAGCAATTTGTGAACAGCCTGATCCCAGAAATAGAAAAAATCAAAGGAAAAGTATTTCAAACAAAAATATCAAAAAACTTGTGAAATCCTGTACAAAATCAGAACCACAAGACAGGCCTACAATGCAGAAAGTACTTGAGAACTGGCAACGCAACTCGTCAGACAACACCGGCCGGCGTCGCTTTTTGCCGAAACTAAGTTGAACGGATCTTTCCATGTAATTTCGATGCAATTATCTTAAAACTTATTAAAGAAAGGCCCTTACGAAAAAGACACATGAAAATCACATTCAAATCACACGTGAGTCACATGTACATACCATGTGATCATATGTGATTCACATGTGAATACATGTGCTTATACGGAGTCTCCATGTGAACCACATGTGATGCGCATGTGGTTACATGGGATACACATGTATTTCACATGGGGAATATCTGTAAACACATGTGGTTGAGATCTATCTCGCCTTTCGAGTAGGGTACACGTTCAGTCCAAAAAATCTAATATTTAGATTTTTTAGCTTCTAAATTTTAGCTTTTATTCCAATCGATCACAAAATAACTTCGTCTTTCGGTTTAAATTCCGAAAACGTCGGCAGCGGACCATCAGATGAGGTATACGTGCACAAATTTGTTTTAATCAAAAATGTGAACAGCAGACCTGTGGATGAAGTGTACGCATGCGCAAAACTTTTAGGTTTAAATCTGCACACTATAGCCGATATTTTAGATATTTTAGTTATCAGGGGCCAGCTGTAAAAAGCTCTTAACTACAATACATTTTAACTAGGTAAATCGTAGTTATTAGAAAATACACGGTTCTGATTAGCCACTTCTGCCACTAACTATATTGTTAAAAGTTAACTACCTTTTTATACAACCGGCTCCAGGGACAGACGGTTTTTGGGAAAAGTAACAATGCAACTAAAAGGCCAAAGTTTTTTGTCTAGAGGAAATCATACGACGGCTATTATTTAGATGAATTCGCGGGTAATTTCGTCCAATTACAATGCTTGGCTGTATTAAATGCGAACAGTCGAGCTTGCGACTTGATTTTGGGTAGACAAGAGACTTAAGACAACGTCAATATGTCCGATGCAGTTGTATAAAATCGATAAAATACATTAAATTTTGAAAGCACTGTCTGCATAAGCGACCCCGACCGTTCGAGAAGTTAAATATAAATTTTAGAGCTACAATATAACAGCATGAATCCGCCGTCACGCATTCCAACAATGAGTATTAATACAGGGAACTCCTTGAAATCAGGACGGCTTATTATTTAGCTTGCTATTATTTAGCTGAAGCCTTCTGTAAGTGTTGCCGTTTCAAATGTTTCATCATAGTTTTATATGTTTCATTGCAGTGAACTAGAGCCGATACAGAGCTTCACCTTTCTGGGGCCGCTTGTATCAAGCCCGTTTAGCTTAAACGGTGGTTAAGTTCAAAATAGAAAGCAAGTCTAACGTTTTATTCAAGAAGCGAACTAAATGTTTTTAACCTTAATACAAAGATAATGTTTACAACTACATATTCAGTGCATAATATTCAAGTTGACTCATTCAAGAGAGATGTAAGACTTATCCGCCGTTTAAGCTAAACGGCTTTGATACCACTGGGCCCTGGCCTTTTTTGTTGCTTCTGGACTATTTAACTTGTATGCAAATAACTTGTTTCACTTGTATGCAAACTGATAACTTGTTTCACTTGTATGCAAACTGATAACTTGTTTAACTTGTATGCAAACTGATAACTTGTTTAACTTGTATGCACTGTTATTTTCAGGGAGTTATTTTAACTCTCCCATTATCCTTTTTTAGTGGAGTTAAAAATTTAACTATAGTTTTGGAGTAAAAATAACTCTCTTTGAGGGGTTAATAATTTTTAGACCTTATTAACTATGCAGAATTAACTCCTTTTGGGGGAGTTAAGCAATCTAACCCTCTTTTATGAGTTATTTTGACTCACCTATTACCCTTTTTTGGGGGTGATAAAAATTCAACTCTCTTTTTGGAGTTAAATAAAATTCAAAATGGCGTGCACAAGAGGAGCGGGTTAATAGTTTATTATAAATTTTAGTCTTATAAACGTGAATTGATTTAACTCTGGAGTGAAAAAGGCGGAAAAGGCTTGTAAAAATTACGAATGTTTGTGCCACTAATATAATTTGACTTCTAAACCCTATATTTTAACTTATATCGCTTTCTTCATCCCGGTGTATAAAGTTTCTTCCTACGGCATTTAACTTTTAAGTTCAAGTTTATAAGGCTGTTCTGTTCATCTGTATATCAAAGCCATTCCCCCCATAAAATAGGGAAAAATGGCAGGGCTGACGATGATCTATTGATTATATATGTTATTTCTGGCTGTGAGGTCGTTATTTCCGTTTTCGAGACCGTCGGCACAGTTTTTTGTATCCGGGCCGAAGCTGCCGGTAAAATATGTGTTTATTTTTTAACCTTTGCCGTTGGCCGAGGGAAGTTTTCGAGACCGAGAGCACAGATTTTTGCCTCCGGGCTGAAGCTGCGGTATATAACGTGTTTATTTTTTTACCTTTACATTATTGACTTCATGAAACACAAAAAAAGCAAAAAAATTAGCAAATAACTATATAAAAACTATAATTTCTGCAATCTACAAGGCTACAAGCCATTTCAGAATTTTAATACGTCAACAACTCCTTAAAAGGATATTCTAGTCGGGAAACAGCCAATGAAATGGCAGATATTGTTACCATAGCAACTAAATCACGGCAAATTCGGGCAAATCGACTAGAAAAACAACGTAAAATGCAGCGAAAAAAGGAGTAAAAAATCCAAACTAAGACGTTTTTCGGGTATGTTTTTTATTTCTAACATACTTTTAGCCTTTTCCGGAAAGGTTTTTACACATTTTAGCCTTACGTTGCTTTGGTTTGGCCGTTTTATTCACATTTCACACCGGGCCGGATGCATTTCAAGCGGGCCGGATGCAAAAATCAATATTAAATAGGTCATTTTATCACTTTAAAATTTACAGTAATCAAAGTCTTTCAGAAGTAATTCATAATTAAGGGTATAGGAAGAGTATTATTGAGGTTAAAAGCAACAACTGATGTTAGAATTATTTAAAAGTGGGCTATGAAAAGGTGATCCTTTCAGACAATTAATATAGCAATTTAGAGCTTTTGTATTGATCTGTCTTTTCAAATATACAACTCACAATATTATACAAATGCATGTGAATTGATAATAAAAAATTTTGTGAGATAAATTTACCAATATGACACTACGAGAACCTTTGGCTTTAATGTTTTTAGTTTAATAATCCAATACACAAACACAATTTGCATCAGAACTCTGAAAGTAGAAATAATATAACTCCGATAGTGGAGTTACCACTGCTTAACTCCTTTTTAAGAGTTACATTTTAACCCCTAAATGATAGTTATTCTGACTGCAAAAACGGAGTTAATATTTTACTCCAAATCTGGAGTTACTTTTAACCAGGGGCGCCGGAATATCGATAATAGCGGGGGCAGATATTCATATATTCGTGTTCCGCATTATTAACTCCTTTTGAAATCGATTGTTTTTACGATCTGCGAACACGAATATATGAATATCTGCCCCCGTTATTATCGATATTCCGGCGCCCCTGCTTTTAACTCCAAAAAGTGAGTTGTTCTGTACCTTTTTCCGTAACTCCTATTTTAGGAGTTAAAATAACTCCCTCAAAATAACAGTGTGCAAACTGATAACTTGTTTAACTTGTATGCAAACTGATAACTTGTTTAACTTGTATGCAAGTAACTTGTTTAACTTGTATGCGAATAACTTGTTTCCCTTGTATGCAAATAACTGTTATTAATGGAATAACTGTACGCCTCTCGACCAATTAGCATCCAGTAATTTTATCATGCTAATTATAAGTACATTTATGAAGCCGAACGAAACTTAATATAATAAAGACGATGGTGTGAAATATATCCAATACAGTTATTTAAAACGATAAAGTACGTTAAGATACCACTTTATTTTGAAAGAAATGTCTTCATAAGCAACCTCGTTCGAGAAGTTAAATATAAACTTTGACAGCAGCAAAGTCTACAGAAATATAACAGCATGAATCCGCGGGAAAATATTTCCCGTCACGCATTCCAACAATGATAATTTGCACAGGGAACTCCTTGAAATCAGCTTGTGCGAGCATTTAGCTTGCAGCTGTTGGACTGCAGCCTGCCTTTTGTGAATGTTGTCTTTGAGACAGATTTGGAACGGTTTAGCTTTTCAAACGTTTCATATGACTTACTCGTCACAATTAAGAATGATGTAGAGTCAATAATGAGCTTATATTAAACGACAACTGTTTGGTTTTGCTAGCAACAGAACAGCAGGAAGTAAAAGTATACACAGTTGCGTTATTGACGAACTTCGCCAGGTTTGTTTATATTTATTTTATTTCTTTATGGTTATCCTGCATCGTGGCGCGAAAGCGAACAATCAGCCTCATTCACGGGGAGATCGCGGACATTTGTAGACATTTTTTATACTGGCTAGTTTGTTACATAATTGATTATGGACACTTGAGACGTAACTATTTTGAGGCAGGGCGTACGATTTTCGATTAAGAGATCGTCATATTGTCTCTCGTTAACAAATATAACTAAAGTACAGGTGCCCTAGAAAGTTAATACACTTTGTATTCATTGATAAAACCTGAGTGGCTTTATTCATCGCGGACATAAAGAGTTGTGCATCGAAAGCGAGACAGAACGCAAAGCTTTACCATGTAACGATTAATCTTTGCTTTTCACAAAGTAATTCTAATTTGAGGATAACAGTCGTCTACGCCGAAGAAATTAAAGCTAAATCTTAGTTAAATCGAGAGAATTCTGCATGTATACGAATACATTGACAGTAATTGCGAAATTTTTCTGAGAATTTTTACCGCACTTTCGTTATTACTATTGTTACATAGGTATTCGCAAAATATATTTCAAGCGCCCATGCAAGTTGACACACATTGACATTGGTTGCAAGTTTCTAGATTTGTAAAACTATTAAGGTTTCTTCATAAAAAGCCGGGGTTTTTCCTCGGGAAATTTCGTACTATCATTTTTAAAACCGAAAGTGCTATAAATTTACCCGCTTCGATGGTTTTGCGATAGTGTATTGATTAAATATTTATTTCTTTTGAACTTTGCGTAAGCCGTTGGTGGCGCGATTGCTCATTATTCGATCACCTGATCTCTATATCATTTTCTGCCACTGATCAAAACTCAAAATTCACCATCAAAACTTTCTTTTTTTCCTCATCCAAATCAGCTTTCCGAAAATATCAATGCTGTATCTGTATATATTGTCTGCTGACGTACCATTTGATGCCATGAAAATTTACCTGAAATCAAATAATTGATTAATTGTAATTTTTCTCCCAAATAAACTATGAAGGTTACCATCCATGCCAGGTGATTTACAATGATAATCAGTTACTAAAGCCGCGTTTACACTTCAGGCCGAAACCTGGCCTGGACCAGGTCTAGGAAAAATCTATGTAATATGTGCCACGTTTACACTGTCTTACTTGTTGCTGATATCGGAAAGCCAAAGTAATTGGCAAAATACTTGGAAAGAGATCCAAACCACGCCGAAAAGTGGTAATACTATATGTATCCTATACAAATCATATTGTTAAGTTCAAAATTTGTCAGGAGTGGGTAAAGCCTGTTCACTTTACCAACATTTTGCTCCTGGTCAGGTCCATGTCTGATCCAAGCCACCTACTACTGTTGGCCTGGATTTTGTGGCTTAGACCAGGTCCAGGCTTGGTCTAGGCTGGATAAACAACGTTCACATTTAGGCCTAGGCCTGGTCGACGCCAGGTCAAAGCACGTAGTATAAACGCGGATTAAAACTGCAGTTTCCAAAAAAAAGTCTAGCCCTACACTAAATTTTTTTTTCACCTGACAAAGAACCTTATATTTGCAAAATTAACCTTTATGTCAATTCGTACTTTTGATATCTAGTAGAGAGATAAAAATGCTTCATCAAATGCTTAGTATGCAGCACCTGGAATGCTGTATTCAATAATGCTCAACACGAAAACAGTTAAATTCCTTGCGAGAATAACAAAAAAACGCAGCACAGGTCCTGGGACCGGTTATTCGAAAGGCGTTTAGCTTGAACGATGGATAAGTTCAAAATGGAAAACAAAACTATCGATTTATTGAACAACCGGGCTGGAATATTTTGATGTAAATTGTTTAATTTTCAATGGAAGTACAAATTAAACGTATAAGATGCAAGTTCAGTCATTCGCAAGATCTATGAGAGTATTTTGAAACTTTGGCTTATCCACCGTTTAACCTAAACAGCTTTCGAACAATTGAGCCCTGGGCTGAACATCGTATAATCCTTCCGTTTAGATGCTATCATAGATACGATATTTGTTGGCTGGGATGATGATACGTTAGAGAACGAGATTATGACTTCGAATATGACTACGTCAAGGAACGACAGTTCGAGATGCCTACCTTTTTTTGGACGAAATAGCCGTCGACGTCAATTGGAAGAAGAGAACGATGATCTGCAACAAGAAATTCAGGAACTCCAGATAGTTGTAAATGAAAAGGGGAATGAAACAGAAGAACTTTCGCAGCTAATCTTAAATTTGCAACTTAAAAACCAGACGTCGGAAAAGGAAAAGGAGACATTTCGGCAAGAAAATATTGGCAAGAGCAACAAAATTGAGCAACTTCAGAAAGAGAACAAGGAGATATGGGGTGAAGTGAAGGAACTCCAAGAGAAAATCGCAAGTAAGAACAGGAAAATACGGGAACATGAAGAAGATATCAATCAAATGGAGAAAGAAGTGGAAAAAATCAACAATGAATGCGCTGGTAAGGAAGATGAAATTGAGCAGCTTCGAGAAGATAAGAAGGCGTTGAAGACTGAAATGGAAACACTTCGGCAAAAAAACATTGGCAATAAAAATGAAATTCAGCAACTCTGGAATGAGAAAAATGAAATGAAAAGTAAAATTAGGCAACTTCAGGGCGATAAGATCAAAACGGATAATACAATTCAGCTGCTTAAGAATGAAAAGAATCAGGATAGAAATGAAATTCAGCAACTTCAGGGTGAAAAGAGCAAAATGGAGAACAGTATTCAGCAGCTTCAAAAAGAAAGTAATTGCATGAAAATTGAAATTCAGCAACTTCAGGCCAACAAGACCAAAATGGAGAACAGTAATGAACAGCTTCAAAAAGAAAGTAATGGCATGAAAATTGAAATTCAGCAACTTCGGGCCAATAAGCTCAAAATGGAGAACAGTAATCAGCAGCTTCAAAAGAAAGTAATGGCATGAAAATTGAAATTCAGCAACTTCGGGCCAATAAGATCAAAATGGAGAACAGTAATGAGCAGCTTCAAAAAGAAAGTAATGGCATGAAAATTGAAATTCAGCAACTTCGGGCCAATAAGATCAAAATGGAGAACAGTAATCAGCAGCTTCAAAAAGAAAGTAATAGCATGAAAATTGAAATTCAGCAACTTCAGGGTGAAAAGAGCAAAATGGAGAACAGTAATCAGCAGCTTCAAAAAGAAAGTAATAGCATGAAAATTAAAATTCAGCAACATCAAGCCAATAAGACCAAAATAGTGATAGGTGCTCAGAAGCTTCAGGAAGAAAAAAATGAGATGAAAAATGAAATTCAGCTACTTCGGGACAATAAGACCAAAATAGAGAACAGTATTGAGCAGCTTCAGACAGAAAAAAATGAGATGGAAAATGAAATTCAGCAACTTCGGGACAATAAGACTAAAATGGAGAACAGTATTGAGCAGCTTCAAACAGAAAAAAATGAAATGAAAAATGAAATTCAGCAACTTCAGAGTGATAAGACCAAAATGGAGAACAGCATTCAGAAGCTTCAGAGAAAAAATAATGAGATGGGAAATGAAAATCAGCAACTTCGGAACAGCATGGACCAGACGAACAGTAAGAAGCAACAACTTCAGGCAGAAAATGATGCAATGAGCAATGAAATTCATCGTCTTCAAGAAGAAAGAAATCAGATGAGCCGTGAAATTCGGCTACGTTTGGGCGATAACAGCAAAATGGAGGTTGATATTCAGCAGCTTCAGAAAGAAAAGAATGAAATGAGAGGTGAAATTCAGCATCGTCGGGACAGTATCGACCAGATGAACAATGAAATTCAGCAACATCAGATAGAAAAGAACGTGATGAGTAATGAAATACGGCGTCTTGAGGATGAACGATATGCTATGCGATATGAAATACAGCAACTTCAAAAACATATCGACAATATGACATCAGAGGCTATGTCTAGAACCCCTATCCAAGAAGGTGATGTGGTGGTTTCAACTAATGAACTCGGACGAGGGGCTTATGGTGCCGTTTATGAGGGAAACTTTCATGGATCTAAAGTAGCGGTTAAAGAATATCACGAACTAATCATATCTCCACATAATCTGGAGCATCTCCAACGTGAAGTGTATATTGCATCGCAGTGTCGTCATCCGAATTTACTACAGTTCATATGCGCGGAGAGAAATAATCATAACCATCTGTTAATCGTGACAGAACTGATGGATATGAATTTACGTACATATATGGGACGTTTAAGCTTGCGGCTGCATTACGAGGAACTCAGATTAATTTCCTTGGACGTGGCATGTGGTCTCAACTACCTTCATACAAAGAAACCGAGGCCAATAATCCATCGTGACATCAGCAGTGCCAACGTATTGTTAAAAATTGGAAATCATTCACCAAGAAGAGCGAAGATATCAGATTATGGTTCGGCCAATTTCATGGATATGTGTCAAACTGAAAATCCAGGAGCAGTTCTTTACGCTGCACCTGAAGCTGGGCAAGCTAGACAGGACCCTAAGGTAATGAGAATAGAACAAAATTCTTCAGAGATCAATTTATTGTCGTGCCCTCCATAAAGCTAGCTTGTTTGAATTCTTTATAACCTAGGTAATCACGATCAGTTGAGATGTGGTAGATAATAGGGACGTCGTTGAGAAGTAGTTTTAATTAACTAACACCGGCGTATTTACTTTAAAACTACTTAAGATGGATGCGAAAAGTCTTGATGTTTTGGCAAAGTTTCTCGAGTCAAAGTTTTCCTTGTTTAATTTAGGCAGTTAAAAACGAGTTTTGCACGCCGTTCTTTTTTATTATGGCATGTTTTTGTTTTCCCACACAGATCGATGTCTTCAGTTATGGGATTCTGGTGTGTGAGATGTCCATCTGTGAACTACCTATCCCTGAAAGTAGAGAAAATCAAAGAGAAAGAATTCCAAACAGGAATGTGAAACAACTGGTGAAGACCTGCACGAAACCTGAACCACCAGCAAGGCCAACGATGCAGGATGTGATTGAACATTGGAAACGCTACGAGTCTCAAGACACGGGCCGTTTTCCCTTTTTGCGGAAGTGAAGTGAAATTTTGTGTAACGGTAACGTAAATGTGATGCCATTATAGTGCAAAATAACAAAAAAAAATTAAAAATCTATTATATAATATCTTCTTCTTAATTTTTTTCTAGAACTCTAGCAACCAATTATTTACTTTATAAGGATATATTCGAAACTGTTCGGCCATCGATAGCTAAACAACGAAGTCGAAGAATGAATAGTTCACAGCCAAAACACTGTACTCAATTTAATCAACACTGTAATCAACAAAGATCATGATCGTAGCTGATAGTTTGAAAGATGTAAATCATGAAATATTTCTTACATTAACTAGCTGTAAGAAAGATCTAAAGTGTGTCAATATAGCTACGACCACGGCATGTATAGCAATATATATTACATGAGTTAAAATATAGACAAACATAGGCAACAGTTTTTAGTTAAAACTGTTTCTTAAATAAAGCGTAGTCGCTATTAATTGTTTGTTACATTCCTTTGTTTCATTTTAACATAAAATTAAGTGTTGAGAATGATTTTAAACAACGTAAGCTTAAACATTTAGGACATTTCACCTTTTTAAGACATTTTACAACAATAATCGTATGTTTCTATCTTCGTTTTTCCAAGCCACCATCGACTTTTGATTATAATATAACATTTATAGTACGCGCGTGCTCCAGGGTAAGAATCGTATACGCGACAAATTGCAAAGTGTACGCATAATGGGCCTAAACAAACTCCATTAACACGGCGCTACGTAGTTTTATACAATGAAAACCGTTCCAGCTAGTAAAAAAATTCCCGTCAAATTTTTCGTCTCGAAAGGTTAAATAAACAAAGCAGCCCATGAACGGAACCGCGTATGTGAAGTATATGTTTCCCTCAGAAACTTGAGAAGTAGCTACTATCGAAGCTGCTATTTACAGCATTCTCCATAGATGGCTATCTAATCGTGCAGTACTTGGAAACAAGGTCTAATTTCTAAGGATTTGAAATATCTCTACGCAAAAGGCATTAATTATTGCGCCCTGCTATGCTGTTTAAACAATTTTTACATACAATTCATTTCGTACATTTTCAAATCACAAGCAATGAATCCTAGCTATATATGCATGGAAAACTGCCTGTTATTAATCGATTCTGTCGAATAATTAGGTGATAATAAAGCCGGCTGCAGGCTGCCGGCAAACTCTTTGTTTAGAAAGAAGAGGCAAGGCTCAATGAACTATAAAATTAACTATTTGGCTCTGTTCCTCTCAAAAGGCTTATTTCCACGTTATTTCTATTTTTTTTATAGTATAACTCAATAAAAAGATTCTTTACAAATATTATAATTCGATTCAATTACAAATTCTCATTACATTACTTCGCTTGTCACTTTCGGCGGGAAAATTCCCGTGTTTCTATACAGTTATAAAAACACGTTTCTCGACCAATCACGGAGACGGATTTGAAAGGCAATGAACTGCATATTTTATAAAGAAATTATAGACTTCAACATGATGAGTTAATTATTATTATGTCTCGTGTTGTATAAACCCATAGAATTTTATCAGCGTGAACTCGCACTAAAGACTATTGTAGCATTCTTCAACAATCCGTGTTGAAATTCCTGCATGATTTTGTTAGTGCAGTGGGTATATATAATCAAAATATCATATAGTTAAATAGATATTGCTCTTGGCTGACTTTGGTCAGTCTTGGTGAAGTGTCAATCTTTTGAAATGTATTAATATCATGAATTGCGAGGCTACGAAATGAACAACTACATCGAACATTAGTTTACTCAATCATTACCAGAAATTTGGGACAAGATGGCGTCTTGCATTGGGATAAAAACAAACATGGCGGCCAAATTTCATGCGAAACAATATGGCTTAATCACAAAACTTTAAATTACGCTTCCTATGTGTGTTTTTTTCTTGGTTCGGAGTTCGAATTCTGTAAATCGCTCAGAAAGGAAGAGTTATAACAAAAAAATTCACTCACTAGCAAATCCTCTAGGTTCCTGAGTGCGATTTATATACAAGTCCAATTTGAATGATTCGGCTATATAAACCATAGTAATATCGGTAAACATGCTCTACAATCTGGTCAAATACACCACTTTCCTTTTGGACGATGCAAAGTTCGGAGTTGGAAATGTCTTTGGTTGTGATATAGCTACCGATATAACTCATAAGTATCTTCGTATTTTTTACCGCCACGGTTCCCACAGCGTTTCATGATTTTTCAGTGTGTTAAGCATCCGGCCATACACATTTGAAGCATAATTATAATTGCATAATTATACCATCGAGCCATTTTATGAAATTTTCACCAATTCCTTGGGTCAAGAAGCGGACGCTGCCCACGAACGCGGACGCAAAATGTCTCAAATTTCTGGTAATGTCGTCTACAAAGATGTCCTCCGGAGGTTCAAGAGAAGCGACTTATAATGGCTTCCAAAAGGTATTTATTTGCTTTTTTGGAAATTGATCCCAATGATATTGCTCATACATGAAACTAGATAAATTAGCCGAACCAATGAGCAATACTACTCGCAAAATTAGGATAACTCTTCATGAAAATCATGCTTCAAAGTTATTACGTCATTGTCTACACAAGAGTTGTTATGTAATATGCGATGCAATACATATGACTCTTGTGTATGGACTCTCAATAAATCTTACAGCGAGTAAACATGCAGTTCAAAGAGATGCGTGTTATACATGTATGTCAACGACGTATACATATAGAAAGACATAAGACCATTTATTCTTTGAATTTTCATCCGATATTTGTCAGTCTTCGAATTGATGCATTCGTGAACGTATTTGTAAATGCTCCCTTAATTGTATTTAGGTAATTCTACTTAATTCTACATTTGAAAGCATCAGCAACTCGTTCGCATCTATCAAAATTTGAGAAGTGGAAATTGTCAAAGGCGTCTTTCAAACTCTCATAGTATTCCACTGCATGTAGAGAAAGATTTTAAAGAATTATAAATACACCACGCGTTATCAGCATACTATAGGAGTCAATTTTTCTGATAGAAGTCAATCATGCCCAGCATGCATATGTATGGCGTTTAGGAGAGCCATAAACTCGTAAGAGAAGTTATATCTTGAAATGAATTGAGCTGAGACAACTTGAACTTGAGATATCTTGAGCCTATAATATCAATTACAAAGGCTTTTGAATAATTATATACATATAAATATTAGCTATGACGAATTTAGTTATTTTGGTATAGTATAATACATAAATATAATGTAGCTATGTGTGTACTCTTAAACTAACAATATTTTAAACTTGTAGGAATCTTAGTCGAGTACTATTGATACATTCCTATATTGGCGACGAGTGGCAATACTTCCTCATCGTCGCGATTTTATGCATGCATAACGCATGCATAACTTTTCAATTAAAACACTTAAAAATATTGTTTTCCTACAAATGATTGTTCGTTTCCATCACGATTAATAAGCCTCTTAAAATCCGGCTAACTGTAGTACAAACAGGCAAACTCGTCAATAGAAGAAGAACCAGTAACAATTTCCGTTTTTCATTCAGGGTCTTTCGATAATTTTGGATGCGAAGGAAGAGGATGGGTTGAAAAGAACTCGTCTGGAGCAATTGTTATCGGAAGATTTTCCAGACGTTATGCAAACGTTAGAAGAACGAATCAAGAGACTACAGCAAAGAGATTATTACATCCTTGTCGCTGGTATGTATATATAATCTCAATATTCCCCGCCTGTGTGAATCCAACCATTGAGATATAATTTCTTTTTTAATGCTCCGTATCTAAGTTCCTGTTACTGACATTGCCGTGACAATTAACCCGCGATTGAAGTGAATATTTTATTACCCAGTCGAATATACTATATACCGGTATTTCTATTATATCACTTTTTTATACCACAACGGTCGAATATACCACTGATATAGGCATATACCAGTATATTTGACCTTCAATAATTATTTATTATATAGTCCCCTCGAGTATACCAAATATTGATTGGCATATGCGTCCTTAAATTGATTTTCTATTACCAAGGTCGAGTATACCTTATTCCGGTATATTCGACCTTCACTATATTTTTATTACCAAGGTGGAGTATTGTCGAGAATTTGCCTCAAAATGTGATCCTCGACAAGTTACATAGTCTTCATAGTATATTTATATTTCAACCCAGTAAAGAATTCCAAATGTCTATTAACACTTTCCAAACGAATCTCACCACTCACACCGTCAGATAGCACACGGGCTATAAATTACTCTCTCTCGCTCGCCATAGTTCCTCACTCACTGAATGTCTCAGTCCAACAAACTCTCTCGCTCTCGTGACCACACCACATACACCTTCATCCTATCAATCACGGTTACATCACTAGAATATAATCGAGTAAAAGAGACATTTGTCTATATAATCACATTCGCCGGAAAATGGCAAATATACGACAATGGTCATATTATCGCCGGAAAATGGCAAATATACGACCATGGTCATATATTCGCCGGAAAATGGCAAATATACGACCATGGTCATATATTCGCCGGAAAATGGCAAATATACGACCATGGTCATATTCGCCGGAAAATGGCAAATATACGACCATGGTCATATTCGCCGGAAAACGGCAAATATACGACCATGGTCATATATTCGTCGGAAAATGGCAAATATACGACCATGCATGGTCATATATTCGCCGGAAAATGGCAAATACGACCATGGTCATATTCGTCGGAAAATGGCAAATACGACCATGGTCATATTCGCCGGATCGAAATCGGCAAATACGACCATGGTCATATTCGCCAGAAAATGGCAAATACGACCATGGTCATATTAGCCGGAAAATGGCGAATGCCGAATGCGACCATGGTGATATTCGCCAGAAAATGGCAAATACGACTCATCTTATCTGTCAGTTGCCGACAGTATACCCTATTCGGTATATTTGAACTTCACTCATTTTTTTATTATCAAGGTCGAGTATACCATATACCGGTGTATTCGACCTTCGAAAACCAAGTCCTTCTTCAACTGATTTGTTTGATTAAATTACGGTAAGTTTGGAAAAATGACAATTTGACTCATTTCTAGGAGAAACAAGTTCGGGGAAAAGCTGTCTGATAAACTTGTTGCTTGGCGTGGAGCTGCTTCCTTACTCCTGTCTCAGTACAACATCTACCATATGCGAAATAAAATACGGAATCGACCCCAAACTTGTGGCACACCGCAAAGCTACCAGCGACAATTCAGAATCCTATCCACCTTTGCCGCCGAAAACGGTGCGTTTGAAGGAGCCTCGCGTTTGTGAGAAGAGCTACAAAGCACAAATTGCTCCTTACGTACACAAGAAGAAAGACAGGGGGGAAGGATCCTCGTATGAAAAAGTGGAAATTTTCTGGCCCAATGAATTGTTACAGGTTAGAAGAAAAGAGTACTAGGGCCGGTTCTAACGAAAGCTGGATAACGCGGCTACAAAGCTTTAACGCAAGTTATAACGAACAACGGGCAATTTCTGAGCGTTTGAAAAAAAAACATGCGATGAGTAAATGCATGGTGAGGTTGCAGGATGCGACTGCAATCTAATTTGCTATTATATTGTGGGGAGGTCTAAAGAGGCTTTATACGTTTCTAGTTGTTGATAGTAAAGTGAAATCATGCGGAAAGTGGGGAGAGGGGTGGGAATTAGAAAGGACACTTAATCATAATAGTTATCACATATTGTAGGTCGGCGTTGTCATAATCGACAGCCCAGGTGTTGGCGAATCCGAAATAATGGATCAAACTTTGATGAGTTACCTGCCAAATGCTTTTGCATTCATGTATGTCATAAATAGTACAAATGCTGGTGGAATACAAAAAGACAGGGTAGATATTGCCAAATTCTCTTTTCGAATTTAATATTGTTTCACCGACCGTAGAAAACAACTGAAACACATGATCTCCTAGTTTTCCTGAATATCCTTTTGTCTTCTTCCAATTTATCATTTCGCACACCCAGTCCACTTAAATTTGATCTCACTTAATAATCACTTATCAACTGACAAGGCAGGCAACACAAAGGCTAGCCGACATCATTGCGAATCAGTCCAGTTCACAATGACATAGTCAGTTGCCTGATTTTGATTCACTGGACAACACATGCCCACTCACCGAATACAAACTTCCTTTCTTTCCACACCAACTTTCCTTAAGTCGAAAGTCTGAGGTCTAGTGATTACCCGTGATAAGTTTACCAGTTCCCGGTTCTTTTTGAAGAAAAGGATAAGTGTTGATATTGTGTCAAAGAATCAATACTGGATTTGTTTATTTCTGCAGTTGGTAAGAATATTGGATAAAGTTCGAAGTCTTGAATCTGCTGATGAAATGAATTCAAATCATTTGGCCGAGTGCGCTCTTTTCGTTGCCAACAAGTGGGATCAGGTGGACGAAGATGAACAGCATGAGGTGAAGCAACGTATTGTGCAGGAACTGAAGCAGTATTGGCCAGACGGTAATCCTCTTGAACAAACAGTTTACGTCTCCACTAAGGAGGCACTAGACAAACGAAGGCAAGGTAAAAAGAGCGAAGAATACGATGCTTTGATTGAAGGGATCAAGTCGATGGTTTTGAAAGCAATCAACAGCAGACTAATCAACCATTGGGCGTAAGTGCACATATTATAACAAAGTAAGAACTTGCAATGCTTGCAATGAAAAGCAGTAGGCCTGTAGGGGGCGTTTTACGAGACACGAGGGAGGAACTACGACCAGACTATTCCGCATCATAGAAAATGACTTTTTCACGACAGTTACGGCAAATTTGGACTTCAACAATGATATTTATTTCTCTTAGGTGGATGAATCTGGTTTTGAATCGAATAATATTCAGGATTGAGGGATTTAATCAATCGATGTTAGAAAATCGCGATGCACTTATCCAGCGAATGAGTGGAATTCACGGACAGATTACGACGCTGCAAAACGCACGTCAGGAAGATATTGCTGAGCTGGAGAAGAAGTTTGCAGCTGAAACAGAAATCGCCGAAGAATTTCGTCTTCAAATGATAAACGGAAAGCGAATAAGAGATGAAATCAATGAGCTTCAACAAAAAAGTAAAGCCCAAGACAGCGAGATTCAGCAACTTCAAAACGAAAATGACGGCATAAACACCGAAATGCAACATATTACACAAGACAACTTGAACAAAACCAGCATGATACTTCACCTGTTTCAAGAAAACAACCACCGAAAAAAAGAAATTGAGCAACTTCGAAGACAAAACAATAAGAATGAAGACATGAGTGGGAAACTTTGTCAAGAAAACAACAACGAAACCAACGACGTTGAGCAACTTCTCCAAGAAAATAGCGACAAGAATAAGGAAATCAAACGACTTCTTCAAGTAAATAGTGACATGAATAATGAAATCGCGTTACTTCGTCAAGAGAACAACACAAAGAATAAAATTGAACAAGTTCGTCTAGAAAATAACGACAAGAGTGAAAAAATTGAAAACATTGATCAAATTAACAAAACGATGGGTAAAATAATTGATCAACTACGGGAAGAAACCATAAGCAAAGGTATCGAAATTGGCCAACTTGAGGTGGAAAACAGCACCAAAAATAACGAAATTATAAAACTCCGTCAGCAAAACAACCACAATAATGAGACAATTGCTCATCTACGTGAACAAATTAAAGAAATGGTTGACCTAACTACGGGACTTCGCCAACAAAACCTCAACCAAAATAACAAAATCCAGCAACTTGATCGTGAAAACAAAGACAAAAACATAGAAATAGAGAAACTTCGTCAATCTATCAACGCATTGAATGACGCAATTGTAAATCTTAATCATGAAAACAATAAAAAGAACGAGGAAATCAAACGACTTCGTGAAACAAACGGCATCAAAAACGATAACGAGTCAACGGAACTTCGTCAGGAAAACAACGATGAGAATAAAGGAGTTGAGGAACTTCGTCAAGAAAACAGAAATATGAATGACAAAATTGATGAAATTTCCATTCCGCTACTTCAGGAAAAAAGAAATGAGACGAGCCATGAAATTCAGCAACTTCGGGACAGTATCGACCAGATGAACAATGAAATTCAGCAACATAAGAAAGAAAAGAATGAGATGAGTAATGAGATACAGCGTCTTCAGGGAGAAAGAAATGGGCAACTTCGAAGACATATCGACAATATGACATTAGATGCTGCGTCTAAGGTTGAAGAAAGTGCCGTAGTGGTTTCAACTAATGTGCTCGGACGAGGGGCTTATGGCACTGTATACAAGGGAGACTTTCATGGATCTAAAGTAGCGGTTAAAGAATACTACGAAGTTCTTATATCTAATTATAACTTGCAACTTCTCCAACGTGAAGTATATATCGCATCGCAGTGTCGTCATCCGAATTTACTTCAGTTCATATGCGCAACAAGAAATGAACAAAATCATTTGTTAATCGTGACAGAACTGATGGATATGACTTTGCGTTGTTTTCTCGAGGAACGAGCGAACGTGAATTTGCGATTGAGTTATCAGCAAATTAAATCGATTTCTTTGGACGTTGCGTGTGGTCTTAACTACCTTCATTCAAAACAAAACACAATAGTCCATCGCGATGTTAGCAGTTCCAACGTATTGTTATTGATGGACACTTCTAATCAAGTTATAAGAGCGAAGATATCAGATTATGGCTCAGCTAATTACATGGATATATGCAACACACCAAATATAGGAACAGTTCTTTACGCTGCACCTGAAGCCGGGCAAGCTAGACAGGACCCTAAGGTAAATAATGTAGAACTAAATTATATCAAAGTGACTCATCGTGCTGTATGCTGCATATGGCAAACGCCGGCTTCTCGATGTGATATTTTTTTACTAAATGCCCATGACTATCGAGTTGCAGCGTGGCTGCGTTTTCACATAACATGCAACAAAATAATTGCTTCATCACCTAAGGCATTGAACCGACATCTATAGAAAAATATTTTTCGATATATATATTTCGATAACGATTCATGTGACAGGAACACGTTTACCAAGTGTCTACCAAACTACCTTTCTACACCTTGCTTAGGAAATACCTCGTAAACACGTGAAGGTGTTGTAATCACAGTTAATAGAATATACATGCAGGGGCGGATCCAGAGGGTATCGAGCGTAGCTCGAGATACGGTCAGATTTTCCCGTGAAATATTTTCTATAAAATATTCCGAAAATATTCCATTTTATCGCATGCTATTTCTGTTCACAAAAAATAATGAAGATTCGAGTAATTACAGCTCTTAACGTATATTGTCGTATAAACGTAACACGTTTCTACGTCGTTAAATGGAGCTTTACCGAAAAAAGCCGAGAACTTTCCGAAAGCACGAACCGAGGAATTAAATTCAATCGGAAATTGATCGGGAAAATATTCTTTATGCGTCCACGGTGTACTGATACGGTCCGCGGTTCAAATTTTACTAAAAATAGTAACTAAATAAGGCATTTGGATACCTTTGAGGGTATCTAGCCAATCATAGGTCGTGTATCTGTGACGTTGGATACCCTTCGATACCTTTGCTGTGTTTTGATTGCGCAAGAAATAAAATTATCGTGAAGCCTCCCTTCCTTTTCAAGATTTTAAAGAACATCAATTAATATAAATATAATACTTTGCATCGTGGTGCTGTTTCATGGGGAGTACATTTGAACATTTTCCCTTCCTTTTCAAGATTTTAAAGAACAACAATTAATATAAATATAAGACTTTGCATCGATCGTGGTGCTGTTTCATGGAGAGTACATTTAAACATTTTCCCTTACTTTTCAAGATTTTAAAGAACAACAATTAATATAAATATAATACTTTGCATCGTGGTGCTGTTTCATGGAGAGTACATTTAAACATTTTCCCTTACTTTTCAAGATTTTAAAGAACAACAATTAATATAAATATAATACTTTGCATCGTGGTGCTGTTTCATGGGAGTACATTTGAACATTTTCCCTTCCTTTTCAAGATTTTAAAGAACAACAATTAATATAAATATAACTTTGCATCGTGGTGCTGTTTCATGGAGAGTACATTTGAACATTTTCCCTTCCTTTTCAAGATTTTAAAGAACAACAATTAATATAAATATAAGACTTTGCATGGTGGTGCTGTTTCATGGAGAGTACATTTGAACATTTTCCCTTCCTTTTCAAGATTTTAAAGAACATCAATTAATAATATAATACTTTGCATCGTGGTGCTGTTTCATGGGGAGTACATTTGAACATTTTCCCTTCCTTTTCAAGATTTTAAAGAACAACAATTAATATAAATATAAGACTTTGCATGGTGGTGCTGTTTCATGGAGAGTACATTTGAACATTTTCCCTTCCTTTTCAAGATTTTAAAGAACATCAATTAATATAAATATAATACTTTGCATCGTGGTGCTGTTTCATGGGGAGTACATTTGAACATTTTCCCTTCCTTTTCAAGATTTTAAAGAACAACAATTAATATAAATATAAGACTTTGCATCGTGGTGCTGTTTCATGGCGAGAAGCAGATCCTTTACTCCGCCATTGCCGGTCCCAAGCCCGGATGAGAAAGGAGGAGGGTTGGTCATTTTGATGTTTATTTATTAACATTCGACGCCCAGATTGCGGCAAACTGCGGTTTTTGAGGTTCTTCTTCTCAAATTTTCCCGGGGGGGCATGCCCCCGGACCCCTCTAGGCGGCTCGCGCCTTCGGCGCTCGGTTCGCACCTCCGGTGCTCAAGGGGTACATGATACGGTCAATTTTTGCTCTGGATCCGCCCCTGACATGGTTTGGAGACTAAATAAAAGTACAATACAAATTATTAAATATGCTATTGTCCAGGTTTATCGAAAAAATGGTTCCTTTCTTGTCTATTGTATTTTAGCCAAATTTAACAATGGCATTCGTCTTGCTAAGCTCCTCAACCTTGACCTGAAAAATATGTTAAAATATTGTTATTGGTTTATCTGTACAAAATACAATCGACATGTGATGAGAAACGAACATTTTTTTGATAAATCTACCTCAACATAGTTATTGAATTGTATTGTAGTTTTTTTTTCTTCTAAGAATGTATATTCTATAAACCATGATGTAATGGGAAGTTCGGGAACAGTTTTCTTAATTTAAAGCAGTTAATTAAAGGGATAATGTTCTTGTTTTTCAACATAGATCGATGTCTTCAGTTATGGAATTCTGGTCTGTGAGATAGCAATCTGTGAACTGCCTGATCCCAGCTATAGAGAAATGCAAAGAGAAAGAATTTCAAGCAAAAGTATTAAAAAGCTGGTAAAATCCTGTACGGAACCAAAGCCACAAGACAGACCTACAATGCAGAGTATAATTGGGAAATGGCAAAGCAATTCTTGGGAAATGGCGAAGGAATTTTTCCCAATGCTCTAAGAAGAAATGATGTGTCTAGATCGACAAAGTAATTGCGATGCAATTATTTTAGCTCATTAAAAGCGTGTTGCATTCGATCTCGCCTTTCGAAAAGCGAACACTTTCAGTCCGCAAAATCCAATATTCACGTATTTTGTTCTATTTTTTATTTTCCATTTTCTATATCTGAACATCGATAATGTTAAAAAAAAGAAACGTAATTCATAAGTTTTAAAACATTTCCAGTTTCAAGATGTAATAAAATCTTCCAGCGTGAACTGCCGATAGCAGAACGTGCACAGATTATAAATTTTATTGTAAAACTTTTAAGTTTAAAATTGCAAATATATAGATCGCAAGTGCTACTAATCCTTTCTTGCAGGAACAACATGATGTTGTCAACGTCGCATGATTATTTGTTCATTATTAGCGTAATAAAATCGTAAATTTTTTATGCTCCTCGTTGAGATCTTTTAGGACGTAATTTTTTACGCATACATGAACGTTTCTTGTAAAAACATAGCCCTTTTAGGCCTTTTCCATTATTTTTTACTTTGACAGTATTAATTTTCCCTCTCCTTTCTGACCTTTTTTAGTTACTCTCCTGGGCTATTTATCTTGTATGCAAATAATTTCGCGCTGTTTTGTTTATTTTGGTTAAATTATTATTAATGAAATGACAGTACGCCTCTCGACCAATCAGCATCCAGGAATTTTATCATGTAAGCACATTTATGAAGCCGAACGAAACTTTATATAATAAAGGCGACGGTGTAAAATATATCCAAAGCAGTCATAAAAACGTTAAAATACCGCTGGATTTTGAAAGCACTATCTTAATAAGCGACACCGACCGTTCGAGAAGTTAAATATAAACTTTGACAGCAGCAAAGGCTTCAGAAATATAACAGCATGAATCCGCGGGAAAATATTTCTCGTCACGCATTCCAACAATGATAATTTACACAGGGAACTCCTCAGGTGCGGATCTAGGATTTTTCATACCTTAGTCAAATTTTATGACGTCATTTATGACGTCACGTATGGTGTCAGGCATATTAAAAGATGTTCGATTTTTTAAGGATACTTTTAAAAATATACGCTAATAATTGTTTTTGAGATGACATTGAGGGGAGAGTCTACTTACTCCCAAAGTATTCCTTAGTCTCTACTTTGAGTAGTCCCAACTTTGAGTATTATTGTTACCTACTAGTACTAGGGCCGAAGCTGAAGCATCAGAACTTAGGAGAAGTAGGAAAATATTCAAAACAGGAAATTAAAATCACGCTAGAAGCCTAGATCAAGTATCTAACAATTATATCGCGTACTGACGGCAGAATTACAATGTCAACATCATGATGTATATTCACTCATAATTTTCATATGAACGTATTTATACATGTGATATACATCAGGAATACGAATAATAATAAGTAACTAAAAGTGAACATGCTAAGTTTGTGTCTTTCTTATCATATTTAAGTTATATATTCATATACAGCAACCTTTGACCCGGCCAGCGCAGACATATGTAAATTTATATTTGAATACATAAAGACTAGCCATGCTTGTTGTTGTTCGACAATCATTTTGCCGATTTGAGATCTAAAAACACAGTTATATAGAAGCGTAGCATGGAATAAACAAAATATAGTTAGCTTATTGCAGTACAAGCCTTTTTCTTGCCATTACGAGCGTGCTTCGGCACATATAACTCCACACAAAAAGCCTTGTCAGAGCGTGTCGCCTTCATAAATACAAAGATCGAAACGTCGCATAAATATCGCGTCATTTAGACACTCTAAATCGTTCGAATGGCTCGTACAAATCACTACAAGACGATGAAGACATTGTAAAATAACACAATAAGCGAACGCGAAATTTAATCCTTCGATGCTCAGAGCGATTGAAAGGGAATGTTTCCACTCTTTGCCTAGTCTTTGCCTAACATGACTAACACAGGCATGCTTACGAAGCACAGTGATTGGTTCAACTCGCCAAAGATAGGCAAAATCTGCAAGCCAATGAAAGAATAGATTTAAAAAAAATTACCCAATCATAAGGCTTCCTGATTACGTCAAGTTAGGCAAATTCGTCTTGGTTAGGCAAAAAAGCTATTAGCCAATCAAAAGGCTGTATCGGCCGCCAGGCATAGGCAAAATAGCTGCCTCTCATTGGCTTGCTTCATGGCTTGCCTAAATACCAATGAGCTGTATATCAATAAATAACTGGACTGTGATATGAAAATATGAATAATGAACTGCATGTTTCCACTTATGAATGAATACTTTCGGAATTGGGAACTGGGAATTTTGTAATTAATATCTGGATAATTTACCACAGTCATTTGACTATGTTGCCTACCCCTAGATCCGCGCCTGGAACTCCTTAAATTCAGCTTGTGCGAGCATTTAGCTTGCAACTGTTGGACTGCAGCCTGCCTTTTGTGAATGTTGTCTTTGAGACAGATTTGGAACGGTTTAGCTTTTCAAACGTTTCATATGACCTACGCGTCACAATTAAGAATGATGTAGAGTCGACACAGAGCTTATATTAAACGACAACTGTTTGGTTTTGCCAGCAACCGAACAGCAGGAAGTAAAAGTATACACAGTTGCGTTATTGACGAACTTCGCCAGGTTTGTTTATATTTATTTTATTTCTTTATGGTTATCCTGCATCGTGGCGCGAGAGCGAACAATCAGCCTCATTAATGTGGAGATCGGGCCATTCCCGATCGTTTTGTAGACATTTTTTATTCTGGCTAGTTTGTTACATGATTGATTATGGACACTTAAGACGTAACTATTTAGAAAAAGCAGGTATTTCATTATACTTAGCTCAATTCGTTCCTTGACAGGCAACCATTTCAAGTCCAATACATTTGCCGTGTCTGCAAATCGACCTTGTACGAAACCAGCCGCCGCATTTTGTACTCTTTGTAACCTTTTTATGAGGTAGATTGGCAAAGTATTATATAAAACATTGCAGTAATCTAATTTGGAAAGTACCAGAGCTTCCGCAAGTTTCTTTCTAATATGAAATGGCGTAAACCGCTTTAATTTCTTCAAGACTGCTAAAACACCATAACAGGACGAGGTTAGCTCGGTAATATGATTGTTCCATAGCAAGTTTTGATGGAAAAGTATTCCAAGTACCTTCCAAGATGAAACGTTTTCATGAAAATATATTCCATGCGCCCATGCAAGTTTACACACATTGACATTGGTTGCAAGTTTTTACATTTGTAAAACTATTAAGGGTTCTTCACAAGAAGCCAGGGGTTTTTCCTCGGGAAATTTCGCACTATCATTTTTAAAATCGAAAGTGCTGTAAAATTACCCGCTTCAATGGTTTCGTGATAGTGTATTGATTAAATATTCGCTTTCTTTTGAACTTCACGTAAGCCGTTGGTAACGCGATTGCTCATTATTCACCCACAGTTAATAGTAGAATATACATGGTTCTGAGACCACATAAAACTACAATACAACTGTATATGTTGAGGTAGATTTATGCAAAAAATTGTCATCACTTTCTCAGTTACTCAAGTTATCAAAACGATAACTCATTCGTCGTGCAGATATTTCTTTTCAGTCTCAGTTTTTTTGCTCTCGTTTGTTATACGAAAATGATAGCTATATTCGGGCTGCACATTTGAAACATAGGCCTATATAGGGCAAACGTATAGAATTTCATGTCGTTACGTTAAGGCTCGTTTACACTTTCGATTTTTGCTGCGATTTTCTTTTGATAAATGTGAACGTTGTATACGAAATCTTACTTGAACATCAGTAATTAATTCACTCGTTCACATCTCTCAAAAGAAGAAAATTACATATAAAATCGCACCAAAAATTGCACAGATAATAGACCGAAATTTGGCTAACAAACTTCGATCTCGAGTATTAATTATTAGCTATTACTATACGAAGTAGCCGTATGAATCGGGGTTTATATATAGTCGTATCATAGCCGTGTATTAAATTAACCTGTCTGCCATGTTGACAGTTGAGCTATCACATTTGCGACAAGCCTGCTTCATATATGTTGGGAACTATGGATTTTTCTGCGGTAAATCGAAAGTGAAACCAAGATTGGATGCTATTTGATGATTTGAAAGTGGTTCACAGTCCGTAATATAAATGCAACACTTCGTTCAGTTCGTTGACATTTTTAGTTGCTATATATTCTATATAATATCATTAATATCATATATAGTGTAGGAATAATCAATAAGATTTTCGATGTAAAAAAACTGACATGCGGAAAAATTTAAGCAATGTAAATCAATTAGCTATATATACACATTGTTATTAGCGGACCCGCTAGGAAACGTTGCTGCATGTAACCAATTTAATTTGCATGTCAATAACTATTCAGTGAAATAAATCTTTTAAACCACAATATATCCAATGATTGTTCTATCTTCGTCACTTGCAATGCTCTTTTTATTATACATAAATCACATGACCTGACAATTTAAAACCTTTTCTAATCCAGCACCATCTCCTTCTAAACTAGAATTTACGGCATCAGCCATCCCAAACATTCGCAATGTACTTTTGCCATCTGAGTAAATATTCTTCTTCGTTGATTGCTTGGGAAATGTGGACTTAATGTTTTACTTTATACTTGTGTACATTTTGTTAATGTAATTTTGTTAGTATTTTTCTTTTCATGTTTTGTGTTTTGTATGAAAACAGATTACTGGGAACCAGCCTTACATCTTTGCACATATATTTTTTGAATTTAGAGAGCAATACTTAGATATACAACGAAAAATTGTCTACTATTGAAGATGGAATGAAGCTACACTATTTGTGTAGCATACAAACATGGCCTCGTCTGGGAGCGATAGTCTTGATTACCGTGGGCCCTGGGATTTAATATGGCATCGAGTTTTCAGACCCATTTTTCGAACACCAACCGTGTCAAGTCAAAGAGCCCAACCAAGTGTAGATGTATCAAAGGTAAACTGCATGCATAGTTATCTCCATCAGTTTAACATAAATCAGTTTAATTTATTGTTAGAAGAGGACTCAGTTTACTCCAGGCAGGAGAGCAAAAGTGCTAGTTTTCATTATATTCTGCCGCAATGAATATTGGCGAAGGCAATTAAGCGTCTGGGTACGCGCTCGGTGGTTAAACTGTAAACTCTATCTCACAAAAGCTGTACGATCATTCATTTAGGTCAGGAAAAAGGTCAGAAATGAACGAAAGACAGATGAAGGTAATAACCATATAAAAAATTGAAAGTAATAACTACATGGAAAATTAAACAGGGTTTTCACAGCGTGTACACGGATAAAAAGCATTGAACATGCACGAGTAAACAAACCGAAGGCACAATCCAGCTTTCCACATAAGTTATTGTAACAACGAAGTTTAACAAGTACTTATATGGTTACCTTCATTTTTCCCGAGACGATAGTTTGTAGGAAAAAGAAAAATGTGAACAAAATTTGGCGAAAACGAATTTTTATAAGAATAAAAGACGTGGTTCTTTGTGACAGATTTCCTCTGCATATCTTTAATTAATCAAATTTTTCTCTTTTTTGGAGGAAAGATCTTCCAAGCTGAAGTTGAACATTTTTCTCCCGGACGTTCCAACACAAACAATTCGCAAGTACTTCCGGCTTATTTAGGTCAACTCTATAACTGGGTTCATTTTATCCAAGCCAAGTGTCTGGAGATGAGACTGGACATTCTTTATCGGGCGATCCCTCCTCACTTATTGGCACTGTCTTTTCTAAGGCTTCCGACATTTCCCTCTTAGACACCCTTAGAAACCCTGTCTCTACCACCCCTAGCATTAGTTCTTACACCCGCTTAATTAGTTCTGACACGTCATCCCTCAATTTTGCTGTTACTGTTAGGGATGTCATACTTAGGAATTTCATATCCTGCAGCGTTATCCCGAGACATCTTCCACTTTCACCGATAACCCTTAGTCTCTTTAAAAATATCCGGGCCACGTGTTTTCCCACGTGTTTATCACGCGTTTTCCACATACAAAACATTTATTCTTCCCTATTTATTTTCACACTAACTCTCCTGACGAACAGTAAGTATCTACCTAGTATGAACGAGTTTTGTGTTTGGCTTTTTGTAACAAAAGTGAACAGTGTTCATGATTCGTTCTTTTAAAAATCAATTCTATAGCTCATTTTGTTTTATTTTTATCATCAACCAATAGCAAAGCTTGTTCATATAGGTACGTACCGACCCTTGACGAAGGCCCTCAGGTCTAAACGTCGAGAGGGGGTTTGTCTATTTTAGGCAGTTGTTATACCATATTTGATGCTAAGTTGTTTGAAGACGCTGCCACGCTGCTCCCTGGTTATATTAGTTCATACGAGTAGTTAGTTGTTTACCGAAAATGGTAGAAGGCAAAAACCACGAATTAAAACGTCACAATGTGAATATCACACATATAGAACACAGCTACATTGTACACTTTCCTTTATGTTTTATAAAATATTTATTCCTGTTTGCCTTCTAATTATACAGGGTGTATCAAAAAAAAGGTAATCCAACTTCAACACGCTATTGTACGTGAACTACTCAGTCTAGGAACGACTTTTTTTCACATTCGGAAAGATCAGGCTTTTAACTATCGGATGACATGTTTTTAATACCAAATGGTGAAAAAGTGAGCACATACGAGGCTGATAAAAAATGTTAGTCCTAATCGCATATTTTCACCTTTGAGCCTAATTAAAGCAGTGCATAACAAAAGAAAAAAACAATTAATCACGAACATGTCACAGCTTGCACTGGTTTTATGCCGCATTGCTTAAAATGTTCTCCTGATGTGATTTATTCCTACTTAATATGCATATGCGGGTAGTTTATTCAAAAGCAAAATTCTTCAATTTAATCCCAAAGAGAGTTAATTTTCAATGGCTTTAGTCCCAACTCTCAGAGGTGAAAATATGCGATTTTGACTAACACTTTTTATCAGCCTCCTATTTGCTCATTTTTTCACCATTTGGTATCAAAAACATGTCATTCGATAGTTAAAAGCCTAACCTTTCGGAATGTGAAAGAAATTCGTTAATAGAATGAGTAGTTCACGTACAATAGCGCACCAAAGTTGGATTACCTTTTTTTTGATACACCCTGTACAGAATGCGTATTAAATTATGATAAAGAAGACGAAGAGCAGGCCGAAGAATTTCGTCTTCAAATAATAAACGGAAAGCGAATAAGAGATGAAATCAATGAGCTTCAACAAAAAAGTAAAGCCCAAGACAGCGAGATTTAGCAACTTCAAAACGAAAATGACGGCATAAACACCGAAATGCAACATATTACACAAGACAGCTTGAGCAAAAACAGCATGATACTGTTTCAAGAAAACAACCACCGAAAAAAAGAAGTTGAACAACTTCGTGGACAAAACAACAAGAATGAAGAAATCCGTGAGGAACTTTGTCAAGGAAACAACAACGAAACCAACGACGTTGAGCAACTTCTCCAAGAAAATAGCGACAATAACAAGGAAATCAAACGACTTCTTCAGGTAAATAGTGACAGGAATAATGAAATCGCGTCACTTCGTCAAGAGAACAACACAATAAATAAAGAAGTCGAGAAGCGTCGTCAAGAAAACAACGATAAAGAAAAGGAAATCGAGCAACTTCGCGAAGGAGACAACAAAAAAAATAACGAAATTGAGGAACTTCGTAAATATAAAAGCGTAAGCCATGACCAAATTGAGCAACTTCGTCATGAGATCACCAACAAAAATAACGAAATCATGGAACTTCGTCGCGAAAATAGCAACAAAAAAGACGAAATTAAACAAGTTCGTCTAGAAAATAACGACAAGAGTAAAGAAATTAAAAACATTGATCAAATTAAGAAAACGATGGGTAAAATAATTGATCAACTACGGGAAGAAACCGTAAGCAAAAGTATCGAAATTAGCCAACTGGAGTCGGAAAACAGCGCCAAAAATAACGAAATTAAAAACCTCTGTCGCAAAAACAACTGCAATAACAAGAAAATTGGTCATCTACGTGAACAAATTAAGGAAATGGTTGACCTAACTACGGGACTTCGCCAAGAAAACCACAACCAAAATAGCAGAATCCAGCAACTTGATCGTGAAAACAAAGACAAAAACATAGAAATAAAGATGCTTCATCAATCTATCAACGCATTGAATAACGCAATTGTAAATCTTGGTCATGAAAACAATAACAAAAACAAGGAAATCAAACAACTTCGTGAAACAAACGCCATCAAAAACGATAACGAGTCTACGAAACCTCGTCAGGAAAACAACGATGAGAATAAAGAAGTTGAGGAACTTCGTCAAGAAAACAGAAATATGAATGACAAAATTGATGAAATTTGTGAAAAAAACAAGAACAAAGATATAGAAAAGAATGAAATGAAAAGTAAATTTATGCAACTTCAGGATGATAAGATCAGAGCGGAGATTACCATTCCGCTACTTCAGGAAGAAAGAAATGACACATCAATTCCAGGGGCGTTCCTTTATGCCGCACCTGAAGGTAACGAAGATAGGCACGGCCCAAAGGTAATAAAATTTAAGTAAACTTTTCTATGCGTTCCCTTAATTAGAGGGCTTCCTGCGGTTAATTTCTGATGGTTTCGAAGCCGAATGTTTTAATTTACTTGACTTGTATTAATGCGATTAATTTATTTACACAGATAGATGTCTATATATAGCTATGGGATTCTTGTTTGTGAGATGTCCATCTGCGAAATGCCTGATCCACAAAATAGAAGAAATCAAATGAATGAAATTCCATATGAGAATGTTAAACAGCTTGTGAAAGCGTGTACGAATAAAGACCCTAAGGCAAGGCCGGAAATGAAAAATATAATTGGAGTTTGGGAACGTCTCTTGCCTTAAAATCTAGTCGGACCGGTGTAGTCACTGGTGAGGGAAAGAGACATTTGTACGACAGCAACTTGAGCCTGATGCAATCTATGATTTCAAAAAGGGTGGTAGCGGTGTAGGCAACCAAAGCAAAACAACCTCTATTCTTATGTCTGTCCTTCAAACTCAGGGAGGTGATAATTCATTTCAGACCGCAGACATCCGCCATTTTTTTCACAATCGTAGAATGTTATTCTAGTTAAAGGTACTGCACGTTTTCTTGCATTGATTTTGCATTTCTTTGCAATATATATGTTATCAATTTTTAAAGATGATGTAAACAGTGCCACCCTATATCACGGCATCATTAATTTATGTCTTTCAATTCAATATTTTCAGAAATAACATACAGCGAACTCTATAAACCATGGAACGATAACTGAGGGTAATTTAGCCGCCATCTTTGAAGTCAATTTGAAGCCGAAATTGATACGAGTGCCAGTCCTTTTTTGTTGTTTTTTATCGCGATCGTCTACCGTGAAGACAAAAACAATCGAAAGAGACCGCTTCGGCTTCAAAGATGGCGGCCGAATTATCGTTCAAGTTCACATCTAATTATTTTTCTAAGTAGGCGGCGCTATAAAATAGACACGAACTTTTATAAAAGCAGCCTTTATGAGTATCGCAATTGGTGCTGTGGTCAGTTGCACTTTTCCACAACAGGAAACTTAATGATCGCGGGCATGTCTATACCCATGAATGGCATCAGGAGCGTCCGGCAGTCTCCTGAACCACTGGACCATGAAATAAAGAGTTACCAGGCTCAGATTGCACCGAGCGTATAGATTTTAAACGAATAATAAAGGAGAATTAGGGCCTGTTTACATGGGGCGAGTTATCCCGGCTATAGGCGAGGTGAACTGCATATAATGAAAGACTAATCATGCAGGTTAAGCCTTTCATGCATGTGATGCGCTTTTTACCTCGCCTAGCCGGGATAACTCGCTCCATGTAACCCTTAGTCGATAATGATGTATTTTTCACTCGTTCTTGTATATTGCAATTTTGCATAACGCCACTGCATAACTTATCTTCTTTGTTTATGCTTGTGCTTATGAAAATCAGCTACTAAAGTTGTCGAACTGCTTTCGTGTTTTTTTTAAATAATGCTAAATTATATCATCCTAAAAAGAAAGGGTCGTTTACATATAAGCGTTTGTTGATTCTGCTCAGCCGTTGTCATAATACAAAGATAAAAATGCGGCCGTTTTAGTTCTAGTCGCATGGAAGTCTTAATATTGATCCGGGGTAATTTTTACGCGCACGCACTTGCTCTTTTTCAGGAAAAAACAAACTAGTTAATACCTTTTATACCTGAGAAAAGGTTGTGTATAAGATGTTCTAAAATAATTAGCTTAACAGTTGGCATGTTTTGGACTTTTAAACTGCAGTAATATTCAATAGTAATTATTCTTGCTTCATGCTACTTTTCGTTTGATAGCACGCAGGGAATTCAATGGAGGTTGTCCTGGAAAAATACAGGTAAACTTTGTATGAAATATGCACCAAAAATGCGTTCCCAAATTGGATGCGTACTTTCCTGTGTATAATTTATGCATAAAACCTGGTCAACCTCAACCCTAATCCTACCATAATCGTAATCCTAATCTAAACCCTAATTCTTACCCCAATCCTAACGCTAATCCTAAACGGAAACTGCCTGTTATTAATCGATTCTGTTGGATAATTAGGTGGATAATAAAGGATAATTGGTTGGATAATAAAGCCGGGTGCCGGCTGATTAAGATCACCAGCTGCCGACAATCTCTTCGTTTAAGAAAGAAAAAGGCAAGGCCCAATGAACTAAAATTAACTATTGGGCTCTGTTCTTCTCAAAAGGCCTATTTAGACTACTGGGGCCGGTTGTTCGAAAGACTTTTAGCTTAAACAGTGGATATGCTAAAGTCTAAAAATACTCTCATAAATCTTGTGAATGACTGAACCTGTATCTTATGCATTTAATATGTACTTCCATTGACAATTAAACCATTTATATCGAAATATTTCAGCTCAGTTGTTCAATAAATTGATAATTTTGTTTTCCATTTTGAACTTATCCACCGTTTAAGCTAAACGACTTTCGAACAACCGGCCCCTGGAGATAAGTAAGTTGTATTCAATTACCATTCTGACGAATGCAAAAGAGGGCCTATGCCACAATATTCATGCATTTTGTTCATCGTGGAATTTAAAGTGTCACGTTTGTACGTGTGCTCATACGTTCACATACGCCAGGGTACGAATGGTATACGCGACAAATCGCAAAGTGTAGGCATAGTAGGCCTAAACAAACTCCATTAACACGGCGCTACGCAGTTTTATACAATGAAGACCGTTCAAGCTAGTAAAAAAAATCCCGTCAAATTTTTCGTCTCAAAAGGTTACATAAACAAAGCAGCCCATGAACGGAACCACGGAGACGGATTTGAAAGGTAATGAACTGCATATTTTATAAAGAAATTATAGACTTCAACATGATGATTTAATTATTATTATGTCTCGTGTTGCAAACCCATAGAATTTTATCAGCGTGAGCTCGCACTAAAGACTATTGTAGCATTCTTCAACAATTTGTGTTAAAATTCCTGCATGATTTTGTTAGTGCAGTGGGTATAATCAAAATATCATATAGTTAAATAGATATTGCCTTTGGCTGACTTTGGTCTTGGTAAAGTGTCAATCTTTTGAAATGTATTAATATCATGAATTGTGAGGCCACGAAATGGACAACTACATCGAACATTAGTTTTATTACTCAATCGTCTACAAAATGTCCTCAGGAAGTTCAAGAGAAGCGACTTTTAATGGCTTTCAAAAGGTATTTTATTTGCTTTTTTGGAAATTGATCCCAATGATATTGCTCATACATGAAACTAGATAAATTAGCCGAACCAATGAGCAATACTACTCGCAAAATTAGGATAACTCTTCATGAAAATTGGCTTCAAAGTTATTACGTCATTGTCCACACAATTGTTATGTAATATGCGATGCAATGCATATGACTCTTGTGTATGGACTCTGAATAAATCTTACAGCGAGTAAACATGCAGTTCAAAGAGATGCATGTTATACATGTATGTCAACGACGTATACATTGAAAGACATAAGACCATTTATCCTTTGAATTTTCATCCGATATTTGTCTTCGAATTGATGCATTCGTGAATATTTGTAAATGCTCACTTAATTGTATTTAGGTAATTCTACTTAATTCTACATTTGAAAGCATCAGCAACTCGTTCGCATCTATCAAAATTTGAGAAGTGGAAATTGTCAAAGGTGTTTTTCAAACTCTCATAGCATTCCACTGTAGAGAAAGATTTTAAAGAATTATAAATACACCACGCGTTATTAGCATACTATAGGAGTCAATTTTTCTGATAGAAGTCAATTATGCCCAGAATGCATATGTATGGTGTTAAGAAGAGCCATAAACCCGTAAGAGAAGTTATATCTTGAAATGAATTGAGCTGAGACAACTTGAACTTGAGATATCTTAAACCAATAATATCAATTACAAAGGCTTTTGAATAATTATATCAGTACATATAAATGTTAGCTATGCGGAATTCAGCTATTTTGGTATAGTATAATACATAAATATAATGTAGCTATGTGTGTACTCTTAAACTAACAATATTTTAAACTTGTAGGAAACTTAGTCGAGTACTATTGATTCATTCCTATATTGGCGACGAGTGGCAATACTTCCGTCCACATCGTCGTGATTTTCACAATTTTTCATGCATAACTTGTCAATTAAAACACTTAAAAATATTATTATCCTACAAGTGACTGTTTGTTTTTAGTGTGATTAATGAACCTCTTAAAATTCCGGCTAACTGTAGTTCAAACAAGCAAACTCGTCAATAGAAGAGCCAGTAACAATTTCCGTTTTTCATGCAGGGTCTTTCGATAATTTTGGATGCAAAGGAAGAGGATGGGTTGAAAAGAACTCGTCTGGAGCAATTGTTATCGGAAACTGCGGTCTGCCTCAATGGAATGGAAAACAATGTTTTCTCAATCATTAATGAAGATTTTCCTGACGTTATGCAAACGTTAGAAGAACGAATCAAGAGACTACAGCAAAGAGATTATTACATCTTGGTCGCTGGTATGCATATAATCTCAATATTCCCCGCTTGTGTGAATCCAACCATTGGGATATGATTTTTTTTTTAATGCTCCGTATCTAAGTTCCTGTTACTGACATTGCCGTGACAATTAACCCGCGATTGAAGTGAATATTTTATTACCCAGTCGAATATACTATATACCGGTATCTCTACTACATCACTAACTTTTTTATACCACAACGGTCGAATATACCACTGATATAGGCATATACCAGTATATTTGACCTTCAATAATTATTTATTATATAGTCCCCTCGAGTATACCAAAATTAATATTGATTGGTATATTCGCCCTTAAATTGATTTTCTATTACAATACCAGGTCGAGTATACCTTATTCCGGTATATTCGACCTTCACTACATTTTTATTACCAAGATCGAGTATTGTAGAGAATTTGCCTCCAAATGTGATCCTCAACAAGTCACATAGTTTTCATAGTATATTCATATTTTAACCAAGTAAAGAATTCCAAATGTCTATTACAAATTTCCAAACGAACCTCACCACTCACACCGTCAGATAGCAGACGGACTATAAATTACTCTCTCTCGCTCACTATAGTTCCTCACTCACTGAATGTCTCAGTCCAACTAACTCTCGTGACCACACCATATACACCTTCATCCTATCAACCACGGTTGCATCACTAGAATATAATCGAGTAAAAGAGACATACGACCATGGTCATATTCGCAGGAAAACGGCAAATACGACCATCGTCATATAATCGCCGGAAAATGGCAAATATACGACCATGGTCATATATTCGCCGGAAATGGCAAATATACGACCATGGTCATATATTCGCCGGAAAATGGCAAATATACGACCATGGTCATATATTCGCCGGAAAATGGCAAATATACGACCATGGTCATATATTCGCCGGAAAATGGCAAATATACGACCATGGTGATATTCGCCGGAAAATGGCAAATACGACCATGGTTATATTCGCCGGAAAATGGCAAATACAACCATATTAATATTCGCCGGAAAATGGCAAATACAACCATGGTGATATTCGCCAGGAAATGGCAAATACGACTCTTCTTATCTGTCAGTTCCCGACAGTATACCACATTTCGGTATATTTGAACTTCACTCATTTTTTTATTATCAAGGTCGAGTATACCATATACCGGTGTATTCGACCTTCGAAAACCAAGTCCTTCTTCAACTGATTTGTTTGATTAAATTTGGGTAAGTTTGGAAAGATGACAATTTGACTAATTTCTAGGAGAAACAAGTTCGGGGAAAAGCTGTCTGATAAACTTGTTGCTTGGCGTGGAGCTGCTTCCTTACTCCTGTCTCAGTACAACATCTACAATATGCGAAATAAAATACGGAATCGATCCCAAACTTGTGGCACACGGCAAAGCTACCAGCAACGATTCAGAATCCTATCCACCTTTGCCGCCGAAAACGGTGCGTTTGAAAGAGCCTGACGTGTGTAATAAAAGCTACAAAGCACAAATTGCTCCTTACGTACACAAGAAGAAGGACAGGGGGAAAGGATCCTCGTATGAAAAAGTAGAAATTTTCTGGCCCAATGAATTGTTACAGGTTAGAAGAAAAGAATATTAGGGCCGGTTGTATAAAAGCTGGATAACGCGGCTATCCATCGGATATCGAATTTTTCAACCGTTGTAAACATGCCTGAAAAGCAATACAATTACAAATTTTTAGCTAAACGTTTTTAAAAACAACCCAAATTTAAAGATACAAAGGTTTAATCCCAGTTATAGCAAAAAACAGGCAATTTCTGAGCGTTTGAAAAAAACATGTGATGAGTGTATGTGGCGAGGTTGCAGGATGCGACTGCAATCTAATAAGTTTGCTATTGTGGGGAGGTCTAAAGAGGCTTTATACGTTTCTAGTTGTTGATAGTAAAGTGAAATCATTCGGAAAGTGGGGAGAGGGGTGGGAATTAGAAATGACACTTGATCATAATAGTTATCACATATTGTAGGTCGGCGTTGTCATAATCGACAGCCCAGGTGTTGGCGAATCCGAGATAATGGATCAAACTTTGATGAGTTACCTGCCAAATGCTTTTGCATTCATCTATGTCATAAATAGTACAAATGCTGGTGGAATACAAAAAGACAGGGTAGGTATTGCCAAATTTTCTTTTCGAATTTAATATTGTTTCACCGACCGTAGAAAACAACTGAAACACCTGGTCGCGTAGTTTTCCTGAATATCCTTTTTTCATCTTCCAATTTATTATTCCGCACACCCAGTCCACTGAAATGTGATCTCACTTATTAATCACTTATCAAATGACAAGGCAGGCAACACAAAGGCTAGCCGACATCATTGCGGATTGCAGTTTACAATGACATAGTCGGTCACCTGATTTTGATTCTCTAGACAACACATGCCCATTCACCGAATGCAAACTTCTTTCCTTTCCACACCAACTTTCCTCTGGTCGAAAGTTTCCGGTCCTTTTTCAAGAAAAAGATAAGTGTTGATGATATTGTGTCAAAAAATCAATACTGGCTTTGTTTATTTCAGTTGGTAAGAATATTGGATAAAGTTCGAAGTCTTGAATCTGCTGATGAAATGAATTCAAATCATTTGGCCGAGTGCGCTCTTTTCGTTGCCAACAAGTGGGATCAGGTGGACAAAGATGAACAGCATGAGGTGAAGCAACATATTGTGCAGGAACTGAAGCAGTATTGGCCAGACGGTAATCCTCTTGAACAAACGGTTTACGTCTCCACTAAGGAGGCACTAGACAAGCGAAGGCAAGGTAAAAGAAGCGAAGAATACGATGCTTTGATTGAAGGGATAAAGTCGATGGTTTTGAAAGCAATCAACAGCAGACTAATCAACCATTGGGCGTAAGTGCACATAATATAACAAAGTAATGAACTTGCAATGCTTGCAATAAAAAGAAGTAGGGGGTATTTTACGAGACACGAGGGAGGAACTACGACCAGACTATTCCGCATCATAGAAAATGACTTTTTCACGATGGCTACGGCAAATTTGGACTTCAGCAATGATATTTATTTCTCTTAGGTGGATGAATCTTGTTTTGAATCGAATAATATTCAGGATTGAGGGATTTAATCAATCGATGTTAGAAAACCGCGATGCACTTATCCAGCGAATGAGTGGAATTCACGGACAGATTACGACGCTGCAAAACGCACGTCAGGAGGATATTGCTCAGCTGGAGAAGAAGTTTGCAGCTGAAACAGAAATCCTCGTTGATGCGCTCTACGAATATCTTTCTTGTCCGGAATTTAAAGCGAGTTTTACCTCTTGGTACGACGACGAGATTCCTGGCGATGAGAAAACGTGGATATTGACGAAAGCCATGATTGTCAGCGCTTTAGAGAAACGATTTGAAACGTTTTTGGCAAATTGGGAAGAAGCGAATGGTGTCCACGCTAAAGTACACGATGAACTCGTCGAATGTTTTCAAACCAAGTAAGACCTTTTATCGGGGGCGGTCGCCAATCGTCCGCGAAACCATTTTCCTAAAACGTTGAAATCTGGCTAGAAAGATCTAGAGGGTTTATCTCATGGTGAAAGAAGACCAGTTTAGAAGAAGAACAAATCTCAAAAGTCAAAACGTTGCTAAATCATCAGCATGGGAGAACCCCTATTTTTAGAATTTTAGAAGCCCATAGTGGAGATGTCGCCTAACACCCCTAAATGAACCCTTCCCCCCCCTGCAAATCAGGGCCCTTGCTTTTATCAAGATTCGTGACATTGAAGCTACGAATCATTTCCCTGTTTCTGTTTTGTTTAAATAGTCACTATTCCTTCTTTTCTTCGGTAGATTTCGGCTCGCGGAGGCAGAAATAAAGGACATAGAGGAAGTGATACACACCCGACAATCACAAGCTAGTTCTGAATCGACCGAGAAAGGAGAAAGACCTGAATTCGATGTCACGCCAAAGTTTATAAACGGCAAGAAATCTCCGCTGTGGATCACTGTTGGTGTTGCGAGTTTGATTGTAACGATGCCCTTGCATGTCGTAAAGAAAGCGCGGCAAAGCATAAGTGAAAAAATGAGGATGGACACGTACCGAAAGGATAGAATGGCGTATTTGATAAAACGGTCTAAAAAATTTTTAGATTCGAGATGTGCGAATAAAGATCAAGTACGCGTCTTCGTTAAAGAACAGATGCACCTGGCGGAAGCCATGTTGCAAGAGTACGTCTCCAGAATTCCGAGAATCCTCGAAGCAAACAGAAGGATGGCGTTGGAACTGATGAATGAAACTAGATCGAAGGATGAGGTATGGCGGGCAAACTCGCCCATTTTTAGAAAATGTAAGGAATTGCAAAGAATGTTATCTTTATTCGGTATCCTCATCTGGTCCGGAACGGTCAGAGCCGAGCGTCTCAACTGGAGTGAGGATGAACATTGTTGTATTGGCCTGGGGGAATTTTCCTCAGTATACACGGGTATTTTGACCAAAATCGACCCAGGTATTTCCGAAGAAGGCAGTCCAGCGATCGTGGCTATTAAAGTTTTTAAACAACCGCTTGATAGCGCCAATGCGAATTATTTTCTGAAAAATGAAGCAAAGATAAGGTAAATAGAATGATATGCATACTACACCCTTTTTATACTTCAAATAAGTAAATTCTGATTCCATATTGCATTGCTTTTTCTTGTCTAGGGATTTGGAACACGAAAACATTTGCAAGTTCCTTGGAGCTTTCATCTTAAAGGACCCTACTTCACAAGCTGTAGAAGATATCAGGATAGCATTGGTCATGACCATGTACCAACACAATCTTCGAAGTGTGATCTTTAGCCGTAATTTTACGCCACCGGTTAACGCCATAGCGACGAAACGTTCTACAATCATGCAATTTCTCGAGTGGGCGATGCAAATCGCGAACGCACTTGCCTATATACATTGCCTGAAATTAGTCCATAAGCACCTGACACTAGAGAACATATTGGTTAGTATTAAGTAGGTTTACCGAAGTATGTTCCCCGTGGCAACGGTGGACCTAGTGAATATCTGGAGTGTTCAATGGACATTCTAACCTTGAAGGATCAATGATATTAACGTCTGTTCACACGATCCAATTTTGTCGTATCCGATTTACTTTCGATGGGTGTTTTACAGTGTGTTGACTTGCAATGTATATCAGTATATGGTTAGCAAATCAACTAAAATCAATACTGCTTTATCAATAACGAAGTACATTCCATATACACCAGTGAATTGGATGGAGTGAAAAAATTTAATAGATCGTGTGATCAGACCTGTTTATCCGTCCATATAAGAAGTCGACATAGATATTTAGATCCAGAAAAGAACGCATTCGCAATAAATATATCAATATCCGTTGATAGTTGGTAGCTGGGGCATTGGATTCCCCCCCCCCCCATTTCATTTGGCGACGTAAACACGTAAATGATAGCCTGCAAAGGGCAGCTATTCTTACTCCGGTATCCAACATGTTTTTTCTTATTCTTATTTTTCTTCATATAATCTTTTTATTTTAAGGTCGGCCCAGACGGATGTGTTAAGGTCTCTGACATTGGGATTATCGGTCGAAACGAGCCGACCGAATATAATATGATTTATGCAGCACCGGAAGTACTTCAGTCCAACAGCTACGTATACAGCGCTGGAAGCGACGTTTACAGTCTGGGTCTTGTGTTCTGGGAAATGTGGCATGGTAGCCAGGTTTTCTCGGAAATATTGCCTCTGAACAAATACAATTTTATGGAAAAGGTAATCTCCGGATATCGCCCTCAAAAACCCGGCTGCAAGATCAGGATGCCTGAAGTTAAAGATGTCATTGATCAATGCTTGTCGGGAGAAATAGGCATGCGCATAACAGCATCACGCTGTTACAGTGATCTTGTGACTGCACAGGAAAAACTTCAAACAGAAGAAAATGACTAGGTCTTTTCTAAACTAGAAACGCCCGGAAACGCAGTTGTGGCAAAGAGGGAAAAATGGAGACCACGGTGAACCTGCATCATCTCCAAGCCCACTTTGCTAAAATTCAGTCAAAATATCCTGCAAGGAAATCCAACTGCACATTACCTAAACATTAGCGAGTTTCCCTCATATTTTATATCATACAAAAATGTCATTCCCCGTTGGACGTTGGTATCAGTTGCGTGTACCACGCGAGGGTGTCTCGCACAAAACAAGATCGAAGAAACAACGGGGGATTTCGTTTTAGACCAAACAGCAAGTTTGTTTACATTTTCAATAACCCAATCAGAATGCATAAATTTTGATAAAAAGTACAATACATGTTGTTCCGATGTGATGCATAGTTTATGAAACATGCGCTTGGAAAATCAATGAAATATTACCCCCTTGAGATAGTTAAGGATGTTTGGCCACTTTAGTATTTTCATGCCGACATATCTGGCTCTGAGCATGCGCCGTTGCCGCAAACGGCAAATCTATTTCTGTATTCTGAAATGTGAATTCAAATTTTTATGTTCTTCAACTTTGTTAAAAGTACAGCAAGAAGAATTTGATTTTTTTAACTTCAAAGAATATATTCAGTGGTATGTATCACGTTGTGTGAAATTTGTAATATTTATATTTATTGTGATATATCTTACACCGTAAAATACGAAGATTGTTATATTTTATTTGGAAGTAAATAGTCGCGATTTGATGAATATATGCATGTTGAAACCCAACGGCTGCAATAATAAAGCTATTTCTCATTCTAGTTCACTCATAGGGTAGTAAATGCTGCCCATGAAGAATTCTCGCTTTTAAATTGTACTTTCACATTTCAAAACACGATAAAATATAAAGCTTTCGCGTTCATAAAACAATATATGGATGAGTGTTAGCCGTGTGTATCAATCAATGAGCTTTTCAGCGATTTTGGGGTGTGTAAATGTTTAGATGGATGGTTTATCTTTCATGTCTCTTATGTATTGTTCATTTTAAAATGTCTATGGAAGAATGTGTTTGACATCCATTTCAGTGTTTATGAATCATTATTTTTTCTTTGTTATGAGAGGGCTTGTCATGCAACATGCTTTCAGTATTAAATGTTATGTATTATTACCACTGATGCAAAGGTTGATTATGGGGGGTTATGGGGGAAATGTTGACACAATGAATAGAATGTAGAATAGGATTCTCAACATGTACAGTAAAACCCATTTTGAATATTTTTATGTAAATATTAATACTATGAAACTTGTACCGAAAATTACAAAGCATGTTGTAAATATCTTTTATACTGGTTTGCAAGTATCATTTAGTGTGTGAAACTTGATTTAAATGTGCAATAGTACAAGGATGTATTGCAAAGAATTAACCGGTAGATAGATAACTGAATATATTACATGAAGAAGTCAGACAAACTTTGCTAGAATGGTTGACGTTTAACAGTCAAATTGCAGCAAATATTTGAGAAGACATATTTGTTCGCTTGTGTATAATAGTATGTGCATCAGATTACATACTTGTTGGCTCTCAAATCACTTACAATGAACAGTTTTAGCCTTTATAATGGTATATCATACAATCTGAAACAGTTATGAATGTGATTTATCCAGAGAGGCTACATCGCCCTTCCAATCCTTCTTTTACAGTAACATATCATAAATAGTCATTTTGTGATTTAATATGACTATTCCATTTGATTTGATCTGAGCCAAACAAAAGGAAAGGTGTCGTCCAAAAAACTGTTGGTATTTTATCAGTTTGATTTTCATCTCGAAATGTTTAAATATGGCATTGGTGTTTGCATGGGGTATTTTGCTCCACAGAGTAACATTATCATAGTCTGATGGCAATCTGAGTATCAATATAACCACTTAATATGTGGTTCAATCAGGGAAAATGTTGTAAGAAATTTTGTGGCAAATGTCAAGTCAAAACAATAAACATAAATTTCTGGTGCCTATTAATAAAGCCAACATGATGCCATACAAGTTAATACAATCTGGTGGGAATTAGTGTGGCTTAATCGGAACTGAAAATCAGGTGTGGTTTTATTTAACTATAATAGTCCCTGTGAAAACGTTGAAAAAGGACACGGCTCTCAGATATGGTTCTATATCTATCTGGGTATAGACCATAGAAAATAATGATGGGTGACTGATGCTCATGAAATTCTTCTTCTACAAAGTCAAATGTTTCCAGTTGTATTGTAGATTGTCATATGCATTCATAAAATTCGCCACCATATAGAGTTTACTGCTATAAGCAGATTATACAAAATGGCAGTGAAATTACACACTTCAATTATGAAGAAAATCTGTGCATGCTTTGTGGTGCACCTGTTCAACCAGCAAATGAAACATTTGATAATTCCCAAATTCAAAATGCTATATAGAAAAGACATACCATTGTAGAATTCACTACTATGTAAAATTCAGCAGTATACAGAATAATTCATTGCCATTTACAGTTTACCACCACATAAAATTTGCCACCATATAATATATACTACCATATATATATATACTACCATATTTAATATATACTACCATATATAATATATACTACCATATATATATATACTAACACATATATATACTAACACATATAATATATACTAACATATATAATAGAATTTGTCACCATGAAGAATTATACCATATAGAATTGACTACCATATCTAATATATCACCAAATATACCTCCATATCGAATTCACAAGCGGATTTGATATCATTACCATTTACAGTTTACCACCACAGTTTACCACCAAATATAATTGCCAACATAGATATTTCTTATTCATCATCATATAATATACTACCATTAGCTACTCTATCAAATATATCACCCGATATCTTCATATCGAATTAGATGAAGTTACAGAGGATTTGATATCAATTTTTATATCGGTAGGATTTTCTTGGTATATTTTCCTGAGTGCTTTTTCACAACATGGATGAAGCATGGGATATTTTTCATGAACTGGAAATAATCATCACCCCTGTAGTAGCCGAGCAGGAATTCAACAACAAGCCTCAATGCGATATTTGCGGAAAGAGATTCTCGACATCCTGTAGTCTACAGCGACATAAGCGGACGCATACTGGTGAAAAACCCTACGAATGTGATATCTGCTGAAGCGGTTCACGCAGTCAAGTAGTCTGGCGGATCATAAGCGTGGACACACGGGGGACAAACCCCACGCGTGTGACATGTGCGAGAAGCGATTTACAAAAGCGAGTACTCTGGTTGCTCATAAGAGAGTTCACACCGGAGAGAGGCCGTTCAAATGCGAAGTTTGTGAGAAAGGATTTTCTCAACCTAACGGTCTGAAAAAGCATCGAAAAACTCACGACGCAGTGAAATGTTTTGATTGCGAGTTTTGCAATAGACAATTTTCAAGGTTGAGTAGTTTAGTTAACCACAAAAAGTGTCATGACGCTAAATTGATGAATAATAGCCTGAAAATACATGAATGTGAGTTTTGCCAGAAAACCTTTCCCAAATCGACCACCCTGGCGGTGCATAGGAGAGTGCATACTGGTGAAAAGCCATACGAATGTGATTTGTGCAATAAAAGTTTTGCCCAGTTGAACGTGTTAATCAAACATAAACGCACGCACACGGGAGAGAAGCCGTATCAATGTGACGTTTGCGAAAAAAGGTTTGCGCAGTCGAGTACCTTAGTACGTCATAAAAGAACACACACGGGGGAGAAGCCATTCGAGTGTGATCTTTGCAAAAAGTTATTTGCGAGGCCAGATTTTCTTTCAAGCCATAAAAAAACATGTGGAAAACAAACTAGGAAACAAACTGAGAATGAGGTAAGAAAGAAAGTTAGGAAGAAGCGTAAAAAGAGAAATGAAGAAGATTTTTTGGAAGAAGAGGCTTTTGAATGTGACATTTGTGGCAAGTCGTTTTCAAAAAGCCGTCTTTTGACAAGACATAAAAAAACTTGTGTGGAAGAGCAAACTGGGGGATCTGATGCACCCGATGAAGAGGATGTAGGAATAAGAACTTTAAGGACACGAAAAAGAAGAAAAGATACTTTTGATGCACAAATTGAAATATCTGCAAAGCCAAGAAGCTCAAAGAAGCGCAAAAGACGGGTGGAGGCTCGTCTAGATGAAAGTACGTTTGAATGCGAGGTTTGTGAGAAGTCGTTTTCAAGGTCGAGTCTTTTGAGAAAGCATAGACAAGCGTGTCCGAAGGAGCAAAACGAAGAATCTGATGCGCGCAAGGTTTCTAAACGGAAAATTGCAAAGAGACGGACTATAGGAAAACAACTAAAACGTGGTCTTTCAACTAAGCGCAAACCAAATTGCCCTAGAAAAATGAGTAATGAATCTGATGCACGCAGTAAAAGAATTCTGAAACCCAGAAATGCAAAAAAACGTAAAAAGGGAAGAGACGAGAGTCGACCCGAGAAAAAACATTTCGAATGTGATGATTGTCAGAAAAGATTTTCGAGGTTGAGTAGTCTCGCTAAACATAAGAAAACACACATAAAGGAAAAATCCCATGAATGTGAGGCTTGCAAAAAGAAAAAGAATTTCTTGCAATCATTTGGTCTGGTGAAGCATCAGGTTACGTCCACCCACGAGAAATCTGTCGAGTGCGATCATGCCGGACCTAGCTGCCTTGACACCACAAATAAACCGCACCCTGAAGAAAACCATCATGAGGATTTAGGTGGCTGTGAAAGTCACGTTCATTTAAGCGATTTTGGAATCCATCCTGCAGAAAGTAATAATAAAGACATGGTCATAGATGATGAACATGTTCACGCTAAAGAAACCCACCATGACCATTTAGATGACAATGCAAAAAGTGGCGAAGAAACCCATCATAAGCAATTGGATGGCTCTGGAAGTCACGATGATGAAACTGACAATGAAGAAACCCGCCATGCCCATGGCCATTCCGATGACAGTGTAAAGGATACTGAAATAAACAATGTTGAGCACATGGATGGTATTGAAATAGACTCTGCAGCAACCCGTGAGCAATTGGGGGGAAATAAAACCCAAGCCGAAGTAACTCGTCACGAAAACGTGACCTCAAATCAAGTACAATGCGAGGAAACAAATTGCGAGCGTGAACGAGAAATACACGCGAAAGAAACTCATCATGAGACCTTGGATGATGATGAAATTCTTGCAGAGGAGACCCATCAAGAGCATTTGGTTGATACTGAAGTACACGCTCAGGAAACCCATCGTGAGCACTTATTTGATGTTAATACACCCTCTGAAGAAACCTATAATGACAATTTAAATGATCATGAAGTACAAGGTGAAGAGACCCGTCACGCTGAAGAAACACATCATGAGCACTTGAATAATGATAATAGTGATGGTGATAAGGATGATGATCATCATCTTGATGATAATGATGGTGTTGATGATGAGGGTGATGATGATAATGATGATGTTGATTATGATGATGTTGATGGAGATAATGAAGATAATGACGATGGTGATTATGAAGATGATGTTTGCATCAAGACATCCCCAAACTTTACAAAATTAAAAGAAAAAAGATCGCACGAGTGCGACGAGTGCGATAAGGTTTATCGACGACCAAGTGCATTAGCCGCTCATAAAATGAGCCACACTGGTGAAAAGCCATACGAATGCGACGTTTGTCAGAAACGACTTTCCCAAATGCAAGGGTTGATAAAACATAAGAGAACGCACACGGGAGAAAAGCCATTTGAATGCGACGTCTGCAAGAAAACATTTCTGCAATCAAGCAATTTACAAAAACATTATCGAACTCACACCGGAGACAAGCCTCATGCATGCGATGTTTGCGAGAAACGATTCTACGATACAAGTGGCTTACGAAAACACAAAAGAACCCACACTGGTGAGAAACCTTACGAATGCGAATTTTGCAAGAAACGCTTTTCCCAATCGAACGATATGGCTAAACATAAGCGAACGCACACAGGAGACAAACCCTACGAATGTGACGTTTGCAAAAGGCGATTTGTTCAGTCGAGTATTTTAAGCAGGCATAAAAGAACACACACCGGGGAAAAGCCATTTGAGTGTGACGTTTGCAAGAAAACCTTCTCGAAAGCACATAACGTGTTGAGACATAAGAAAACCCACAGCAGTGACAGACCTTATGAATGCGAAGTTTGCAAGAGGAGATTTTTCAAGTCGACCGATTTACTGAAGCATCAAAGAACACATGCAGCAGATACAGGGGAAGGTGAACTAGAGCCAGGCTTCATGGATGCAACAATGCTTACAGTGACTGATTATCGTAATCAAATGAATTCCCCTGAATTCATGCTAGAGGAACTGTTTAAAGACCAGGAATGTGTCGAAAATCAAGCACAGGAATCTATCGAAGGAAATTCTCATCCTGTTGGGTCGAATATGGAGTTGTCAGAGTAACTTGATGAGATGCAAACTACCTGAAAAATTGGAAGAGATCTCCAACGTTTCGAGACAGGCCATTTTTTAAAAAGATTTGTAGGACTTCAATAAAGCTGTTTTACATGGGGTTGTCCTAAGAAACTGCTCATATCTCGCCGCTTCGAGATCCGTTATAGACCGAGGGTACCCGGTGAATTCCCCGCAAGAAAATGAGCGAAATTGAGGCATCTGGGGCGGCGTTTCCACTGAGAGAGGAGTTGACTCATATCACGTTTGGGAATCCAACATTTGGATGGAACTTTTAGGACTGCTAAATTCAGGTTTAAGAAGTACCCATTTTTCGAATCGTGAATTTTTAAACCGAGAAGTGGGGATGGAAAATTCAGAAAGTGTCTATTAGCGATAAATAGTTGTTTGTTTCTTGAAACTAGTATGAGTTTGAACTAACAAACTACATAAACTTTTTATAGAGTGATAGAAATAGTTGACATTTAGTTTTTTTACTTTACAATATGTTTACGTAATATTCTACAGATATTTGTAGCAAAAAATACTTTTCAAATTTGTAAATTGTAAAATTGTAGTGTGCGTGTTAATTTACATATTTGTAATACAATAATACAATGAATTCTGCCACTTCATCATGTAAACCACTCAAATTAACTTTATCTTGGTGGTCAAAACTCACCCCATTTTCCCATAAGTCATAAATTTCAGTCATCTACCAATTTTAAACATTCATTGGCAAATTCCACAAACAGAGGAAGCTTCATAGCAGCTTCAAGTTCTTGTTCACTGTCTTTTTCATCATATAGTCTTCAAAACTCTTTGCAGATGTTTGTTTAATAGCATGTCCTTGATTTTTTGCGAGTTTTCTTTATCAAAAAGGGAGGAATACAAAGTACTTGCCCAGCTACCTCATCTGAAAAAAAATTTCACCTTACCAAGAAGAGACAACTTTTCCTGACTGACTTTGTCTTCAACATCTAATTCTTCATCTGTCAGTTCACCAGGTTCCACTTCTACAAATATGGTGGAGTTTGATAATGATAACCCAACATCCAAATTTTTGTGGGGTGTGTTACTTTTATGTTTTCATGAAGAAAATTTTAAATAGACACTGTATGAAGAAGCAAGCTGTGGCATGGTGAAATTACTACAAAACTATTAAATGTGAATCATTTAGCATACCTTTAGTGATCAGAGAACTGCCATTTATAGTTGTATTGCGCAAAATAGTCTCTTCGGGTTGTTTGAATTCCTCACATGAATTGTCTATATACAACAAGGTTAAATAACAGAGAACTTTACTGTTTACAGATGGGCAAATAGTTACTGTGTGTGTTTAGCAGGTTATATGCGTGACACACATGGTATATTATGTTAAAATTATACCAATATGTAGGTAATGCATGCAGTGCTTCCTTCTATATATAATTATATCTGTTTTCAAAATATTAAATACTTTACATAAATCATATTACACACTTTACATGAAACATATTACACACCTTTATGTGTTTTGTAACATGTTACGGAACAACTAAAGCAGAAAAACAAACGTAAGCAAATTGTTTACATAATATGGATTATTATGTACCATAAATCATATATATATGAATATATATGATATAAACATTTTCAGTCAGGTTACCATAAGGAATCGAAATTGTTTTCAATCAAGTTGCTTACTATAAATCCGGCACTTCGGACATCTGTATTTGCTTTCGGTTAGATTACAACATTGCATTTCTTCATCATCCAATTGTATTTTTCGTCTGGTTGAATAGCCACGTGCTAATATTATGTTTACGAAATACGAAGTGATCAGTGCTTCCACCTTGCTTGAAATTTAGAAGCTATGTCTAGGGAAATCATTCTGATTTCTGAAACGGAAATTTTTATCGCTTAGTATCGTTTTGTTAAAAAAAACATGAGGGACGTGAAAAAATCAGGGACGCATAGTAAAAGGCAGAATTTGTCTGTGAAAAGCTTTAAAATTTCAAGTGATATTTCACAAATCAAAAGTATTCAACGAGGAAAAATGGAAGTTTGACGCTGATCTATACATAGTTAACTGGATGAGAATCTAATTGTTTATTATTGAAATTGTCCCAAGAATACCCATGATGCTCCCCGCGATGTTCGAGCGCGTGTCTCGTTCCTCCCTTTGTGTCTGCGAAGGTCTTGTTATCGATTTGCGAGAAATTGAATTTTTTCGAAGGATTCGAGCCGAAATTCACGATGAAAGTGATAGTATGTTTCGGAGAGGTGCGCATTCTAGTTCCTTGCGATGCAGCCGAAGATATGACAGTGAAAGAACTCAACGAAATAGCTGTGACCAAATTTAAGAAAGTCACCAACAAGGTATGTAATACGCCATTATCCTAATATGACCACTAAATTTCTCTCGAAGTACCCATATCACCTTCGTTAAGAAGGTTTTTTGTACCGATGATTGTATAAAATCAAGTACTGCACTAATTAATTGTAATTTTATGGTTTTGTCGATGCCATTTGTGATTTTAAACGAAATCTTTTTCTAGTATATTGCATGCTTCGGTTTAATATTTTTGCATTTGTAATTTGTCGACTTCTAGAATACATCTTACTTGATCCTGTACATATTATCGTATTGGGGCTTGCAGACTTGGCTATAATCCTCAGATGCTTTCAACTTTAGTGTTTCTACGTTAATGCAATCGATAGTACTGATATTATAGGTAAAATTTCGGGACTTTCATGAGTCAGATATGCCTGCTGATACTGAACTAGAAGAACTTAATGATTCGAGAAATAATTTGAATTATTCAGGCTTCAACTTAAATGTTATCATAAAGCTTATGTAGCCAAATTATATCTGTCCAGAGCCCAGATGAAGAGATCAAGATATCCTATCTTAAAACTCAATCAGAAGGCGCAATGGTTGACCCTGATGACAAAGTTGCCAATGTTGCTGAAGATAAAGAAATTGTAAGTATGGATTAGTAAGAACATTATAAAATAATTCAATGCCAATTATGTCTGTAACTAAAACCTTTGCTGTTATTTTGCCTTGGTTGAAAACAGATGATTTTTTCTCAATTTTCTGAGGCAGAGTCAGACTATGTACCTGTTTAATGAGCAGTGTACTAATGCTCTCTTTTAATTTGTATTTCATTTGTTCACCTAAACTCTTACAGTTCACAGCAGTTTTGGAAGAGCCTTTGCAAACACAGTTCCCTATCATTAACACAAGCAATGGACAGCTTGTTCTGGCTGTAATCAACAATGATGGCTCTCAAAGTACAGATTCTATTGTGAGCTCGCTTCAACTGGGCTCTGGTGGGAACCTGGCAAACCTCTCGCCAATGTTTAGCAACGCAATAATGTCGATGTTACAGCAGAGTATGTCACAGCAACAACAATTGCCAACAACTTCGTCAACTACAACAGTCACTCCAGTGAACACAACCGGCAATGCCTCTCAACTTCCAGCCATCACTCAAGGTATATAAACGTTCTTCTCTTCAAATGTGCTTTATTTACAAAATATTTTAGATTCAAAGGTAATATCCTGTCAAGTTTGTGCATTGGCTCTGCTCATATCAATGTTGGACACAAATTAGGATACAAACTCTAGTTCATGTTCATTTGGATCGAACCATAACAAACCAATATTCTGTTTGATATTCAAACAGTTTTTCATATTTTAAGCAATATTTCATATTTTAAGCAAATATTTCATATTTTAAAAATGTAAGCTTACATTTGTTTTTATTATATACAATTTATATGTGTAAACAAAAACCTAAAAACAGTAAATATCAAATGCTGATTGATTCACAGCAATAACTGGGGAGCAGTGTGGCATTACTTTATCACCCATAATGTAACCACTTAATACTTTAAGCTACTATAAAGAAATTATCAGCCATGCATGGTTACCAAGCTACTTATTGCAATATAAGCTCCCTAGTATAATCCTTAGTGAAACTACTTGTTGCTTTCAAACATTGCACAATCATCTCCCAACATCCTTACCTCAGCTTGCTGTTTTAGTCATTGATTGAGGTTCACATAATCAAATGTTATGAATAATTTGCAGGGAATGATGGTAACAACATCTCTGACGAGGGTGATGATGGTGAGGAGTCTGATGACAAGGATGGCAAGAAGGATTTCAGTTGTGATCAGTGTGCCAAGAAATTCACACAGTCCTGGAAATTGCGTCAACATTTAATTGCTCACGCAAGACGTGACGAAATGAAGAAATACGAATGTGATAAGTGTGCTGCCTCGTTCATTTCGGAGTGGCTGTTGCTTCGCCATGCCAAAATTCACACAGGTTTGTCTTAAAACACTCCATATATCACGAGCAAAAAATCTATGCCTTTTACAAACATATAAAATGCATTATTAACAGCCTACCTTTCATTGTTTCCTAGGTGCTACGAAGCCACGTTTTTGCCTGGTTTGCAACCGTGCGTTTAGAGGATCAACTGACCTCAAAGTGCACATGCGCACGCACACGGGTGAAAAACCTTTCAAATGCGAAACGTGTGGAAAAGCCTTTGGCGACCGTTCGGCTCTCCGTCGGCACACGATGACGCACACTGGTGAGAAGCCGCGGCCTTGCCCGCACTGCCCGCGCGCATTCAGGCAGACCGCTCCGCTTATCACCCACATGCGTCAACGACATAACATCGACATCCGACATCGCTGTGACGTATGCTATATGTCGTTCTGTGAGGACGATCCATATGTACTTCATATGGCTTCTGTTCATCACAGGACCATCGCGTTAGAGGAGTTGAAAAAAGGCGATGAGAGCAGTGGTCTTGAGATGGAACAGCAAGAGCTTGAAAATGAAGATGGTACAGGTAGGTTGAACTCTGCCAAAACGATTTCTGCAAAACATGCATAGGTAAAAGGAGTGATCTTGTTTTAGACCAATAAGCAAATTTGTTTACATTTTCAGTAACCCAATCAGAATGCATAATTTTTTATTAATTTCTGTAAAAAGTACCACCTTTTTTTATGAAGTATTAAACATTTAGGCATTCTTAGAAACTTACATTTTGGAATTAACAAAACCTCAACATTTTATTTGTTTTTGAAGGTGTGGTTGATGATGGTGGTCACATGGTTGATGACGATAGTCACATGGTCGATGATAGTCTGGAAAATGGTGCAGTAAAACATACTATGGTCAGCAACGCACATCTTGTTCAACATTGTGATGAAGATAGTGCTGAAAACAAAGACACTGAAAACAGGGAACAAGTTGCGGCCGAGAGAAGCCTACATGATGCGTAAGTAAATTCTTTTGAACCAGGGGAGGACTCTTGGGGGGTGGTCGCCTCTCCCCCAATATTTTTTGGAAGATATTTTTGAGAGCTTCTATTTATCGAGATTCAAGAGTAGAAACACAAAGACAATCAATTAATTAAATTTGTCTTTGGAATCCAGAATTTTCGAAAAAATAATCAACAATGTCTTTGCAGATACATCACTGAATCTGGTGACGGAGAGCAGGCCGAAGCAATCACCATCACAGCTGTTGCGGCCGGGCAAGATGGCCAAGAAATAGTTTTACCTGCTGATCTGGTTGTTGCACACCAGCTTATTGCTGTACAACAATCAAGCATGGATGTATAGCAAAATTTCTCATGTCAAACACCTGTTTTGACTGGTGCTTTAATTAATACTTGAATGAGTAGCAATAGATTATGGTATCGTTATATGACTTGTCCATGTCATGTTAACACGAGCAGTTACTGTCATTCTGTCAACATTGTGATTTAAACTTTTATATAAATAAACGAGGTAAAAGACTAAAATTGATTGTGTTAAATAAAGTATCGCGCAATGCAGCCGCTTGTCAAAACTATCACCGGCGCCAGCATGGCTTTCGGCGGGAAAATGAAAATGATTCAAGGTAAATTTATATTTTTTTACATTGGTAGTTGAACAATAAAAAAGCATGTGTTTATGTGTTTATATTTAGTATTGTCGTAGTAAATGCTAGCGTTTACACAGCGGCATGACTGGTTTAGATTTAAAGATGCGCTAAGCGGCTGGTTTGGACCGTTTCGGCAAACGAAAGAATTCAACATGGCGGCTAATGCTAAACTTTTTAGCTAAAACACTACAGCAAATGAACTTGTTCGCGTACGTCCTTTTGAACAACTTTTAAGTGATTTTTTGCACTTATCATTTGAAAATTGTGTAAAGCTTGACATACCTTTTTTGACGTAAAGGACAGGAAGACTTGCTGTTTTTTAATGGTCAGGACAGGAGACAATTCACAGGGTTGGTAAGTTACTGAATAAATAAGCCAAACATTCTTATTGGCGGCCCTTTGATTCCTTTGTTTCAAACAAAGAAAACAAATGTTATGTTAATATATTTGGCTTATTTATTCATAAAATCTACCAACCCTGACAATTCAACACGTCGCCCGCCCGTCGGTGAAATTATTTAAAGTCATACAGTTGTTTTTGATTTTACACGCTATGATCGTATGATTTGATGTGTAACACAAAGCCAAAGGAAAAGCTATCTTATTTTGAATCTGGACAAAATATTCTTTAAAATGTTGAAAATTGTCCACTCTTTTTGTATCGTGGATTTACAAATCGATTGGGTAATTCTATTCCTTACATCAAATGGTTTTGATATATCCCAGTAAAAAGCACCAAATTATTTATGACTTGAATTACTGAGTGCAAACTGAATTCCAAACAACAATTGCATGCAGTGACTGATGTCACAATGATTTATTAAATCTTTGGTGATTAAAAGTTACAAGCATGACTTTTATATATATTAGATATATTTTCCAACTATAAAGCTACTATATCACTTCATAAGCAAACATGATATCAAATTCTCTTAATTGCCATCATATGACAACCTAATTAGGCACCAATAATGAAAAGTCCTTTAAATCAAAGAATGTTGGCTAAGGGCATGAAGTCAAAATGTCTTCATTCTCAACCTAATCATTATTGTCACCAAATTCGAAAAATTGAAATTTGGGCTAGAAAACAAGCTTTTAGGGCTTTCAGGGCTTAATTCTGCAACAGTAATTGACATAGTTTGAAGACAAGATGGAAGTAAACAATACCTCTCATTAACTATATCTAGGTGTACATTGGCAAAAGAGACTGTTCCTAACTTGACCATTGGCACTTGTCTTTTGCATTTTCTCTAAATCTTCCAAAAGCAATGTTTGAATTAGCAAGTTGTTTTGCAATATCAACAGAAAATTCAGGCCATCGCTTTTGTTTATTTAGGGAAATGTAAAATTGAGCGTGTATCAAGATAGGAGCCACCTTTTACACACACCTGTTCTTGGACAATAATAGTTAATGAGTTGTCAGAGGTGTATTAATCCACCTTATCTTCAAATCTATGAGTTGTGCTCTTTGCTAAAGGAAGTTCCAATGATCGGTGGTGCATCACTCTGTATAAACTTATATATTATCATATTTCTAAAATTAAGAAAATGATTTCATCCTATCATTTGACAAAAAAATTAATGGACAATATTCGTTCCCAACGTTGGCAATCTTCTGCTGTGAATATCGCATTGTTTTATAGATATGAACCTGCAGCATCTCTTTAACTTGATTGAAGTTTAAATGTTCATTTGAGTAATTTTGCTGAAATATGCATTGATCTAATCCGTGGTTAGTCTTAATGAATCAATATTTTTATGAAAAGTTTATCGCCCATACATATCGTATGGTAATATCTGTAATCTGTAACTTATTGCTTTGCTTGAAGATGAACTGACGTTGGGTCGAAACCTTGTCAAACTATTTTTTCTTCGAAAACACTGCATTTATATGTCCTTAATATATTTATGCTTTTGCAAGCTGTCATAATATAGCAACTAAAAACATACCCATAAAACTGGCTGTTTAATGTTTTGTATACATATAGATTCGATCATTGCAGAAATATTTTCCAACTCAAATTATCTTTCCTGCCGAACGGAAAACTGTTGTGATATTTGTTAGACCGATTTGCATTCATATTTATCCTTTTTGAGTGTTTAACAAGATTTTAATGAGTAAATGCAATTAAGTAATGTTTAAAACAAGAGCGGCCGTGTTGTATTTAATATACAACAACTTGTGAAATGAATTTTGCAATAAATAAGATTTTAATAAATACGTAAATCAGTTAGAAACACTAGTGACTGTATTGGAAAAAATACAACCACTAGTGTTTCTAACTGATTTGCATATTTATAAATCTTATTGTATAGTTAATAGGGTGCACATGTGACCTAATTCACGAAAGTTGGTTAGGTATAGACCTCGTTAATTATTCACGAATTTCAAAATACATCAATAAATCTCAGAACAGTTCTGATTTGCATTTAAAGTTTGCAAATTGGAAATCAAGAGGTTTTTTTCTAATATTTTTCAAAACATAGTAAAATGTTGCTGGTGGTATGTTGCTACTTTTTCTTTGCAAATATACAAAACATGTATAAACAAGCCAGTTCTGGTATACGTTTTAATCTTATATCTTAACAACGATAATGATTTTCTTGGAAAACCATTAGGCTACATTATATGTAACTTACACAAACTAAATTTTATTTAGTTCGTCCTAATATCATGGCTTTCTAAAGCTTACAAACAAACAATAACACAAATCTTAAAGTTGAACTTTCTCCCTGGGTTTGCCTGAAATCGCGGAGAATATAAAATAATGAAATATAAAAAAATATCGCGGTTACATTCCAAACAGTGTAAAGACCTAAGAACAATTTTTTAGCAAGGCGAGGCAACAACTGTGTTACAGAACTTCTTCAGTGGGTTTCAGGAAGAAAGTATGATAACTGCTGTAGTATAATCAATTGAATTTTCAATTTATTTCAGAAGGATTGTTATCATGTTCCCCAAAATTTTTTTTAAAATGACAGGGGAAGAATATTTAACACACCATAGACGCCAAGCGCTTTACCCGAATGCTCTATATTCACCGTTGCTACGCCATTGCTAAGGTCGAGGGGCCGTGTCGTTTTAGTTCAGAAGGTGATGTTGTAAGGTATTTAATAATCGTATCATAAAAGATTGTACGTTTGTCTGGAACAACTGTGTCAAACGGTAGTTATGTATCATATATTGGCCAAAATTTTGCTATATATCTTTTTGCCGTCAATTTGGCTTAATCTAATCTGGCGAGCTTACCGTTACATGACATCGCCCAGTTTATTTACCTATAAAAAATAATTTCAAATCAGTCGTTTATATAACATTTTAATTGGACTAATATAATGAATGAATGTATAAAAGGATTACGTTGCAATAATGTATATATTGTTGTTTGTAAATCAATTGTGATTTTTGGCACTTCACTCGATGCACGTAAATTCTAGGGTTTAAAGGTTCTTAATTGTAATCAAAATCTAAACTTTATAAATTACTTATAAGCGACTTTAGATTGAAACAGCCATACCAGTATTTTGTCCAATTGTCATCGAGTTGACTTTACTGATTTTCATCTTAGAAACTATGGTGAAATAAAAATGAGATATTCACTTATTCATCCGTGGTTAGACAGGATTATGTATGATTTTGACCCTGTTATGGTCTATTGTACTGGGTGTCCAAGAAAAAAGCGAAACCCGCACGAATAATACATTATGCGATGAAACGAAATCCGCAGAAAAATGTTTTTTCGTTTTCATTTAAACGCCGTACTCCATTATACGCGATCTTCACGCCATCTTCTTTTCCATTATATAAAGCAAGGTTTGATAGTAAATTCTTATTTATTTGTATATTCAGGTCTCAGATAAAAAAATCTTCACTGCCTTTTACTAACAAATTTGACTTGTTCCTATAGCACTCATGTACCGTAAACCTTATACTGTGCAAGAATACGAAATCCCAGAGACACGTCAATGTCAAGTTAATCACTATTAATAGTTACAATGAAAAGTTTATCTCCGATGCACACCAATATCAAATTAATCACATAAGTAATAATAGTGAATGATTTTTCAGCGAATATACGTAGTTATTGTTGTTAAACGTACCTCTAGTGTTTTTTTTTCTTGAAAATATTTTCTTTGTTCCTAAAAAGATAAAAAAAAATGTGCATGAAATGTTAAGAAAATATCGAGGGTCTCTTTTGTGGTGAGTTGACTGTTGCATTTTATGGTACGTAAATTGAAGGACTCACCATTGTTAAACCAGTTCTCCGTTGGCGCCGAGTTTGCTCCTACAGAAAAAATAAACGCACATTTAATATTTTAGCGCCCGACGCCCTATAACGCCCGACGATTTTACAATGTTTTCATGGAGTACGAATGATAGAATGACGCTGGGAACAAGGATTTTTTTATTGTTTTCTCTGTTTGTCAGTTTCAAACTTAGCATTTCATGTGTTCAAAGATGGTCTTAAAAATAGTGACAGTGTACACCCATTTCATGAATTAGGCAGTTTTCCTGCAGCTGATTATATTCGCTATATGTTTCCATTAGTAAGTTTCTAACATTCAGTTAGTTTCTAACATTGAGTGTGCGTTGATTAAGGGGTCTAATAAAGGGAGAATTATACATGACATTTTCGCGTCTAGTTTTATAATAAAAGCTATACTGATTTTCATTCTTTTGGTTTTGAAGTAGAAGCTAGGTCACTATCTGTTTGCAAAGTGATAGCGCATTTCCTCGATAATGAAATGGTATACTACCCTACTCCTGACGAGTAAAGTCTGGTGATCACAGAGATAGTAATGTAATATCAATATACACCTAATGTATGCTCCTGAGGGAAATAGTGAGATTTGTTTTCCCAAGAGTCTGAATGTTTCCTGAGACGAAGTCGAGGGAAACATTAAGACTCGAGGGAAAACAAAACTCACTATTTCCCGAGGTTGTATACATTAAGTGTTTTGTTATATAAGAACAAAAGCATACATGTTAAACAACAATTTCATTAAAAAAACACACTTTACTTTGTTATGACAAGAAGCGGGCAACAATTTCTCTTGTTTCCCGGGAAACATTGCATTTTTTTAAAGTCATGTGACTACGAATGAACCGATCACATTTAAAATACACAGCACCTATATATCAATAGATCATATATTAATCTTTAATGTATTCTGTGCGATTTTTTTCGCATCAAAAAGCACACAAAGATAGAAATAAAGAAACAAAAGCATAAGTTAGACAGCAACACGACATGTGGAAAACGTATAATATATGCATGTTAGTGAAGAAATAATTGAGATGAAAACATTTGTTTTGTGCAGCCCATATTGAAAGGGGCCTAAAATGCAGACCGCACTACACAAGACCTAAAATTTGCAGTTAGAAATAAGCTTTTAATGTGCTTCCTCAACGAATGAACCTTACACTTAATTTTGTGGAAATGTCACATTATTTCAAAATGAACCTTGATATTTATTGTTCCCAGTTTTTCAATATTCTCTCTCGCTTCCAAGATATTTAGATTTCAGTTGGAAATTAGGCTACACGTAGGTGACGTAACGTCATTTGCACAAAAAATAGTAATTACATTTATAAAATTATGTGCATCTCTGATAGAAACCGCCGATTTTTTTTCAAATATTGCCGATAATTGTAGTACACAAGTAAAAGCATACAATTATTTTGTTGGCGGGAAAATAGTTAAGTGGTCAGTGCATATCGTCCTTTTAGGAAATGCCGAATGCTTATTTCTCAAGTATATATCTAAAGGGCGTTGGGTATCTGCAGTTAAACAAACAGTTGTAATTACATGTAAATCCTGTATTTCAAACAATAATTTTTTTATGCCACCATCATGAAGAGTATATAAGAATTAAGTGCTACATTTGGCTTATCAGGTCGAGTGGTAATCATTCCAAAACCTTTAAATTTTTAAAAAACAATCTCAATTAAGAGTAACTATTTTCTAATTACTGTAGTCCTACACAGTTCTGCTTCGTAAGATTCCTAAGTTTGTTATAAATTTATTATTCTAAAGTAAGATAACGTCCAGACACGCTTAATTTGCGTACGTTCGAAAATTGAATATCAGGAATACGAGAGACGATATTGGGAAAAACTGAGAACGGCATTAATGCTTAGTATTTTTTCCCAAGTGAATATATCAAATCCTACATTCTGATTGGTCTGATTTGACGTATTATGCTTTTATATTCACTTTCAGATGAATGTAACAAATTTCAAAATGGCGGCTAGGCGTTTTGTGGACTTTTCTTACAAAGAGATAAGCGAACAAATGCAGTTCTTGTGTCAATTCACTAGTGCAAAAATACTGAAACAACTATTCGCCTTAGGCTTGGTGCCGATTATCGGGGAGTATTCGCCTCGTTTTCGTCTCGATTGATTGTTTCCCGATAATCACCTCGCTTTCGGCGAATAATTGTTGATTGTTTTGAATTAAATAATTCTATTTTACGACTAGAACTAGGGAGGGAGTTCTTTGGTCCATTAGGAATAAATTAACATTTATTTTCATTGGCTTTGTCGTGGTGCATGTTTTAGAGCTCCTAACATTGCATGGACGACAACTCAACAAATATTGTGACAACTACAACCAGAATTACATTGCGACATGTCATAAAACATGTGACATACAAAACACAGACACAATACTAATACAATACTTTTCATTTATTTTCTATATAGTCTAATTTCATTTGATACTTAATTTGAAAAACAGATTTGACTATAAAGTTATAACTTATATAGTCAATATTCAGTTCCCAAATTTTTATTCTGAAATATAACTCTAATTTACGAGTTCTGGACTGATGGAATTAAAGAGTTTTTCTCCAAACCCGGAAAACTTTCATTTGTGATAAATTGTATACAGTATCATCTCTCAAATAGTACCGGCTTTAACTGGAACGTTTGTCAGTTCTCCTTTTCCGCTGACCTCCCAAAACTACGTCTTTGTTTAATGGTTGAACCGAGGTAACATCTTTCGACAATTAAATAAACACCCGACATACACTCTTCTTTATACAGTGGATTGACGTTGACACGTACACAACAATCACAGAAAAATATTACCACATACACTACACACATATGTGCCACAACAAAACTGAATTGATCCACTTCACACATGGGTACCACAGAATAAATTTAATACACAGAAAAATAGATACTTCTATAAAATAAATTTGCTACACAGGATAAATATTCTATAAATAAATAGACTCGCTTTAAGCGTAACGTCGTCGGTATATTTTTTGTTTGCAAAAATATTTCTAATCTGACCATGCAAATCCACGATATTCTTTACCAAGCTGGGTATAGTTATCGGTACAAATAGTGTGGATTTGCGTCGTATCAGATTGCGTAAGGTAGCTATTTGATTGCGCATGCGTATTCCGAGACCTCAAATTAGATGCCTCAGGCTATATCCGGTTCTACCCTTTTGTATTATTCTTAAAAGGTTCTACTAAGATAGTTCTACTAAAAGTACTACGTTTTCAGTTTCGGGTTGTTTCATTTACCTTTACTGCCGGAAAGTTGGAACAAACCATGTCGTATGTTCTTGTTGGCAACTTTCACTGCACACAGTGTGATATAGGCCAGCATGTCATTGCGGGTAGTTGCGGTCAAGTTAGTTGCTCTCTAAAATACCAGAAATATATGTCAATTCCCCAAAAATATTGCGAATTTAGCTACGTTTACGACAATTGATTAAATTTTAATTTGTTCAATGTTCAGTAATGTCCAGTAAAGTTTGTCGCTTGAATTTTGTAAAATTTCTTTTGCAAAAATACCGTGTTAATGTTAACATGTCACAATCTCAGTTTTTTGTTAGATTAATGTTCTTCTCCACTCATCGCAATGGCGCACTCGCTGCGAGGGTTTTCATCCAATGAAAATGCCTTTGGGTTGAATTTAATTACAGGCAAACACATGTCGCAGCGCTCGGAAGCTTTTGTCCAATTGGATAATGCTTCTCTATGCTTTCTAGAGAACGAAGCTATGCTATTGGTTGAAACAGAAATGTATTGTAAAGTTCAGCCAGTGAAAATCATTCTTGCGAGGAGCTGCGACTCTACCCTCGCGGCGAGCTTCCGAGTTGGTTTTGCGATGAGTGGAAAAAAGGCCTTATGCCTTTGTTTACGAAAATTGTCCTTAAATTAACTGATTTCAATATGCAAAAAATTTTTAATGTACCGCCATCATCTTTATTAAATATAAAACAACGTATTTTTCTATCAACGTACCTTTATATTTTTATTGTACCAACTTGAAATACGGATTTTCACAACACTCGACCCTGGAACGTTATACGACATAGGATCTTGGCCGGTGCTGTTTTGGCCGTGTATCTAAGAACGAATTGTGTGTTAAAAGGATTTACTTAATACTTGTTTTCCAGTTTTGTTAACATTTGCAAAACGCGATGATCTTCAGTGCCTGGGGCAGGGGACATTAAGATAATTATCGGTACAAATAGCGTAGATTTGCATCACATCAGATTGCGTACGATAACTATTTGATTGCGCATGCGTATACCTTGACTTGCAAACGCGATATTATGATGTAAAATAAATCAAACAGCCTATACAATGGTTGCGGCTTTTAAATACATCAAAAGTTTAAGGTCTTTTAACACGAGTAACTATACTTACCAGCTTTTCAGTTCGTTTGTGTGTAGTTAAAAGCCAATCCCGTATGTCTTTCAACTTTCCTTTGGTGGCTGTCCGTTTTTCGTTATCTGTGATATTTTTTAGTAAATTGTCGTAAAAGTACGCATAGTGACTGATCTGTTTCAGAATTTGATCCTATAAAAGCAAAAATAGAATTTAGTGAGGTACATTCGCACAAATTCGTCGAGCACCGCGTGTGCGGCAGAAACTCTCTGAAATATTGCATCCGGCTCAGAAACTCATATAACAAACCTTTGTTCCTTGTATAACGGAGTGTCTTTCGTGCAAGTCGTGATTAGGGTCCACGCAAGTACAAAAGTTCCCCTGCGATGAACAGTGAAAAGATATCTATTAGTTATTATAATTTGCGTGACAGGTAATAATAATATTTACTATTTAAATATAGCGCTTGATTATATAGATATTCAAAGCGCTGTACAATGTCATAAATACATATTCTAAATATTTCTACTAAGACTGAAAGCTATCCTATTCTACTGAAGGTTAAAAGCGTTTTCAAAAAGGAATGTTTTTAATTGTTTTTTAAAATTACTAATGCCAGTTCACTTTGTCTGAGGTATAATTAATAATTACTCTTATTTAAAGGTCTGCCATCCCAGTTACCTAGGCGCTTTTTGCTATGACTGATTAGATAAGATTTTCTCATTTTGACAGATGCGAACGAGTGAACTGAATGCTCTGATGTATCTAATAGAAACATCCCGTAACTTATATCCTAGAGCACAACTATCCAAAGTAGAGAATCGCAACTAACAATCGGCCTGCAAGAAAAACATCGTTGTGAAAAAAATCAGAAATTTGCAAGTCAAGAACATTAGTTCTTGAAGTTCATTAGTTCTCTCAAGAACATTACTAGTTCATTAGTTCTCTCAAGAACATTAGTTCTTGACTTGCAATTCGGCCATATTGATGGTAGAGCGCAAAAGAATATTGATCAATGCCTTTGAAAGCGCCATACAGTTTGCGTGGGCGAGCAAAATTTGTTGTGTGTCTCGACAGCTTATAGTTTCAAATCATGAAAAAATTACCCGCTTTGAGCTCACTCTTTTTACACCCGGTACAACTAGATTACCAATATATTGGTTTGAAATAGACCACGTAATTTACTAAATGGGATAGAAATTTAGGCCTGAGAACTCCCATAGGGTGACTTTAATCTTAGCAATCCTCTGATGTGTAATACGTCAGCACTATAATGTCTGCCTATATAATCCAACCCATCATGGCCCTTCATTCTTAAGAAACCTATTTTACCTTTTTTGGTCAAAAGCAGTTATTCTCCCACCTATGGACTACGTAAATGGCGCCCTGGGTCCAATTACGGTAGAGTCAACAATAGAATATAAATAGATTTAAAAGAGTGTTTAGACAATTAAAATGTTTCCTTCATCACTTTCAAAAGTGCTAAATTAGAATATGCATATCTTGGCTGTTAATTGAGTGCACATTAGCTACACGCCTACATCTGCTATAATTATAGCTGTAAGTTGCAAATTTTGCACCTTAAGGCTCGATTAATGGCTTGATCCCAATGTCTCGGTTGTAGCCGTTTGAATGATAAAGAGCGCTATCTCCGACCGGAGGATTGGAGCTAATTTTTGTCGTAGTCATGCGTGTGAATACAGACTGCTACCACTTAGCTGTAAACTACCAGATCACGCAATTTTTTTAATTGATTGGACTCAGAACTGAGATTCATAGCAACCGACATTTTCAAACCTGGAGCCGGTTGTTCTAAAGCCGGTTGGAACCCTGGGCGCTTATACAAATCCGTAAATCATACTTTCTGACAGCTATTGATCGAGTTGGCAGGATTGTTTCAGAGATCCTCACTGGTTTGATAGAGAGAGTTTATTTCTTAGCTAGGCTTTGAACAAAACAGCCATCCAGAAACAGTAGGCTAACTGAATTGTGCATTCATATGCGTTATCCCATAGTTTTCAGATGGAAACTAGAACGCGTATTCCTAACACAGCTGCGAGATTCGACACACGCGTTTCTCGGGACTTTGGAGTTTTTAAAGGCTAGTTCACACGATCCAACTTTGTCGGATCCAACACCTCTGACGTATGGTATGTAGTCTGATATTGATAAAGCAGTACTGCATTGGCTTTAGTTGATTTGCTGCAAGTCAACAGCTTATAAAACATCCATCAAAAGTCAATTGGATCCAACAAAATTAGATCGTGTGAACAGACCTTTAGGGATCAAACTTTCAACCCATAGCTCCACTTAAGAGGCTAAAATTCCAATTATGTTTATTTTGACCGGATTTTTTCCATAGGGCGGTTTTCCACAAGACGGAATTTTTAAAAAATCGAGCGAAAACTTTCGTTCCACCGAAAAGTCGGTATACATAGCGTTTTGAATCGTGATTAAGCGGTAACCTCGATATCCAAAACAGCTTTAAAAAAAGCTACACTGAAATACTTGATATGGCTGAATAGTGTTTCACCGCAGTTAGTTCCTAAAAAAATTTTAATTTTCTCAGTGACGATCTCGAATTATACTGAACGAAGGCCTGTTTTCCATTTCAGTCGTACCGTAGCGTATTTCTTTGTTTCAAAGCCATTAGTTCTACCTCTACCCGAGTGCCAAGGAAAGAATGATAGGTACGTGTCGCTACAGCACGTTGAAGTGAAAACTTCCCTAAAGGCTCTCAATCGCTCATCGCAAAAACCAACTGGCAACCTCGTCGCGAGTAATTTCGTCCAATAATGCTTGACAGGTTTATTACAATGCTCGACAGTTTATTTTGCACGCACAGGAGCGAGTTTTGCGGAGTTCATTTCGCGATGAGTGGAGAAGAGTCTTAAGTTAAGGCATGCTGAGTTACACGTGTGTGTTGTGCGAAGCAGCATTAGCGACCTCTCGAAGAACGTGCAGAATGTCTTGTGGTTATTGCCGGTGCAAAGTGTAAACCGGTCGACAATTGAATCTGTCAGAACGAATTACTGCTTTGATTCACTCCTTTCAACGCTATCATTGCCTGATGTACTTGTCTGGGTCGAAAATAGCACCGGGTTACCTCATGCAATAAATTTTCCATTGACATTTTAGATTATTTAACAAGTGTATATATTTCTCTCTCTTTTTTGCGGCTTTCGCACGCTCGTTCGTCGAGTGTTCGAACTTGTGCAAAACATCTCGAGGTTTCCGCGTTAAATATGCAAATCATCTACGCGCAGAATGCAAAAAATCTTATTATCTAATCTTGTGATGGTATTATTGTTTTCAAAACGTTGACATCGCCGTGTCGAATTAAAATGCCATTTGTTGTAGTTGGCATTAGGTAACATTATATGAAGGTTGGTATAAATTTTAAAATATTTATACTCAGCCTTTCGCGTTTTTGTTTAGACTATATATTCAGCTTTAATATGACTGTCCGTAACTAGCAACATGCTATAGCCCAAAGCAATTTCCGACGTCAATCGAAAGAGGAGAAACCCTTGAAATTTGAGACTCTCAAACCTCTTACATGAAAAATATTTAAAATCGTCAATATTTACTGTCCGCATAATAATGTCACAAAAATACTGGCTATATTTAAGATACATTTTCATTTTAAATCCGTACCATGTTTTGATTGATAATTTCAATGAATAAAATGAGATTTTTTACTGCGCACTGCAATGAAAACTCGTGCAATTGTATCGAGCGACTGGAAACATCCAGTTGAACATTACATGGATAAAAACATGCCTCTCTTATCGCGGTAAACAATTCGAAAGGCGATATAGACTTATCTGGAAATTCGAAAAGACGTTGTTGCAACAAAACAGTGTTTAACAATTCACAAGTGGGCAATTATATCGTTAATCCGATAGTGATTTGTGTTTTTATCCGCGCAGATTGACAACATTCATGGTTGCTAAGCTCGTTTAGGCTATAAGGTCAAAGTGAATCGTTGCAAAAATGACCTACTTTCGATCATTTTCTAGCCCGAATTTGTGGCTTTTGCAACAAAACATATCCTCGTTGAATTGCTCGTTTTGCTCCGTTAAACGCGTAAAAGTTGACGCTCAGTAATTCATATGACAAGAAAACGAACGGAAATCACCTCTGGAGTATGTGTCCCCTGTTGTATACACGGATACAATCAATGGTTGATAATTTGGCCATATCGCATATATGTCTGCCGCATCTCGACAGGGTGTGTATGAGCATAGCCTTATACTTGCCATTTACACAAGGCTCTCCCTGATCGCTAATGGGTTAAGTGGTACATGGAGAGTAGCCAAATTTTAGTTATTTTATCTTGTCTTTTGCTGGGGTCGGTTGGATTAAGCTCGTTTAGCTTAAACGGCGGATAAGTCAAAATTAAATAACACTCTTACATCTCTCTTGAATGAGTCAACTTGAATATTATGCGCTGAATATGTAGTTGTAAACAGTGTCTTTGTATTAAGGTTAAAAACATTTTGTTTGCTTGTTGAATAAAACAATAGACTTGATTTCTATTTTAAACTTATCCGCCGTTTAAGCTAAACGGGCTTGATACAACCGACCCCAGATTGATACATTGACTCTTAAATGCATCTGCACCAATACCGCCGTGTTGGCAAAAACCAGCGACTGTCTATATATTGTAGGCTTTTTAAATAAACCAAAATGGGTTACAGGGATAAGAGTTCCTCAACAATATTTACTCCCAATATTTTTACTGATAATATTCTCTATGCATATTGTCCTCTATTATTCTTGGAATATCTTTAGACCTTATAAACTGATTTGAGCTTCTTTAAAGCCTCTCCTTTGTTTTTTTATCGATAAAGTTGCCGTTTGTATTTAAATCATGAAGAACTGTTGTGTTTCACCGCATGCATGCAGTATTATCATGCACTTATGCCGTGAAAGAAATTCGAAAATATCCAACATCGCCTTTCTCATGCAAAATAAGAAATTTATTTAAAATAATTGTATACAGTGTTTTCTTGTTTTGTCTGTAGCGTTAGGTCCGATTTACACCAGTGTCAAAGTTCCTGCGTTCACAGTTGAAAATTTACATTGGTAAATCCCAAGACCAAGTTGAAACGTTAATTAAAGTTCCCAGTTCCCTGTTTTTGTTTCCTTGAATATTTCTACCAAATACTTTGAGACTTAGGATTTGACGTTTGAAAATTCCAACTGTGATCACAGAAAATTTGATAATGTAAACTGAACCTTAGAAAGCAACATCCATATATTTGTTCTTTGGTACATAGATAAACCGTAATAGGGACTGCGTATATATATATGTACATTATTAAAAAGTCATTTTTATTAATATCATTGTCATTTATATAGCTTGGATTTTCTCAAACTACTGGATTTGAGAAATAGAAATGATATTTTTGGTCGAAATTTCGTGGAAGATATAAACTCGCGCTTATATTTTTTCGGTAGCAGGAAGTTCAAACGATGTTATTCATCGCTGCATGCATGGAGGACTGTATAGCTCGCTACAGGTATTTGACAAAGACAAAAAATCCCGAGGGTCCGACCTTAAAAGGAACTATATTTAAAACTTGCAGTGAGCCTATTTGTTTTAAGCCAGGTGAAGAGGTCACCAAATCGGTTTTCAACGCCATGTCGTTTATTCTGACAAAGTCATGAAATGAATATGGGCCTCGAAAATTCGCATGCATTTTTGATCAACGCTTGCAATCTGCCTACATACCACCAAACGGTTTAACCTGACGTTTACTGACCTAGTTTCATTTTAACATATCCTTACGTTATATCTGTGTCCTAAAATGTTTAAATTATTCGACCATGGGTAATTTAGACCCTAGGCATGACGTACGATAGCCTAAGGTGATTATAACAGCGCCGTGTTCATTGACGATTTTTCATATACAAAACAGTCGCATGTATATATCCTGTATTATGACACAAGAAATATCTTTAAAACCTAAATAATTCCGGGTGGTTATTTATAGAGAATAGCTATCTCGCACATAAAGCTGAGCTTTTTATCCGATCAACAATGTAAAATACAACGAGAGGTCTAAACTTTAATTAAACTGGGTTTGCATGCAGACCAGCGTGCGATTTTGGTATAAACGCTTTGCAGATTTTTATTTGGTCTAACAAAAACCCCGTTGAATTTGCTGGTTTTCGAGGCTTCCCTAACATACCTGCTGTTGAGAACATTTGACCGAACCATTCTTCGCTGCACATGTTATACCCTTGCCGTGACAAAAACACTATCTAACACGCTAAAATAGCTAATTAACGCGGTAATTTATATTGCTAAAGTTCTTACGTATTCTTTTGTCAGGCTCTCAATCTCTTTGTATTCTAATTCGGCACGAAATTTTAGCCGGGCGATCATTGGATCAGGAGTGACGCAAATTGCAACTCTCGCGATGAGGAAAATCAGCAGAAACACCTTTGAAGAGTCCATTATGGGCAAGCTGAAAAACATAAGATACACGTCAATTTGGTTGCTCCAACTCGCAACTAATTTGCATAAATTGCGAACATTTAAATGTTCGGCGTATGATGTGCACCTACACTGTTGGAAAAGATTGAAGGTTGAAAGTTATATGATATGGCTTCTGTCGCGTCTTGTGATGTAACCTCGATATGTTAATACGCGCTGTAAATATATATAAGAGAGAACTAATCCCTCAAGTTCAATCCCACGACACTAAGTGTTCCATCAAAAATATTTGGTTGTGGCGATGTAGGATTAAAACATTTTTTATATTTTTTAAAATTTAATTTTAGCACTCATGCATATTTACATTGTGTTCACACATGCTTATTTTCCAAACAAACTGTTCGTTAAAATTCGCAAAGGTTAGGTTACAATGCACATGGGTGAACCATTGCACTTCAGTGTGAATCACTCACTTTTGACTTTCTACAGCAGTCATATGTATAACTGTAATGTACCGGGTCAGAGTTTTTTAACTAGTTAATATGATACTACGAACAATACAAAGTCTGTCAAACTATCCGGACTTTTGTGACCAACAGACATTGAGAAATGTTTGAAATGAAACACTAAATAAAGCATGGCAAAGCAGAAACTACTTTTCTACCAAGGCTGGTATTAGAACCATGCAGCATTCTGAATATAAAAGTAAATATGGGTAATCGGCATTAAGAAATGTTTAAAGTGAGGCACAATGAATAAAGCACTGGTAGGTAGTAATGCCTAAACTAGTCATGCTTGCAATTCGCAGCTAGCCGTATTACATTGTGGTCAGTCAGGTTTAGCATTACTCCGATAACTTAACTCTTAATTATCGGGACATTGAAGAGGTTTAAAATTTAAACACTGCATAGAATCGACTGGAAAGCAGTAAGTACTATAGCCAGCCAAGTTAGTGGTTATATCAACCGTCAGACAGGCTACCAGTACTTCAACATGCAGTCAGTCAGACTAGCAGTATATGTATTTCAATGATGACCTAAGTACCGACATAAGGGTGGGTTGAAAGTGAATTACCAAACAAACCCAATTGAAAAGCATTAAAGCAATGTGTAAACTAGAGTGGTTAGATCATAGCATAACCTGTATAGGTAGAAGTCGCATTAGGAAAGGCTCGAAGTGTTGCCATTAACCGACTTGCAAACTAGAAACATCAAAATCGTTGTACATACATGCAACCCAACATGCATCAATTATCGCTGTCGGTTGCGTTATCAGGCTAACTGATTGGCAAACTTGGATTGATGATGAATAAATAAGACTGGTGAAAAAAATACTTTTGATAAAAAATTCGATCTCCTATTGACTGAATTCATGAAGTCTGTTATGTATTTGGATGTTCCACAGTTTTCAGAGCGCAGGAATCACAAATATATTGAAATGTTATACGGTTCAAAATTGGGTAACGCATAGGCACGTTTAATTTTCGAACATACACAAGTCAGTCCACTGTGTTTTTCACTAGCTTCAAGTCGCACTAGAGCGATAAGATCATTCAAATGGCTTAAAAAACAAAAGATTTGCCCTATATCAGTTTTCGCCGACAATGGAAATCAGCTATCAGCGCCATATGGAGACTAGGCTTGAACATGTGGACAGTTTCTGTTGTGATGTTTCAATTCAATTTGAAAAATCGTCGTCGGCGGCAAAGCAGGGATATATCGGGCGATGTTCTTGTAATGAAATCGAAAAATCACAATAGTTTTTGGTTCGATCCAGACTTGTTGTCTTCTCTATATGTTAATTAAAAAGTTAGCGCTTTTTTAAACCCAATTTTTTCTCCTTTTCAATATTAAAATGGGCAAATATTTATAATTAAAACATTCCTGAGCCTTTGTAAACAATTCTTAACCAGCTTAATGGAAGACAAATTGTCTAGACACATGTTTAGTATTATTCAACACCAGACGGTGTACTCTCAAGTGATGCAAGGAATTATAATGTGTTGTTTAAACTTATAGAATTATTTATTAAATATTTTTCTCTGCATTTCAAGTAGATTTCATAACTTGGTGGAGGCTTATAGTCGTTCATTGCAATACCAGAGAGATTTACCGAAGCGTTGAACGACTTGAAACACTTTACTGAAATGGCAGGCAAACTCGTAGAATTTTGTGGATAACAACATTTTCCTCTCGTCTTTGACGACGTGCCCTAACCAAATCTCCCTAATATTTAAATCGACAACTATTCTTTGACAGTTTTCATAAAAAAAAATCGTAACTCACTTATTGGGGTGGATGATCGCATTAACCTCGAATTATACCCAGTTTACACCCAATCTAAACATATTTGGACTTAAGTCTATTAACACTATGTTTTTCTGACAACACTTCAGAAGACCTTTGACCCACTTGATTAATATTGTATTTAGGTGTATTGCTTGTTTTTCAACCGCGCCCAAGTGAAGCATTGTCGATAAATATTAGAAAAATGGAAAAGACAATGTTCGGTGTTTATACATGTTGTTCAATATTTTGGGTGTTGTGTAACCAGTTACCCTTCGTCAGACCAACGCGCAATAAAAAAATGAAAATTTCCTGCAGTATTTGCTGTTTTGAACCGTTGCGAACATTTTTGACAAGCGTGGTAATTTTCAAATTGTTCCATTTTTTTAATACAATTAAGACGAGAAAAAATAAAGAGCATGAAAAAAGACTGGCGTCCCAAAGTCGATGGTAGTGGTTTTATCCTCTTCGAGAAACAAATCCTTTACAAAAAAAGCTCTTCAGAGTTGATTTGAAACAACAGAAAAGGATTAACGCGTTTGTTAAAAGATATGAATTGATGGTCGACTGATTATGAACTGTGTTATATTAGTTACAATATAATCAATATCGGAACAATCGATTGACTTTGTTCACTCACCTTTTGTTATGTGCACGGGACTGTTAACACTTTCAAGGTTTCGCAGTAATGGCATATCGCAAGAATTTCTTTCACGTTTTTATAGTAATTTGGACCAATCGCGATTCACTTGTTTTTGGCTTTCGTAGACATGTAGACAGTTATGGGCTACAGTCAAGGGTCGGTCTACCTCAATCTCTTGATGTGCATTAAATTTTGATAGCGAAAATTTCATTTGTCTTTGATTTGTTTTCAGTGCTTTACACCGACTAGTCAGACTTCACTTGCACCGATTTCTGATTTTGGCCTTTCATCATTTTCGCCAGTTCTTTTGCGGTTTGATAAATGATTTGGGAGTCCTTAAGCCTGGTTTTCATGTGTCGTAATTCATCGGCGATGGCTATTGTCGGTGCTCATTGGTGCATAAAATCCTTTTGTTTATCGAAGAATATTATTTACTTCATTCATCACCGACAATAGACCATAGAACATCGCCGATCAATTATAACATATGAAAACCAGGCTTTAAAACGCGTATGAAAACCGTTAGAGATTATCTGAATTATCGCATTGCAGTATCTGTAGCATGCCTTAGTAGTTGGCAGACCACGTACAATAGATCTGAATACTTTTTTTGAGTTCCTTGAGTATATTTCTATATTCATTATTAAGGTTGGCCCAAACGGTCAATTAGACTTGACAGGCCAGAATATTTCGTTCTACTATTATTCTATTGCGAGATTCACCCTCACAAAACATACCGTAATATTTACAGTGAAATAAATTATTTTGAAGAGAGATGGTTTTTTTCTCATTCATCCCGATAGAGAAAGGATTGTTTTACCGAAACATTTGTTTTCTATACTGAGAAAGTGTAATTCGGTAGACGAGGTGATTCGCGCAAGTTTAGTGATCCGAAGTGGGTGAAAGCAAAGCAAAGCATTGCATGCACTTTCATTTCAACGGGAAAAAGAGTGTGCCTGATCGCTCAAGCTTGTTGACACATTGGCAGGTTGTTGACATCGTATAACGAGCTGTTCCAATCGCTCTAGCTTATCGCTTGTGACTACAGTGGCGTAGCCAGCCTGACGATTTTGCCCGCTATGTAAATTTCGAGTTATTATGATTATTCATGTCTTTAGAAATCTATTGTTTTCACAGTCAGTGAACATAAAAATATTAGCATAGCGGGACAAATCGACAGGCTGGCTACGCTACTGTGTGACTATATACTTGACAAGATACCGATAAAATGTACAAGCTTTGTGTGAAAGTGAGACAATTGCATCCGTTCTATTGTTTATCAAATCACAGAGATGCAAAATAATTTCACCGAAACGCCGGAAGGTGAATTACGCTCGCTTCGACAGAGTCCAGACCATCAACTCAGCACGTTGCAGCTAATCACGCAGGAGATATCTGAAAAATATTCTCTCATTTGAAATATTTGTGGCCCATCGAACCGCATGGGAAATTTTGCTTGCGGTTATCCACACAATTCTATTATCTTTGACTGTACTTCACAGTTTCCCGCAATTAGTTGCGCAGACGACAGGTTATCGATTAACAGGCTTCCTCCAGAGCGCTGCAGATTTACAGGCAACTGAATTTGCTCATAAAGTAAACAGATAATTTATCCCATCATAGAGAATGAGCTATTGTGCTTTGCATTTAACGTGGTAGTATATTATTACTTGAATGATGTATATTTTTGTTAGTTTATCCAACTTGCAAAGTCATTCCAGAAATACCCGCACGTGATGTTGTTTACACTTGGGAATAAACTAAATTCTAACTGCCTTTATTTATTCCATTTGCGCGGAAATTACACAAAAAATTTGTATCTCATTCACCCGGAGTTTGCAAAAACGGTACGAAATTTGTAAAGTTGTACGTTGGTGTTTTTATACGCTATCTACGCGAACGAAATACGAAACTGGATTGCTAATTTCTAGGAATTTGATCCGACTATAAAAACCTGAAGTTGCATTGATGCAACAAACGTCTACAAAAGGGCGAGAACGCAATAAAAATTGGCTTGCACGTCTTTTCGATGGCAGATCAACTCTATTGTGTGTTGAAATATTTTCTCAGAATTTCAACAACAATTAGTTCTCAAACGTAGACCACCGATTAAAGACTGTCTCGTGCCAAAAACCGCCGATCATGCTCTGCATCATTGAAGTGGGATTAGGTATAATCACATAGTTTTTGCACTATATATTAACAGTCAAGTATCCCTGATTACAGCCAATCATGTAGTTCGATTTTTCTCAGGTACCT